TTTTATTATTGGAAACTAATATATAGAAACTTGAATGTAATTAAAAAATTAAAGCATCAAATTCATTAAAAAGATTCAAAAAAAAATAAATAAAAAAAGACAAACTAACTTTTTAAAATGGATTTAAAAAAATATTAATACAAATTTTAATTAGAATAATCTAAAATTTAATCATTTAGCAGTAGAAATACTTTCTACAAGATGGTTAGCTAATCTATTAATAATTCCAATATCACTGGATCTCCATTAATTTAACCTCAAAAATAACTCTTTATAAAAAAGCGGCCTAGTATAAATTAGGTTTTACCAAAAAAATAACTCCATAGTTCTTTTAAAATAACTTCAGATTGTTGAAATTTAATTATAAATAGTTTTATTTTAAATATTTAAAAATTAAAAAAGTAAAATACATTTATTTTCGTAATTGATAATAATACTGAATTTCAAGTTTATGTTGCGCATTTCATTATTCTTATTCTTGAATAATGAGTGAAACTGCGCAGTTTTAAATTAAACGCATATTTATTGATACAATTAAAAATATATTTTATTAAATATTTATAATTACAAACTTTGATTTATTTTTTTATTAAATTTGATTGTAAATTATAAAAAAACCTAATCTATTTTTAATTTTCAAAAAACAAAAAAAAGATATTTTAAATAAAAGTAATAGATTGTAATAAACATTAGAATTTAATTTATTTGATAAAATGAGTAAAGATAGATAGTAAAGGCTTAACTTATTTTAAATATTAAGATTGCTGTAAAGAAATCATTTAAAAAATAAATAATCTAATAACAGTTTTTTATATTTCGTATTGGATGATTTGAAATATAAAATATTGATAGTCTAATTAAAGATTTTGATTTAGATTCATCAAATATTTCGTTTGTGGTAAATTTAATAGTTCCTCAAGTTGGTGAACTGCAGATTATTTATATTTGACTATAAAAGATACTTTTCAGTGATTAGAAAGTTATTATCGAAAGAAATTATTAAATTAATTAATTCATATAGATACGATTAATTTTGGTTAAAAATTATGTAATAAAAGAAATAGTCTAACATAAGGAGGTGATTTACAATACGTAATCCTTAATAATTATATATATATATAACTATATTAATTTAAAACTTATATATTTTTTAATTTATATCATTTGAAAATTAAGAAGATTCCTCTTATCATAAAAGTATTATTTGATTAATAAAAAAAATTATAATATTTAAATTATCTAATTAAATAGGAAACCTAAATATAAAAAGTATAATAAGTACTTTTCATAAGAAGAAACTAGCAAAACCATGATTGATTACCCTTTGTTAATAGTTAAAGCTATATTTTTAATTATTCTGGTTTATTTTATTGTCTTTGCAAATGGCTTTATGCTGAGCGGAAAATCACGTTTTAGAAACAATTGTCTTGCAAGTACGCTTAGTATTTTAGCATCTTTTATTCACTTTTCATCTAACGTTCTACTAAAAGTTTAAATCTGTTATTTGTTTTCTCAGTAGCAGAGCTTATTAATTTTGATCATGGAACTACCTCTCTTGATTGTAGCAGTTTTTAACTATATTTAAATCAAAGATTTTTACTTGGCTATGATGAGTTGGGCTTTACATTTAACTCAATACGATTTGTTTACTATATCATCTAAATGTTTTCCTTATAATCATGTAATATTACATACAGGATCAAGTTTTTTCTATCAATAGGTATAGATTATGTTTATTGTAAAGGTTTATAATACTCTAATCTATGTGATAAAATTGCTGAGCCATAGAGATAGTGATGAAAGTAATGAAATCATTCTTACATTTGCGATTGTAAGCTGCTCTACCTTTTTAATTTAGTTGTATTATAATTACATCAACAAACAAACAATTGATATTCATTCCTAACAGAAGCTATAAAAATTGTAATATAATGAAAAGACAAAAAAGTTAAAAGCTGAATTGTAGAATGTCAAAAAAATTTACATTTGCTTTGATCAAAATATTGTTTGTGATAAAGATTGCTAAGAACTTATTTAGGCTTGCTTTTACTAATTCTAAAATTGCGAAATACTTTCAAAATTTATAAAAAGAACTGAGTCAAAAAATGGGTTCTAAAAAATTGAAATAACAGAAAGCAAATATTTAAATCTAATTGAAAAGAGTCTCTACAAATCTTAGTTTGCCAACAAAATAAAAAAAATAAATTTTCTTGATTACTTTAATGCAAATTAGCTAACTCAAGCTCTAATTAAAAGTGGAAATCTTATTAATTTTAACTTATTGTATTTTGATTAAAACTAAGTTAAGAAGGAACAAAAATTAGCTATTAATTATCTTAAAATTGTCAAAAAATACGAAGTTTTTCAATTAAGTGTTTTAGCTTATTTTAGAAATATTTCTTAATATTAAACATATAATCCAAATTTTATTATTCTTGATTTGTATCTTTGAATTATCAAAATTTTTATATTCTTTATTTGGATGTATTACAAATGATTATTAATTATTTTCAATTATTTTAAAATATCAAAATATTTTATTTTTAAAGATTAAATAAAATAATCCAAAATTTATTTATTAAAATTAATTGAGATGGTATATCTAAAAATAAATCCATTAAGTTATTTAATAGATAATATTTTTAGAAATTTATTCTAAACTAATTTAAGCCCAAAAGCATTTTTAGAACAAGCTAATTTGAAATTTAATTAATATATTTAATAGATCAATTACAAAACCAAATTAAATTTTATATAAATGGATCTTCGCAGTTATTAAAAATAATTATTTACTATATATAAATTACCAGTTTACAAAATAAAATGATGTAAATTGAAAGCTTTTCTCAGAAATATTTCTAGAATTTAAGTAATTTACTATAATTCCATAAATATTCTAAAAATATTCTATAATTATTTTCTAGATCAAATTAGCCTTAATTTCTCTTTTATTTCTATATCTAATTTAAAATTAAACAGTATTTTTATGGGTTTATATCTTTTCACAAAGTAATTTATATTTTTATTAATAAAATTTTTACTTTAAAATTATTGTATTTAAAAAAGTTATTTTGATTTGAAAGTATTTTTTTTTTGTTTTCTTAATTTATTGACCAAAAGTAAGTACATAATTTCTAAATATTTATAAAATTAATGAGTATAAAAATTTAGAGTGAAAGGGAAAATATTTTTTATTTAATTCATAAATTGAACAAGAAAAGAAGTATTGTAATGAAATACTGTAAAAAAAAGCTTTTCTTATTATCAGTTTATCTTTCTTAACATTCAAAGAATTATAAATAAATTGCTAAAAAAGTTAAAATTTATGAAAAGTAAGTATGTTTTTCGTGACAAATGAGTTAATATTTAGTTAATATGTGTTTAATATAAAATAAAAAATAGTTTTTAATTTATATTGTAAACTGAAAATAAAATAAATTTTATAATTAGAAGCGTAAATTTAAAATATTTTTTTTAAAAAATACTTAAAACTTTTTAGATTCTCATTAATTATGTGGCTAATATATCATAATTTGTTTTTTTGGAATTATGGAGTTTTATCGATTATGAGCAGGACAATAAATTGTCATAATTCAATTATAAATATAAATTATTTTTTTAAATGAAATGTATATTTTACAATAAAATTGAAATTAAACAAATTGCATAATATATCACATAAATATTTTCTATCATTTAAAATAAATTTATTTCATATTTTGAAATATTTTTTATTATTAGTTGAAAATAAATAATACAATTTTTTATTTATCTTTTACAAAAAAATTAAAAAAGTTAAATTATATTATATATATTTTACTATTTCATTCTATTATTATGTTTTTAGAGTATTTGTATAGTAAATTATTAAACAAAAAATTATTTATATAATAATAATTTTAAGGAATTCAATCTAAATCATCACAAAAGAATGGCTAAATCTGAATTTTAGAATTTTCTAATTCTTTTGGGATTTCAGTATGTTGCGTGAATGAAGAACCAAGAGATATTCTCCATAATTTAGTTAACTTCGATATGAAGGGAACCAGGTTAGTTAAGACATTATCTGTGTCAATCTAGTTGTTCTCACTGAGTCTGATATCTTCAATGTTAGCTAACAAACTAGGATTGCTAAGTAACTGAACATAAGCTTCATTTGTTATGTCACAAGCACTAATGTTAAGGTAAGTTAATTATAGGTTTTTAGCACTCAAAATAGCATTGACTACTTCATCTTTTAGTTATAGATTTTCTCTAACATAGAAGTACTTAAGGGATTCAACTACTTTAAGATAATCGGAGAATATTGTTTTAATAGATTTTTGTGTTAAGTTGAGTGCTCCTAAACCTAATGCGTTGAGAGCAATTGAATTTTCTTAAAGTATTTTAAAAATAATACATATTCCTTCTTCATTTAACAGCTCATTTTGGCTCAAATCTAAGTTTTTAATAAGTTTCAATTAAGGAATAATAATAGCTGCTGATTTTTCTGATAAGTTAGTTTTTCTGAGGCTCAATGTGGTAAGCTAATTTAAAATGGAAGTGTGTTTTAAATCTGTTTCATTTTGCAAGTCGTTGAAGAGATTTTCATTACCTTCTAAGTCCAAATATTCTAACCTAGATAAATCATTTGATAGCCAAACATTGAGCAAATCAGTAGTTAACCTGATATTTTTTAAGTAAAGTCTTTTTAAATTAAATTTGACAGCAGCATTATCATTATTCTATTAGAAATTGTATAAATCTTTTAATTCGGAGTCCTCAATAATTTCTCTAATATCAGAAAGATCTAAAACTTCTAATCCAGGAATAAAAGGGATCTTTTTTAAGTTTTTGTAGCCTTCAGGAATAATCTTTGTGAAAGATAAATCCAAATGTTTAAGGTTTTTTCCTTTCGCAGCATCTTCAGTAGTGAAAGCATTTAAGTTGATCATTTGATGATTTCTAGAAAGGACAAGAGTGTGTAAATTTTCAAATAACTTTGATTTAACTAAAACATGTAAACCCTTATCAGAAACTCCAGTATTGTTTAAATTCAATTCCCTGATACTTGTTAAATCAGAAATATCAGAAAAGATATTATCAGTTAATAGCTTATTATTCTTCAAGTTAAGAATAGTCAAGTTGTGGAATGTATTAGGCTAAAAGAGCTTTTTGAGAGAAGCATTATCAAAAGAAGTGTTTGTTGCTAAATTTAGTTCAATCAAAGAAGGAAAGTATTTATCTGCATTTTCTAAAAGAAAATCAACATCTTTTGAATTTAAGTAACTATTCATAATTCTTAATTTCTCAGTCTTTCCATGCTTTTCTGGATCATAAACCTCTAAAAATTTCTTTAAAACTAATTCTTTTTGGCTTTTTAAAAGGTAGACAAATTCAAAAATATTTCGACTATCCTTAGTTAAGTCAGGCAATTTCTTTTCGAATGTTATCTAAGCCTTCTAAAGAGTGTGCTCTATTCTAATAAGTTTATCTTATTCTTTCTATTCAAATAAAATTTAGTTCAACATTTTATATCCTTCCTTATATTAACTTATTAATTAAACAGATTCTTGCTTCTTTTTAAAATATTCAAATATTAATTAATTAATTTAATTTATACAATTAATAAAGATACACACACTTGTTCTAGAAGTCTTCAATAATATTTTTATATGTAAATCCTATAAATAATAATGAATTAAATATTATTCAATATTGAATTATTTACTTTAATTATTAAATTTCTAAAATTTGATATTCATTAATATAAAATATACATTTGGCGTACTTTTTTATGCAAATTAAAAAATAAAAGCAGCATATTTCTTCTTGTTGGAATATTTTTTATAAAATTTTTAATTTTGTAGTTAAATAGATATTTTAAAGCTTTTTAAAAATTTTCTTTGATTCTTCTTTACAAACAAAAATAAATTGAGAATTTTATGTGATTTAAAATAAATTATTTTAAGTAGGAAGCTTATGTGATAACTAATCTAGTTATTATTATTATTATCACTCATTAGTTATAATTCTAAAATAAATTATCTCAAACGTAAGATATATTGTCAATTTACATAAAAATTTGATTTGATAGAATAAACTATTTTTTTATTTTATAATTTTAATTTATTTAAATGTAAAGTATTTCAAATTTACTTTTTTTCAGATGTAAATAAGAAGAAGTAATCTTTAAAAAAAGAAGTAATACAATGAGTAATTGCTAAATAAAATATCATGTTAGATAATTTTTTCATATTAAATTTTAATAAGTAGGAAGAACCTATCTTATGATATAACTAACCATATTATATAAGTCATATGATTAAATATTTTTTGGAAAGTAAAGATATGTAATAAGTTCTTTAATGAGAACTTAAAAGTAGTTAAAGTGCTCTTAAGTGATAATATTTTCAGCATTTTATTTGAAGGGATAGGAAAGTTAGAAGAACTAAATCAAAATGTCTGCCAAATTGTCAATCGTCTGGAAAGATGTTTAAAATATAATTTTCAATGGGCTAGATATTATATGTAGATGAAATTCTAATGCTGTCCTTAAATCTTCTATAAGGATGGGAAAGTAGAGGTGTAAGCTTAGATTTTTCAGAGATTTAATTATTTTCGATAAAAATACATTTAATTAACTTTAGATTGAATGACTTTCATCTCTGAACCCCAAGCTAATCTGTTTTTTAAGCTAATTTAACTTTTCAATTAGCAAAAGATTGAGAAGAAATCCAAAGTTTTCATATATTTTATCAGACTAACTTGTTGTACTTAAGATAATAATTATTTTGGCTATTTCATCATATTCTAAATCATTTTAGAGTATCTTTTGTAAAAGATCATTTTGATTAGATTTTTAAATAATTTAAAATTTATATTTCTCAGTTTAATACCAGATATCTTTCATAGTATTAATGTTGATATTCCTTATAGGCCACTAAAACCCATCTAATATGTAATAGATTATTCCAAAGCGTTATCGAAGTAATTTTTTTTCACTGTTCTAATTTTTGGTTTTTTCATTAGAGTTGGTTCCGTAATTACTTTCTATTTCCTTAAGGATATTCTTATATGTGTCATCTTAGCTTTAAATAGGTGAGATCTAGGAGACAATTGTTGAAAAACTCATATTCTATTAATCCATATTCCCTCAAAATTTTATTTATTTTTAATTTTTTTTTATAATTAATTTTAAAAATTATTATATTAAAATTTAGCTAGAATTTAGAGATTAATAAATAATATTCTTTTTAAAGATCAAATTTTAAATTTTAACTAAATCATTAATAAGAAATTCCATTTTAATTAAATTAAGATTTCTATTTATATTTCAAAAAAATAATAAGAAAATATAGTAAAATATTTTAAAAACATTTATAACAAAGTATAAGGCTTAATAATTTATTTTTTAACTAAATTTCATTGATGTTTATTGTAATTTTTATTTTAATTAAAAATTTAGCTCATTTTTAGCTTGCTAACAATTTTTAAAAACCAAAATTGATTTATAAGAATTTATTTATCTTAGTTTTTTTAATTAATTAGATTTGAAATTAAAGCATTTATATTGATTAACAGATTAATTTTAGTATATTTTTAAATAAAAATGTTATTTTATAAATCATGAAAATTAATTGTTAATTATAAATTAAAAATTATCATAAATATTTTAAAAGCAGCAAAAAATGAATTAAAAAATAGGAAATGAGAAGAATAATTTTTTATGGAAATTTTATAAAATCGAATACTGACATGAAATGAAATACTATTTATCTTTTATTTATTAATTTATGTATGTGTGTAAGAAAGATTTTAAGGATAAAGTATATTTGTATTAAGTTTCAAGTAGTATTAAATTTATAATTCTATATATATTTATTTTTTAATTCAAAACAAATAGAAGTAGATTGATTTATTTATTGATTGGTTAGTTGAGTAATTCTTTCAAGAGTAAAGGTCTTCATCTTCATTCTTCATTTGGCTATTATTATTTAATACACTTGAGTTAGAAGAAGGCCAGTTGATCTTAGGACCAGATTGACCAGCAGAAGAGTTAGCAAAGCTAGGATCGAATTTCTTCTTGAATTATTCAAATTTGTTCAAGTCCTTTTAATAAAATTTAATTTTAGAATTGAGTTTAAACAAAATAAATTATTTAATTTTTAAATAAAATAAGGATTAATTAATTACAATTGCAGTAACGGACTTTCTGGCACCTCTGAGGGCTTCTTCGAAGTGCTTACGAGTAATTTCAGGAACAGGATCGTAGCTGGCAATATTGACTTATTAGTTAGGGTTCATTTAAGCAGCCATCTTGAGTCTGGCTTCAGCTTCAATACAGTCTCTGACAGCAGACTTGGCAGCCTTTTGGCAGATTTCAGTAATATCGGCACCAGAGAAACCGTCAGTAATAGAGGCAATGAAGTTCAAATCAACATCCTTAGCAATAGGAGTCTTTCTTAAGTTGGCCTTCAAGATACCGTATCTGGAGGGTTGATCAGGTAAAGGAATGTAGATCAATTAATCCAAACGACCAGGACGAATGATGGCTTCATCCAAAATTTCAGGTCTATTGGTAGCACCAATGAAGAATATATTTTTCTTGGCATTGACACCATCCATTTCAGTCAATAATTGGTTGATAACTCTATCACCAGCACCACCTTTTTAATAAGAAAAATATATAATAACACAAAAAAACAATTAAAGTAGAACTTAAGTATTTATAAAAATTTAAAGAATGTTTGTTTACCAGCATCACCTTAGCCAGAACCTCTTTGAACTGCAACGGAATCGAGTTCATCAAAGAAGAGGACACAAGGGGCAGCAGCTCTAGCCTTATCAAAGACTTCTCTGACGTTGGCTTCGGACTCACCGAACCACATAGTAAGGAGTTCAGGACCCTTGATAGAAATAAAGTTAGCAGAGCATTCGTTGGCAACAGCCTTGGCAAGAAGGGTCTTACCGCAACCAGGAGGTCCGTAGAAGAGGACACCCTTGGAAGGTTACATACCAAACTTGTGGAACTTTTCAGGATGTTCAATAGGGAACAAGATCATTTCTTAGAGTTGCTTCTTGGTTTCTTCGAGACCACCAATATCGTCCCACTTAACGTTGGGAACTTCAACGACAGTTTCTCTCAAGGAAGCAGGGTTAATTTGACCTTAAGCGAACTTGAAATGTTCTTGGGTAACAGCCATAGCGTTTAAGACTTCAGCATCAATCTTATCACTTTCGATATCGATTAAATCCATCTTTTCTCTGATACATTGGAGGGCAGCTTCAGTACATAAGGCAGCAACATCAGCACCGACGAAACCGTGAGTATCCTTGGCAATTAAACTCAAGTCAACATCTTCATCGAGCTTCATATTCTTGGTGTGGATTCTTAAGATTTCCATTCTACCAATTTCATCAGGAACACCAATATCAATTTCTCTATCGAAACGACCGAATCTTCTCAAGGCGGGGTCCAAACTGTTGGGTCTGTTGGTAGCAGCAATAACAATAACGTGACCTCTACCCTTCAAACCGTCCATCAATGTAAGTAATTGAGAGACAACTCTTCTTTCTACTTCACCACTAACCTTATCTCTCTTAGGAGCAATAGAATCGAGTTCATCAATAAAGATGATAGCAGGAGAATTTTTTTCAGCTTCCTCAAAGGCTTTTCTCAAGTTACCTTCAGCTTCACCAGCCATCTTACTCATAATTTCGGGACCGTTGATCAAGAAGAAGAAAGCACCAGTTTCATTGGCAACAGCTCTAGCAATAAGAGTCTTACCAGAACCTATATTTAGAATAAATTTATTTAGTTGATTTTTTATGAAACAAAAAGATAGATAAGGAGATATTCAAAATATTTAAATTGATATTCTTATATTTAAATGATAATGAATGTGTTTATTTGTTTAAATAAATTTTTATGATCAGCTTGATTAATTCTTTATTTTATCTTATTGATTTTACAGTTCAAATTATTTAAATCATGATATCAAAAATAAGCTTGAAAATTTAATTAAATAAATAAAACAACTTAGATAGTTTGTTATTTTATTGATTTAAAGAGACGCCTAGAATATTGATGTGAAATTTCTTTATCAATATTTGCAAATTTTCATAAAAATTTAAAATTGCTGTAATAAAGGAGCTACCCTATTTCTTGTTAATTTTAATTGCTTTTGAGAAGAATTAAAAAAATTTATATTATTTATTCTTTCCTTTTGCCTGCTATTGTAAAATTTATTAGCTATTCTCATTCTTTTGAAATCTAAATAATTAATTTTCAAACGAACTCCTTTGACTTTTTTTTGCTTTTAATGAATTATCTCCTTTTTTTATTTTGCTAAGTATCTTATAAAGAGAAGCATTTTATATTACCAGGAGGACCGAATAAGAGGACACCTCTGGGGGGCTTAACACCGAGAGTCTTGAACAATTGAGGATGTCTGAGAGGTAATTCAATCATTTCTCTGATTTGAGCCATTTACTTTCTGCAACCACCAATATCATCATAACCAACATCGTCTAACTTTTCTTCATCTTCTCTCTTAATGGGTTCACCTTCAGTGAAGAGCATAGTATTGGGAGCAACCAAACCATATTCCTTGGGTTCAGTGGCAACGACCTTGAATTCGACTGACTTGAAACCACCTCTGACGATGAACAAATCACCCTTCTTGACTGGTCTGTAGGCATCCTTGAAGTAAGGGATCAAATAAGTAGAGGCGAGATCACCAGTAATACCTTCAATTGTGTCATCCAAGGGTAAGACATGAATCTTATCTAAGTTAGGAACATCTTCGGCAGCTCTAACAGAGACAATATCTAAAATTATTTAAAAAAACATTCAAATTCTATTCATAACAATTAAATAAATTAAAGCAAAACAAGTTCTTATGATTATTCATTAATTCCTTAGTTGGTTGTATAATCTGAAACATCTCATGATGTTTATTAATTATCTTTATACTAATTTAGGAACTTAGTGTTATTGAGGTAAAATTGTCGAGTTATTTAAATATTTTAAACAACTTTGTTTTGCTGAAACAAAATAAATTATTTATATCAATTACCTCCCAAACGAACACGAAGGTTCTTTCTGACAACCTTGTTCATTCTAATTTTATCATCGGGAAGAGTGTTATCAGTAAGAGCAATGCATAAGGTTTCATGACGCTTTTTACCCTTCAAGAGGACGGCATCACCCTTGAAAATACCCAATTCGTCGAGCTTCTTTTAAGACATGCAAACAGCAGAGTTATCATCATTGGTGGCATCTTCGACCTTTTTTAAACGAAAAATATTGAAGACTTTGATTTGATTAAATCTTTCATATATTGAGCTGATGCTTAGCTTTTAACAAGCCAAACTAGATCGCTAGCTAAAAGAGAAGTTAGTGATAAAATAAATTAAATTACCATCAATCTGTTAGGGGCTTTCTTCTTATCCAAGATAGCGGTAGAGAAATCCTTCTTTTCTTCCCTATATTATTTGAATGAAAAAGTTTTTAGCATTATGGAGTTTGTTAAGAGATGTCATATGAAAATAAAGAGTTAATTTGAGTTTTGAGAGTAAATAAATTAACAATTATTTACTTATCCATTTCTTATTATGAGAATCTTTCTTTATATGTTTTGTTGCTTTATCCTAAGATATTTTTTCTTTCTTTTTATTGATTTAAAAATTATATATTTTTTATTAATTAAATTTTCTTTATAGCTTTTATTGATCAAAATAGCTTGCCATAGCAATGAAGAATGAATAAATAATTCATTGTAAAGGGCTCAGCGTTTTTAAAATAACAATTAATTCTTCTATTTTTCTTTGCATGCTCTTCTTTCTATTAACAGACCATTTATCTATCTCTTTTAATCTATTGCTCTTTGATTTAAGCTGTATAATTTCTTTTATTCATTCATTTTCTTATTGCAAACAAATAAATAAATAAAAAAGAAAGGGAAATTTTTCAGATCCGACAAATTATGAATCTGATCTCTTAATTAATTCACTGTTTTAATTAAGAAATCAATCAATCAATCAGCCAACTAACTAACTAAATATCTTATTTATTAATTTGCATTTAAACCTTTTTATAGAATATTAATGCTTCTTATTAGTTCTTTTTGAAAATGTCTATTTATTTATTTTATTTTATTATCCTCATAAACAAAATCCTTTAAAAAAGCTGATAAAAGTATTAAGACTCTTACAAGACTCTACTTAAAATAGTTTTTAATGAAAATAAAAATCAACAAATAACCTTTTTTGAAATTTTGTATCAGAAAAAAAAATCGATTTAAGTTTAAAAAATTATTTAAAAATATTCAGTCTATATGAATTTTGATAGATTTAAAGAATAGATTCAAACAGAAATAGATGTAAAATATGAATGGGAATTTTAAAAACATGCATTTTTACTCATAATTCTAGAATATTTACCTTAAATAAAAAAACTTAATAAATATGGAAAATATAATCTAACTTAAATTGTAGAGCTGTTTATATTTTATGGTGATATATATAATGACTGATTCTTATTTTATGAATATACATAAAATTAGATAATTAAACTGCTTATTTTTGATCCAAAATTTATTCTTAATTCCTCAGATTAATTATTATCTGATCTTTATACCATCAAAAATATTTATTTGATTTCTTTAGAAATTTCATCAACGTATTCATATGCCTGTGCAAAAAAATTAAAAGATGAAATTTAAAATTTAGCTAATTAAAAATATGTACATCACTTTTAAAAATAAAAAAATGAAAGTAATAAACTTACTTTCTATCCAATACTTGATTTAAAAATAGTCTAAATAAAATAATAAATTTTAGGTAATAAAAGAAACATTTTATTAAAAAAACAAACAAATAATTTAAATATTTTTATAAACAAATAAAATGATGTTGTAAATAATTTGATTATTATATGTATACATGTAAAAATAAAATAATTTTTAGTAGTTAACTAAATAATAAATTTATAAAATATAAGAGAAACTATTAATTTTAAAGTAAATTTTGATAAGAAAGCATTTATTAATATGAGTATAGAAAACAAAAATAACTAATTTTAATTCAGTAATTATCAGATTTTTCTTTTCTTTTAAACAGTATCTTTTAACTCTGTTTTTCTTTCAGAATTAAAAATCTTTCTTCTAGGTGCTTTATCTTCCTTTTCTACAACTTATTCTTCTTCTTCCTCATCTTCATCTTCATCTTCATCCTCATCTTCACTTTCCCATTCATTATCTTCATCATCATCGTCTTCTTCTTCTTCTTCCTCCTCCTCTAATGTGAATGGATCGTTATCGTATTCAAATTCTAAATCTTATTTTAAAAACTCCTTCCACTCTTCATCATTAAGCAAACAAGCATCAAGTGTTTCTTTAATTTTTTTTTCATTTATTTATTTACCTATTATTTATAATATAATTTATGAAATGTATTTTAAAACTTAAAAGTATTTAATAAAATCATTTTAGCATAATGAAATCTGACTTTATAAAACAAATAAAATAATATCAATAATATTATAGGGTCTGAAATCATGAAAAAAGTAAATTAAAATAATATGCAAAAAAAATAATGAAATATCATAATTTAAAAAATATGTGTAATTAGATTTTATTAATATTAACAAAAAATATTAATATCAAATCATATAAAAAAAATAAGAATATGATATCACTATAAATTCTATAAACCTAAGAAAATAAAATCTTTACCAATAAATACTAAAGATGTTTCTCTGTCTCCAATAACAGGATCGAATTTTAATTCAAAACTTGCATCATAATTTGGAATCTACTTTTTAGATTCTTCATCAAGAGTGCAAGAGAATATGCCTGCAATTTCAATTTTGTTCATCACTCCACTTTGCTACCATCCATAAAAATCACAAGAATTACTAGCAACCCAAAAGAATCCTTTTGATCTCCAAACGTCTTTGAAGATACCTTAATTTTTATTTTTAAATGCAGTTTTACGCTATTTTTTATAAATCTTTTTTGCTTTTTCTAATTCTTCTTATGGAATTTCTTCTTCTTCATCTTCTTCTTCTACTTCAGCTTCATTTTATTCATCTTCTTAATTTTTTGAATCATCAGTGTTAGGTTTTAGTGTGCATGCAGTTTCTGCTTCATGCTATTAATATTTTGTTTTGAAATAGTTTAAGGTTTTATGAAATTGATAACTTTACATGCTTATGAGGATGGCCATGTTCATGTCCATGATGATTGTGATCATGCTAGTGTTCTTCGCCTTCTTAATTACTAGATGGAGCTATTGGAGTTGGATCTAAGTCTAAGAAGAAATTTTCTGATAGCAGATTGTATAGTCTAACGTTATCAAAAGGTCTTTTTGCTTTGTATACAAAGCTTGTTATTCCATACTCGATAGTCTCTGGAGTCATTTAATATCTGTCTTAAGCAAGCCAGTGAGAGTTTTCCTTAGCCTTTTCAAAGTTGAATTTATTTGTATTAATTATTTCCTTGAGGTCTACTTGAGCGTATTTAGCTTTTATGATTTTGGCATCTTTGTTAAGCTTTAAGCAAAGGCCTTCAATTTACTCCAACTACTTTTTACTAACCATGTCTATTTTGTTGATGATAATTACATCAGCGAATTCGAGCTAATCCACCATTAGTTCAGTAACTGTTCTTTCATCCATTTCAGAGGGCTTCTCAACAGCGAACTTTTCAGTTAGACTCTCATCAGTATTGAAGTAGTTAAAGAAGTTTGCAGCATCAACTACAGTAACACAAGTATCTAACTATGCATAGTCCTTCAAATACTTCAAAGCCTCTTTATTAGCTTCAGAATCAGTATTCTCTTCCTCTTGAGGTAAATCAAAAGTGAATGTTTCAGCAACCTTTTTATGTAATTGATTAATTTATATTGTGGTATATAATTTAATTCAATAATGGATTTTTTGTAATGCGAACAAATATTTAGATGATAAATAAAAATGAATTATTTATATTAAACAATTTTTAATATAATATTTTAATAAGAAATGTTTTTAATTTATAAATCAAAGTTAGAATAGAAATAATTATAACTTTTGGTTGTTTGTTTTTTTTTACTTTATAAATATATGTATAAATATTTAAAAGATTCTTAAATTTAAATTACTTGAATTGGCTCAGAGATACCAGTTGATTCTATGACTAAGTAATCAAATTGTTGGGTCTTAGCAAGATTGGCTACTTCAACTAATAAATCTTCTCTTAGAGTGCAGCAGATACAACCATTTTGCATGGACACCATTTTTTCTTCTTGCTAGATGAGTTTTGAATCCTTTATCAATGCAGAATCTATGTTAAGCTCTGCCATATCATTAACTATCACAGCACATTTTAGATTTTCTTTGTTCTCTAGGATGTGTTTAAGCAAAGTTGTCTTACCACTTCCTAAGAAGCCACTGAGTACAGTAACAGGAAGTTTTTTTAGAAGCTATTTTAAAGTTTTAAATTTAGTATTTTTAGTAAATAAGTAAGCAAAAAGTAAATTTATGTGTTAGTTGGTAATTACTTCTTGAGTTTATGTTATGCTGCTCATTATTTAATTAATCTTACTTAATTCAGGAGTCACTAATAAAAAATCAAAATTAATTTAAAATTTTGTTTCTTTTTTTCTTCTTTTTTTGTTTTTAATTTGGAATATTAAATTTGATTCATGAATGCCTCGAGAGTCACATACCTCGCTGTATTTAAATTGAAAAATAGTATCAATTTGAACTTCTTTCATTTTAGCTTTTTGGATATTCATTTATTTCTTATAACTCACATACTTTTCTTGGTTTTACTTGTTATCGTCTTTATGTGTGCTTTTATTCAAAAATACTAAAATTATTACGTATTAAATTACATTTTTTATATCTTTTCTTCCTCTATATGTATTTATCACAGAATTTCATCCATCTAATTCCATCAAATATTTATACTAATTTTTCTTTCAAAGATAATTATATCTTTTTAATTTTCAGATTTTTAACATCATTAATGTATGTACAGTGATCATCCAACAAATGATCAAATATAATTAATTTTCAATTAAATAAAATAAATAGAATAAAATTATATATATATATTTTTTTAGTTTAATTTCTTATACAATATAAATATATATTAGTTCATTTTTAAAGCATTAAAAGAAAAAGAATACTTAGCTGCTTATAATACAGGTAAATAAATTAAAAAAGGGACTGAAGGTGTTAAGGACATAAGAAAATTTAATCCCAGAAAAAATGCTTTCCTTTTAATATTTTTAAAAAGAAAAAAATTAATGATCATGTACAGTTTATTTAAAATAAAAAAACTAATATTTATTTAATTTATTTTTATACAAGGATAATCAATTTTATTTTTTAATTTTTGATTTCTGTAATTAGATTGTTAATGCTGATACTTTGCTTGGTCTTAAGATAAAATTAATTAATAAATATAAATACACTTAGATTGAATAGTCTCAAGTCTTATTATATTTAACATTTTTCTTCAAAATATAATTTTGCTTTTCACTTATAAACAATTCTTCTTTATTTTTCAATAGGAATATTTATGGTTTTTTGTTTACTTTTTTATAATTTTCAATGAAAATTTATTCCAATTAATCTATTATTAGATTTTAAATTTAATTCTGATTTTCAAAAAAAATTTAAGAAACAATTTTCATTTTTTATCAAACCTCTAAAATCCTAAAAATATCTTATTGACAAAACATATCCATTAAAAAAAAGTTTACTAGTATCAATGATATTTAATTATCATGATGAATATTATTTAATTTAAAAGAGAATTAATTTATTTTTATGACTAATAGTTAAAAAAGGAACAAGTTACTGCTCTAAAATGTAAAAATAAAATGCTTTTTAAACTGATAGAAAAAGTAGAAATGCAAAGATTAAATATAATAAAATAAATTATCACTAAATTATCTTTTAAAAATATTTATTTTTAAAATTCTTATTAAACAATTTTTGATATCTTTCATTTGCTTAACCAAAGATCATATTAAATGAGCTAAAAAATAATAAAAAGAAATAAATTTCCAAAATTTAGAGATAGAGAGAGATAAAGTGAATAATAGCAATAGAATAAATATTAAGAAAATTAACTAATTAAATTACTAAAATATAGATCAATAAATTCCACAATAAAAATAAGAGAGTATTGGAGAAGGGTTATCAATTAAGCTTATTAGCATAAAAAGTTAGTTAAAGCAATATTAATTAATTTTAAATAATTAAACTAAATTTTTAAAGTTTTATTATTACCACAACAACTCTAATTATAAAAATCTAATTATTAAGAGTTATAAAAAAGTAATTTAAAAGAAATAGTTATTTCTTTGATCATTAATAATATTTAAAAAAACTGTATAATTAACTAAAATATAAAGAAATAGAAGATAAACCAAACTACCTTTTACTAAAAAATAAGAAGTAAAATGAACTATTCAAGGCTAGACCTTTTCTCAACTCCATTCTCATTTAATTTTGGAAATTAAGTGAAAAGAAAAGGGACTATTTATGGAGCAATTTTATCGCTATCAATACTGACCGTCTTCCTCGTTTACTCTTTGTATCTCTTTTACTTATACGCTAGTAATCAAATCAATCCCACTTACGCTTGGCAAAGCTTCGTAACAGAAGAAACTATATAGGTTGACCTAAATGAAGACTTAGTAGGATTTAGATATGAATATGGTGTAAATCTCAATCTTGATGATTTGCAAGCTCAACAAAATAAAACATATCTAGTATTTCTACCTTACTTTTTTTATCAAAATGGAACGGAATTTCAAATGATACCATTGAATTACACTAAATGCACAAGTCCCAAATTGAAAGGGTTTAATTGCTTTGATTTTTCAACAATCAAAAATTATACTCTCATCTTAAATTCAATAGAAAATTTATATTCATAACTTTATATTTTCATATACAAGTGCTAAGATACAGACTAATTAAAAACTTTTATTCCAAATAATTGTGTTGATAATGATGATGATTACAATTCTGTTATTTATAATCCTTATGCTGACTTTCTTATTAAACTATAGACATCTCAATATAACACCTCATCATAGTAAGCGTAAGTCAACTATAGAAATTCATTTGTATATATGGTAGGTAACTCATTTTAGTATTACTCATATAAAATTTAAAAGTAGACTACTTTTATTAAATCTGGTGCAATTATTCAAACTGAGAGATCTTTTTCTTCACCTATTTAATATGAAATATCTAACATTAACGAAGATAGATAAACTTTTATTTAAAACACTTAAGAAATGCAATATATGTAAATTAGTATTTAAATGGATGAAATAATATAACAAATATAAATTTAATACTTAAATTTACCTTAAATACTTGCTTAATGTAATAGTACTTTAGCACTTTTAGTGTGCATAGGTATTTTAGGAAGAAAAATCGCAGAAAGTTTTATGAGGCAAGACATTTTTCTTCTTTTATTGCAGAATATGTTTCATGGTACTTACGAGTCTATTTTGAAGAAAAATCACTTTATTGAGGAACAAGAAAATTTTGATAATTAAAATTTAATTTAAAAAAACGAAATTAAAGAGGATTAAAAAGAAGCAAACGAAAATGTGGAAGAAGATGAAAAAACTTCGAATAATAATGAAGGTATCTTTGTTCCTTCTTTTAAAACCAAATCAATAAATTTAGTTTATGATTAACACTAATAGCTTTAAAATTAAGAGCTCTTGACTAATTAAAATGATAATTAGTAGGATTTTATTTTAGAATAAGAGTTTACTAAAAAAATTGAGGAAAATAATAATAACTTTCCCTTAAAAAAGCGAACAACTGGAGAAGTATAACTCAACTCTAGAAATTTAGAAAAATCATATTCACAATATTAGTTTAAAAAAATATAGATTAATTAACCCATCAATTTAAATGACTAAGATGTGAACTTTAAGAAAATATCTGAAGAGACGAATAGTTCTATAGTTTTAGGATAAACTTACTATTTGAGAAGATTATTATCAGAAAAATATTAAAAATAGCCATAAAAAGATAATTCTCTCTAAGTGAAAAATACTATAAAAAAAATAAAGGCTATGAAGGACAATTCTATTTTGAATGGTATTCGTTAAAAAGTTTTTAAAATAAAGTAATGAATATTATTATTATTATTTCTATTTATTAATAAATTTTTACTTTTAAAAATAGAATTTTCAAGCAATGTGAGTATTAGAAATCTTAAGGATTAGATGCAGAAGATAAGCGAATTATTGATTAATATATTAATGAAAGCTTAGATATATTATAGATATATAGAGATCTTATCTTTTTAAAAAAAGCTGTACTACTTCTCTTTAGCAAAGAGCAATTAGCTATGCTTCAACTTATTGGAATATCTTCTAATTTCTGTAAACAGCAGGTTAACAGTGATAAAAATCTATAAGCTTAAGACTAAGGTTTTATATTTTTATTTTTTATTTTTTTATTTAAATTTATCTCTTTATTAAAAAAAGTAAAACCAAAAGAAATGAGTTACTTTGAAGAATAAATTTCTATTTTAAAAGATAGCCATAAATCAGAAAAATATATAATTTCTTTCTTTGATAAGCTAAAGTTGAACAAGGATCAAACAGAGGTGGATTAAAGAATACTGAACTCTTTGTAATGAATAATCTATTACAAAAATAAAATTTAATATATCTACTATAATATTTTATATTTGCGAGCAATTACTCAAAAACCATGAAACTCAAAAATTTAAATAAAAACTTTAAATTTGATGATTATTTTAATAATCAATAAGATAATTTTTTTATAAAGAGTATGGTATACCTCTAATTAAATTCTTATTATACCAAATAAAAAAACATCAACTCCACTCATGTACAACTTTAGTTTTTTAGTAAATATATATATACCCATTGGATATAGCTTAAAAATATCTATATACTGAATAATTAATATTACAAATATAAAAAATTATTTAATTTAAAACTTCTTTAAATGAAGTGATTAAATGAATTAGTATAGATTCATTTTTTAATACTAATTGACATGAAACCAATTATTTTAAGTTTCTTGAATATATTTTTATAATTTAATTTCGTATTTTAATGTAAACATTATTTGCTTGAATCAAATTTAGATATAAAGATATTCTGTTTAAACTCAAAAGGGAATAAAAACAAATTTTTAATTACAAATAATTACAAAATTCAGTAATTTATTATTTTCTTGAATTCAAGCATATAAAAAAGAACCTTTGCACAGCTTAGTAATAAAAATAATATTTTTTTCAACTTTTTTTTAAATCAAAAATTAATTCATACCTGATAGATTTTAAAAACAAATATCCTAACGATCAAAGTAGGATTTTAATACTAAAAATTAAATTTTATCAAATATACCTATTTTATTTTGATTTCATTAGTGCTTTTTTACTAAACATAAATAATATTGTTAATATTATCTTTTGTTCGGATTATTAAAAAAATTAGTATAATTTCAGGGTAAGATTAATTATTTAAATTAATTTCAGGTTATTAGTTAATCAATGATTTTTATACAATTATGTGATGATTTATTTCATATAATTTTTTAAATTAGTTATGTTATAATTATTGGATAGTTGATGATATTTTTTACTTTAATATAAAAAATATTATTTTAATTTGTACTAAATATTTATTACTAATTTATATTAAAATACGAGTTTAAAAACAATGAAATTTTTAATAATCTCTTATCATGATCCATTAACTTAACTATCATTATTAGAAACATTAGAATGAGAAAAGAAGACTTTGTAACAAATTTAACATCAAAGAATATATGAAAATAATATTTTATATTACAATTTTCTAAGTTTATTTAAAACCTACAAAAAATTTACTATTTGCATATAATTTTTACTAATTTTGATAATCAAAAGGGTAAATTTGTGAATAATTAATTATTTATAAAAATTAGTGGAAAAAATTGATCTAACTCTATAGTATAGAACTCAACTTTTTAACTAGAAATATGATAAGTTAATTATTTGGATTTTTATTTAAATACATACGTTGAATTAATATAATTAATATACTTTAGTCATAAACAAATTAAAAAAAACCTAAAAGATCAGTGAACAAAAAAGATTTAATTAAAAAGTCCTAAAATAACAAATAACAATAGAACTTTTAATACTACTTCTTCTACTTAAGACAATTCTATAATTAGATCATTTAAATGAGAGCCAGAATTTCAGCATGGCTCTTGTTCTTCTCTCTCCTTGTCACAAGTTAATATTTTATAAAAAATCAAAACAATTTTTTTAATTAAAATTTATTATTTTATTTATTCAATCTTAAGTTGTAAGTGTTTCCATTTTTCAAAAACTAATTATCTTTATAAAAAAAGGTTAAGCTGTTGAAATCGGTGCAGCTTAAAACTCAGTCAGGATTTTGTCAGTTTCTACTATCTTAGATACTGATAATGCCTAAAGATAAGGCTCTTTAAATGGTGGTACAAGAGTTTATATCAAAATGGTTGGTTAAGATAGTACCATGGCTTCAAATAATAATGTCTTAATAGGTCCTTATCCTTGTATTATACCAGGTATTAATGCTTTTTGACACTTAAATATTTATTTGAAAATATTTTTTTTGTTATCAATTATCAAATACTTTAAATCTTCTTTTTGCCAATATTTTTTTTACTCCAAAATGAAATTTTTTACTCTTCTAACCATTTTAAATAACTAAATTAACTTTTTAAAAATTTTAAAAACTAATTAATATTTACAGTAGATAAAATGAATGTTAATAATTTAAATAGATATGGGCGTTAATGAAGTTTTTGTATCTTGCGTGACTACTGCTGCTTATGATAGTACTCAATAATGGAATCTTCCTGTTGTTGTCAATGTTGTGAATAGAAGTGCTTCATAATGTGCTTAAAATGATGCTTCTTTATGTACTTTCTCTTATTCTGGATCCTTTACTCCAATGGTAGATATTATATTTCCTCGTGCAGTGCTTCCTAAGTTTGATTTTGAATGGTGGGGAACTTTTAGAATATCAAATACAAAATAAATCACAAAGATGCTTGTTGGCTAATTGCTTTGTGACAGATTTAATTTAGGATTGAATGAAGATACTCCATATAATGGTAATTCTTATAGTCCATTATCTTGCTAAGTAGACTATTCTCATCCAGCAGGATTCTACCTTTCACAATTTATTTCTGTTCCAGGCTAGGCTTCTAATTAAAGCCACCTAACTACTATTCGTTCCACTACTCTAGATTCTCCTTATGATATCTAGATTGTTTCTCAATAGCCATCTTAGGGTGTTCAATAAAATATCACTTCATAAGGAGGTTACCTTACTATTTAGGCATCAAATATTCCAACAAATACATAGAATGTCACTGTAACTTGGAATAATGCAAATTGTTAAATTACAGATTAACAAATATCATCTGGTTATTTTACATGCGTATTACCTAGTGGTTTAAGTAATCCAACAATAGATCAAACCTTGCGTTACGAGTCTGGATCTGGAGTTCATTTGCAAGCTTATAATACTTCTTCATGGGATTTAAATGGTCTTATTAATCAATATAAAACAAACTTATCTTAATTGACATTAGCCAATGAATCAATAATTCCATCTACTGAGTATTACTATGATTTAGACCCAAATATGGATAATCTTTAGAGGTAGTTCATTGTTCTTTAAGGTTACTTTAATCCTCCAAGAGATGGAAATTACTACTTCCATACTTCTTCCAGCTATTAAGCTTAAGTTTTGTTTTAATTTAGTGGAGACAGCACTATCGAGTCTACGATGACTACCATCAATACTATTACTTATGGAACCAACCTTAGAGATCCTTACTCTTAAAATTATGATCTGTAACAATCTACTTCAGATAGTATTTCTTTGAAGAAAGGATAATCTTATTTCTTTAAAATATATGCCCTTGCATCGAGCGCTAGTAGCTTTTATCACAGCACAGGAGTAAGAATTCCATCAGGGAACACTAATAATTATATTAATACAGTAAGTTAACTATCTAGATTTAGGATTGATTACTAATTCACAAAAGAAGTAGTTTCAATAACATTTAAAGACAGAACTACTGCTACAAAAACTACTTTTGGAATGAATTTCATTTACCCATATGGAGCTTAAATAAGTAAGCAAGCTTAGTAATGGGTAATAACAAGTTAGTAATACAACAGAGATACTCCTTGTTCTACTATCATTTGGCACTTCAATGTCTATAGTGGAGCAAACAGCACATGTACTTAAACAGATGTCACAGATTCCAATAACAATAAGATAGGTACTACATGGCAACTAACTTTTTAATATCATCGTCAATATGATGTATAGCCAACATTTGTTTTTAATAAAACTACAACAGATTCTCCTGTTTATAATGTTATCACTCCTGTAGGTCCTCCTTTATCAGGAACTTTCCGTTTAAAAATAAATGGTAACTATGTATAGATAAATAAAAGCCCTGATATCCCATATAATATTTATGAATGGCAGCTTTGCTCTGGAATTTAACAAATTCTTCAAACCTCAAATATTGCATGCTCTCGTAACATTAACTTTGTAGATGGTTCTCAGTGGTATTTTGATTTTTATGGTATAACCTCAAAAATATTAGTAGAGGCTGAATCTTAATTAGTTGGTTAATCTGGAGCTATTAACCTCTACGTAGATACTCTTAGATAAGCATCTAACTCCTACTTATACTATGCAGCAATAGAAAATGAATTAATTACTCAAAGATCAGCTTAACCTTATGCAGCAATAAAGGTTAATGGCGTTTTAACTTTAGCTTCCTTAACAAATTAATAGCTTATTGTTAATGTCTTGAGTGATTCTTAAGCTATTAGTTATACCAAATTTGATGATGATAATGCATCATCGACGTTAACCATAAGTGAAATTTAAGCAAATGGATTTAATCCAATTATTTCTAACTTTACAATTTATTATAACGGTATTAAATGTATAATTACTACTCCACTTTCATCCACATTTTCAGGAACATTGAAAGCTACTTATCTAAGTAAAGTTGCAGGAATTTATAAGCCTGTAATTTTCTACCAATCAAATGGTATAGCTCTTTCAAGCTAAGTAAGTGCAGTAACTTAAAATCCTATAGTAACTTAACTCAGCTCGACTACCATTTACACTTATGGTGGTACAACTTTAACTTTAACTGGTAAATACTTCCCTAATTCTATTGATAATAACTTAAAAGTTACTTTTGGTTAAATTTCAGCAAGTATTTAATCTGCAACAAATACTTAAATAGTAGTCTTGAGTCCAAGTGGACTTTCAGAGGGTACTATTAGTGTAATAGTTACTTACAATGGATTAAGTAGCAATAGTGTTTCAGTGACAGTAAGCAATAATAATGCAATAACATTAACTAATATTGATAAAAAACTAGCTTCTCCAGTTGATAAAACGCTAATTACCGTATAAGGAACTAATTTTGGTAATGATTCTTCAAAATTATAAGCCTTCCTAGATGCTGTAGACTCAAATGGTAACCTTGTTACTTATGGTAAATATTAAGTCAACGTAGTCACTGCTACCGATACAAAAATATAAATTCTCCTTGGTGGAGGACTACCTGGTAAATACTAGCTCAGGGTTGTTTAAGTAGGATTTGGAAGTAACATTCCTACTGATGGAGTTGTTAACCTTATTGAATATAATATTTTAATTAATTCTTTCAGTTTAAATAAAGTATCTGCTTATGGAGGAGCTTAGCTGATAATAAACGGAGTAAACTTTTCTTCTTCACTGACTGACAACTAAGTTTTAGTTGTATATAGCAAAACAGATTCAGAAATTTGTATTTTATAAGCTGCTTCTTCTACTAGTATAACATGTACACTTCCTAACATGTATTAGCATCTACCATTAGGAACCACTAGTGAATCTTTTGAGATAGAAGTTTGGGGAAAATTAATTGTTAAGGCTATTGTGGATCCTTCTTCTTCTTCATTTACCCCATCAATCACTTTTGATTCAAGCTTAGGAATTTAAGTAGGTACAGTCAACAATTAATGGTAGCGTTTTAATTCTTAATATTCCATTAATGGAACTAATATTCCAACAGATGCTAAGACCTTCTCAGTTATTATAATTGGATATGAAAATATTCCCATTACTATTAATTCTTCGAACTCAACTTTAGTAACATATACTACTCCAAATTTACCTTCAGGTGATTATAATATAGTTCTGCGCACTGTGGTTGGTGACAGCTCTTACTTGAAAATTACTATCCAAGAATATACCTACCCCTTAGCATCTTCTTAACTTTACACCATTTCAAGCTAAGGAGCAGAAATAAGCTTAGTCATGTCAGGAAATATACCTGGATAAAATCCAATTTTTAAATTCAATGGATTATAAGCTACTCTTCTGCAATACAACAATTCAACTGGCCAAGTAACAATAAGACTTCCTTCTAGTCCAGTTGGTTCAAACTATTAGTTGCTTTCTGTAAGAAGCCCTCTAGTACCTTTAACTGGCAAAGGGAATTTACCTTGGGTAACTCACTAAACAGCATTTACTGTCATAGCTCCAAACTGGAGTGTAAGTTAAGTTTAAGTAAACGGAAATATACTGAGTATTACTGGTAATGGCATAAGTGCTTTGAAATAAGCATATTTATAATAGAGCACAAATAATAATTAATAAATTGTATCAACAAGCATTACAAGTTAGACTAACACAGGAGCTACTATAACTTTTGCAAATGCTCCAGCTGGAACTTACTAACTTTATTTATTAGATTCTTCTAATAATTATCCCTCTTTTTCTAATAACAGTAATTAGGTATAAATTAGCCTTTAAAATCTTTCTAGTTCATAAACCACTTCATCTTATGCTGGTGGATAAACTTTGACAATAAATGGATCTGGATTTAATACAAACAATATCAGCCAAAATTTAGTTACTATTTGTGGAAACTAAGCTACTGTCTAAAGTGCTAGCTCTTCCTCTTTAGTAATAACTACTCCACCTGCTTATTCAGTTTAAGCTCTAAGTAATTATAAATTTCCTTCTGATTAAGTTAATCCATTAGCTGGATTCACTACTTTTGGTAATGATCCTAATGGAAATTCTTAATATCTTGCAGATGGAGATTTGCTTTTTTACTATTCAAATTCCTAAGGAGGCTCTTGCTTTTGTGGTTTAAATTTTGGTACAACATATGTCGTTTTAAGTAAATTCTAATTATATCCTCGTTCATAAGGAGTGACTGATGCATCATTATTTTTTGGTACTGTTTTCCAAGGTTCAGTTGATGGTACTAACTGGGTAACACTTTTGACAATTGGAACTGATTTCCACTTAGGTAAAAACATGTATTTAATAGATACATTGGTTTCAAATGTTTAATAAACTTAGAAAAAGAATCTTCAAGGAGCCTACACATAATTTAGATTATTTGATTAATCAGGTTTATCTAATTGCCAAATGGTAGAAATTTAACTCTTTGGTTGGAAGAGAAGTGCAGTAGTTGAGAGCGGTACTACTCTTGCATGCCCTGTTTCAGTTTCTGTAAATGGCTCACCTATTTTCTCATTAGCTAATAATGTAATTTATGACTAATAAATAACTTACATAGTTCAATCAATTACCCCAAGTTATGGTAGTATTTCTGGTGGAACATTAGTAACAATAAGTCTAGACAGAGCCCCTGATTCTTCAGCTAAAATATCAGTTTTTATTGACGGAATAATTTGCAGTGATCCAAAAATATCTTAATCATCAATTTCTTGTCAAACTGGACCAAAATCTAGCTCTGCAAACTCTTCTTTAGTTGTATAAATAAACTCATATCTTGCAGTAAACAATGGAATAATTTTCTATTATGGAAACCTTTGGTCTAGCGCATCTACATGGGGTAATGATTTTGCTCCTATAGCAGGTGATATAGTTTATGTAAACAATGGAAAGAGCTTAATAGTAGATGTTCCATATGTAGGTATTCTAAATACAATAGTTATATAGAATGCGAACCTTATTTTCGCTAATAATATGAACATCCATTTAGAAACTAATAGTATCTTAGTTTAATCAGGTAATGTAGTTATAGGTACTCAAAGCTCACCTGTGACTGGTAATGTAAGAATTACACTTTACGGATAGTAGTCAGACAAATAATTCCCTACAGTAGGTAACAAAGGTCTTTCTATTTACAATGGTAGTATTGATATATAAGGTTAGACACGTGCTGTTACATGGACTGAGCTTTCTGCGACTGCAAATGTTGGTGAAACTAGTATTCAAGTATTTATGAATGATCCTGCTTTTGATTGGTAAATAGGAGAAGAAATCGTAATTGCCTCTACTGATTATGTTGATGGACACTCTGAGCGCCGTATAATTACAAATATTTCCAAAAATGCTGATGGAAAAACTGTTACAATTTCATTTGTTTAGCCTCTGCTTGTATAGCATGTGAGTGTTACAGGAGAGTCTTACAAAAGTGGTCAGTTCTTAGTAAATATGAGAGCTGAAGTTGGTCTTCTTACACGTAATGTAGTTTTTGAAGGTGATCAATCTTCAATAGCAACTCGCTATGGTGCTCATTTAATGCTTCATGGATCTCAAACAAGTGCTCGCATAAGATATGCTGAATTCAGATATACTGGGCAACCAGCTATAATTGGCAGATATCCAATCCATTTCCATATGGTTGGAGATGTCTCTGGATCAGTTGTTGAAGGTAACGCTATCCATGATTCATTTGCAAGAGCTGTCACAATTCATGCTACTCATTATCTTCATGTAAAGAATAATGTTGCTTTTAATAATGCAGGCCATAATATTTTCCTAGAAGATGGTATTGAAACAAATAATTTAATTGAATACAATTTAATTTTAGGTACCATTTAAGTGTGGTCGATGCTTTAGTCTGATATTACTCCAGGGTCATATTGGATCACTAATCCTCTAAATTATGTATCAAATAATAGAGCTGCTGGTGGTGACTTCTATGGATTTTGGTATGAAATTAAAGAACATCCTGATGGCCCATCAGCTAGAAATGATATTTGTCCTCAAGGCATGGGATTAGGATTATTCACTAATAATGTTGCTCATTCTTACGACCGTTTTGGTCTTAGGATTTTTGTCATGACAAACCTCTAATATCCTTGTAATCCATATAGAGATGACACTTAGCCAAACCCTTTCGTTAACAATACTTCCTTCACTATTACTTGGTCTAATTTTGTTGCATACAGAAATAACGAAGATGGTGTTTTGGCTGAAGAAGTAGGAAATATGATTTTTAACAATTTCACTCTTGTTGGAAATAAGTAATCAGGCTTTAACTCATATTTGACTAATAGAACTGATGAATATGTTATATTGCAAAATTCATTAATTGTTGGTCAATCAGTTGGTAATCCTGCAGATGTTTCTGATCTTCAAAGCTCTTACGGGTTAATAACTCCTCGTACAGATGGCTTCAAAGTTTAAAGTGTTCACTTTGCTAATTTTATTTAAAATATGAAAGTATTTAAATCTTGTTCTTTTTGCTGGCACTTTAAGAAGTGGGTCTAAGGAGGAAAGCTCACTTTATTTAGTCAAATTACTTATGAAAGCATAAGTACTAACAATTACATGTATTGGGATAACTGGCGCAGAGAAATATACCAAGATTTAGATGGTTCATTATCAGGCAAAGGTAGTTAATAATGGATTACCCCAGCTGGACCTCACCTTGTAAATCAAAAATCTTGCTAAACATCATCGTAAGACATGATTAAGTGGAATAATGCAGTAATTTGTAGTCAGCAAGTAGTCAGAATAGAATTTAGCAATCCTGTTGACTCTAATAATTTTAGATCTAAAGCTTTATATGTTCTCCCATGTGATTCAACTGGAAAAGGTTACGGTGGAACTAGTAATACTGATTATTACATATCCAAATCAGTTAAAATTGAAAATGCAGCTGGTGATTTAACTCTAGGATTTGTTGGTACTTTCTTAACTGGATAAATATTTTAAGTTTAATGGGAGATGTCATAAATCGATTTTACTCACTTTAGTATTGGACTTTCTCCTTATCACACTGGTACTTCTGCATCGGACACTATACTTATAAAATTTCCAATAAACGATTTCAGAGAAACATGGTAAAACTTCTAAATGATTGCAGGAGTTAATGTTTAGCTTTATAAAAATATTACATCTGGGCAAGACCCAACAGCTCTTGCTAATCTTAAAACCTTAAACTGTAATCATGGAGATTGGTTTAATGATATAGTTGGCTAAGCACTATGGCTATGTCTTAATGCTAAAAATAGGCCAAAAGCAACCAACTTGCAATATCTTGAAAGAGTAGATCTAAATGCTCTAAGTTGCTTAGCAAATTGTCCCCTCCCTCCTGGCTAATGTAAAAAGGATGGAGTATTAAGAAGGATAAGTAATTTAGCTACATGGCAAGGAGTTTCTATTGACGGAAATCCAGGACCTACAATAAATTCATCTGGTAATAGCACATTATGGATACCTTGTCCTTGGGAAGTTGTAGTTGATTAAGATTTAACAAAGTACACATAGATTATAGTTGAAGGTAATCTAAGAATTGACCCTACAAAGAATGTAAATATACAAGCTAACGGTATTTGGCTTAAAGGAGGTCTATTTATTGCAGAAGGTTCTACACCAGGCTCTCCTTATACTTATAATCTGAATATTTAACTGAATGGCAACTAGGATTAACCTACTTAATTTGTCATAGACCCTTTAGTTGATGTTGGAAATAAAGTAATTCTGAATACTGGTAACTTTACACTTATAGGAAACCCTCCTTCAACAACATATACTTAATTGGCAGCTTCTGCAAATCCTGGTGATAGCTCAATAACTGTTGTAAGTGTAAATGGATGGAGTGTTGAAGATATAATAGCAGTTGCTCCAACACAACTTGATGCAACTGAAAATGAAATTTTCAGTATTCAATAAATTAATGGCAATGTCGTAACTTTAAACTCAACTATATAATTTTATCATTACGGTGCTTAAAGCATCACTTTACAAGAAACTTGGGGATCTTACTCTTAGTAATTAGATTTAAGAGCTTAAGTTTTGCATTTAAATCGTAACATAAAAATAGTTGGATCTCCAGTAAGTACTGGTATTCCTTGGGGTTGTAGAGTTCTTTCTCATTATTGGCAAATTCTCGCTGATGCTAGTGGTAATCCTCTTCCTCCTGAAAAGTAGCTTCACTTAAGAGGCATACTCACGTGGAATGGTGTTGAAATGAGAAATTGTGGTTAAGCTGATACTTCTCGTGGTGGAATTGATTTCAGAAACTGTACGTCTGATGCAAACAATCAAATAATTAGTAATGTGATCAACTCAAGCTTCCATGATTGTCCTGGGTACTGTGCTAATATTGATACATCATCTAATATTAACATTTCAAATAATAACTTCTTTAGAGGGAAACCAATATTCTTAGGACTAAATTACCCAAAGAATGTCACAATATCTAAAAACATATTCGTTGCTGCTCTAAAGCGTGATTATCAGTATAGTGTCGCAGGTATGTTATATGATATGAATACTGCTATTTATTTCTTATCAACTTAAGATCCTACTGCTGATTCCATTCTTATTAGCTAAAACATAGTGTAAGGATCTCAAGGTCCTTGCTTATCTCTAGTTTAAACTCCTTGCTCAAGTGTTTCTAAAATATCTTCAAATCTTGGTGTTTGGGGAAATCAAGCATAAACTTGTTTAGTAGGTGTCTTATTCAAACAAACTCTGAATGGTTGCTAGTGGGCAGGTAAAATAGCAGTTGCTCGTTCAGTTAAAGGTATTATGGTTAATCCAACTCAACCTAGTCTCATAGTTGAACATGTACTTGCTGCAGAATCAAATCGTTCAGTAATTCTTCGTTTTGCACATTAAGGATATCGTAATGTAGGTGTTTTCTAAAACTCATCTATTTTTGGCGTTGCAATCACAAACGACCCAACAGCTTATGATAGTTCTACAAAAGCCTAAGTTTGCTAAGGAGGATCAGGCACATAAAACTTAGTTGTTACTGAAGGTGGTGAGGACTTCCCATTAAAAACTATGCCTCTTTCTTTTGATGTAATTTGCAATTCGGAAGTTTTTGATGCCTCTCTTTATCAAGTTAATGTTAAATATGTTAACTTTAAGAAAACTTATAATGACGCCAATTTTAAGTCTTGTGCCAACAATTTCATGATGGTTACACATCCTAGTGCTTCAGATCATACAGCTGGTACATATAATCAAAATGTGACTTGCGTTAACTGTTCAACTGAAGCTTACTTCAATTTTATGTCACCTAATCCAGCTTGGGCAGGTTGGTTTGGAGGTTGTGGACTTTTCTTATGTACAGGTCCAGATAATGTCCTAAATGTTGATTTTACAGGCAGTCTTTTCAATAATATTCCTTCTTCTGGTATATCTCATAACAAAGGAATAGCCAATAAAAATTGTATTTCTTAACCAAATTGGAATAACGCTTACTAATGTCCTGGCACAAATTATGCATAGCTTGAATGGTAGTCAGAATCTCCAGATCATAATAAAAGATCAACAGCTCCTTGTTAACTCACATCCTTAGATGGAAGCTACACAAATAAAATCAACATGTTTAGAGAATGGTAATGGGATGGTAATGAACCTATGAATTTAAGAGAAAATAGATACTATGCTACAGTACTCTTAAATACCACCTATAATATTCAATATAATGGTTTAAATCCTTATAATATTATTCATAGGATACAATAAAGAACAAATGATAATATAGGTGAACCTAATGCATGGGTTATCTTTAATTCTTAATACAGCGTCCCATAGAATATTGAAGTGTCTATAGATGGTGGAGCTGTTGTAGAACCGTTCCTTGTTAGTGATAATGTGGATCTTACAAAAAATACCACTTGTGGAGCTAATATTTATAATTATGAAACTAGAACAATTTCATTCGTAATAAACGGTGCAGCAAATTGTTTGGTACGTGTGTAAATTCTTGATACTGTACGTATTCAAATAAAAGTATCTATATCAAATGAAGAATTCTTCAAAAATAACAATAAATTTAGTTTTATATCTGCTATTGCATCATTCCTAGGAATATAAGATTTTTCTCGTATAAAAGTGGTAGGTGCAGCTACAGGAAGTAGATTCTTACAAAGTGGTTCTATTATTTAAAGCTAAAAAACATCTTCATCAAGCAGTTAAGGATTTAATCTAGCAATTGATATCACTAACAAATCAAGTGGTGGTTCAATAAATCCAGATACTGTACATTAAGATCTTATGAACAAAGCTAATTAATTATAGGCTGGTTTCGCAAATAATAATATTCCAGGAATTAAAGCAAACACATTTACTGTTGTTTCAACTCAAGTTATGGTTTCATCAGATTCAAATGGTGGTATTTATGGCTAAAACAGCAGTAATAATAATCCAACTATATAAGAATCTTCATAAAATTCATCTAATAATACTTTAGCAATCATATTAGGTGTTGTATTAGGTTTCCTTGCTATTTTAATTGTAATAGCAGGGTTTATAGCTTATAAGAAATACAAAAAGAGCAAGATAATACAAAATAAAAATAATGTTGAAGGAGAAAAGTTAGTTGAAATAGATTCTATCAAATCTGAGCCTCAAAAAGAAAACGTCAAAGAAAATCTAGATAACTAACTCCAACCAATCAACCTAGATTCAGCAAACAATTATGCTTAAACAATGAATTTAGATCCCATAATTCCTGCTGATTAAGAAATTCATTAGATACCATTATAAGGAATTGTAAATCAGAGTCCATTTTTAAAATGATAGGTGAGAAAATCATAATCCTTTATACAAATATTATACAAAAAAAAAGGAATATTAATATATATTTTGTTATTATTTTATAAATAGTTTTTTTATTTTAAAATTCTAAATAATTTACTTTGAATTAATATTTTTATTCCATCTCCTTTTACCTCTTAATTTTCCATCTTAAAATTAATATTGTTCTTTATTTTAAATTAATCAACATAAATATAGCTGTTCCTGCATTATATTATTCTTAAAGATTTTTTGTTCTACACCTAAATTATTTTCTTTATATTTGCTTTTAAAACGCTTACAAAAATTAACCAAAATTCAAAAAGTTTTTTTTCTAATGATAATGTTTAGTCTATTAATTTTTATAAAGTGGAATAGTTATTTCGAGTGATACAGTATTTAATTTTTTAAATTAAAAATCTCTGATTAGAAGTACTTTAGGTGCTTATTTATACATAATATGTTAATTTATCTAAATAACCATAAATGCAATTTAAACGGGTTTTACAACACATATTTTGTGTACCACAAATATAAGTACATATTAAATATTATATTTTTAGAATATGAAAAATTATTTAACTTAAAAATTTAAAGATGAAAATTTATTATTTTAATAATCAGTTAACAGTGAAATTTAAATTTATTATATTTACAGTTTTATTTTTTAAATAAATAATTAGAATTATATACATATGTGTTTGTTTTTAATTTTAAGTAAATTTAATTGTTTTTTATTTTTGATCAAAAAATCAGTATTTGAAAATAGATTTAAGCAGATAAATTGTTGTTTCTTCTTATGCCTTTTAAAATGGTAAGCACGTGAGAGCAAATTGAGCAGACTGTACATCTAAATTTATTTTTTATTTTAAGTAGACACTGAATACTAACCAAATGACTATCAAAGTAATTTCTCCTATTAACATGTAAAAAGTATAAAATTGCTAAATTTATTTAATTTAATTATCTAAGAGGGAGTATAATTAGTTTTAAATAAGGTTAAAAGTTTCAATAGGTAATTAAAACCCATAAGCTATAAGATATTTATATTAATCAAGTGATGAATATTCCCATGACATTTAGATTGTTTCGCTTTAGTTTAGGCTACCATTATAAAGTGAACTAAACTGTTAGAAATAATATAAATAACTAGAAATGATAGAAAAGAATCCATTTATTGCTTCTTATTTTATTGTTGAGGTATTTTTACAAACTTCTTAGTCTGACAAAATTTCGCATAGATTTTAATTAAATAATTTTTCTAGATAACTCATATTTTAGCTATCAAATATCTGTCTATTCTATATTGCATTAGACATATAATTTGAGTAAGTGTTTAATAACTTCATATCTTGATTAAAAATATTTATTGCTTTTTAATATTAATCAAATGGGAAGTTCAAATCATGTTATTAAATAATACTTTTCCTATAAGTAAACTCGCTTAAAGTGATAATTGAGTGAAATGATAATTTTGTTTTCATTGTAGTATTGAATACATCTAACTATTGCTTCAAAAAGGATTATTCTTCGTAATAGAAAATAACTGAAACAGCCAAAAAACAAATAGCAGTAAAACCAAAAAAGCAAAGCATAATGAAATATTTGAAAACAGAGAGCTTTTAGTCACTCATCTTAGAGCTGATGTGCTATTATTAAATTTTATTTTCAGCTTTTTTTTACTTTAATTATTTTAAAGCTACTTAAGCTGAATGAGCAGTTGAGCTCTCTTAAGAGTTGATTTTTAAGGCCATTTTTTATATTATAAAATCACTACAAAAATTATACTCTATCCAACTGCAATCATTGTTCTATAAGTTTCTATGAAAGAGCTCGAGTTTTGTAATTTCTTTGTCTGCTTCATCAACAGTAGTCCTTGAAAGGACAAAATAAATAATTTCTTAGAATTTATTTATTGATTTCATTAAGGGTAAGGATAAAATCGATGCAAAAAGAAATATTGCAACCGTGATTATTATTATCAAAATAACATGCTTTTATAAATTTTCTATATTTTAATTCTACTGATCAATATTATTTTGAATTAATTCTCTAGAATTCTATTGGATTATAATTTAATTTTCGTACATAAAATATATACTATTAATTTAATTTTGAATATGCTCTGATTCGCATACTGCTCTAATTTTCTACATAGCTAACAAGTAAAATTCTAGTTAATTTAATTTTACTTCAATTTTTTAGCTAAATAAAAAAAAAAAATTTAGATGATATTTACATCCATAAAAATTAATAAATAATTATTTAAAAATTATTTTTTTTATATTTAAATATTAAACAATAAAAAATAATTAATTCAATAAAATAATAGCTTACTTTGATGAAAAATCAAATGTTTGTATTTAGTCTTGGCTTTAACTCAGTTCAATAATTCTATTAATATTTTTTTATAGGTCCATCTAGAAGTTAGATCCAATTTGATTACAATAAGATTGATTAAAAGAAGAAACAGCATTCTCTAGTTCATTTGGAAGAATATTCAAATTATATTCATATTTAATTAATTAGGTTAATGCTTATTGGTCATAGTATTATCCTAGTAATGACTATTATTAGCTTATATTTAAGGAATCTTTTACTTAACTAAGCAAACCTTGCATCTTAATATAATATGCTAAAGAAATACTAATAAAGGCGAGGATATCAAATACTTTTATTTAATTGAAAAATGTAAAAAATCAATTTAAATTAAAAATATCTTACTTAAAAGAATAATTATCTTAGAGTTACTTCTTATTGATCTTTTATGAATTATTTGATAAACAATTAATTCTTGTCTACTTGAACTATTTGAAGTTGTGGATGAACCTTCATGTATGTTTTCCATCTAAATATTTTTATCTAGCTTTATTTCTTCTTTTTCTTATTTATCTGTATTATTTGTTGGACGGGAAGGTGTATTTTTTGATAGCTATTTATTGATATCTTAATTTACTTTTTGTTAACTTGCTTCATTTTTATAATTGTTATTTTATAAAATTTGTGCTAATTTTTAATTTTTGGTAATATAATTCTATTTCATTTTATTTTTAAACATTTCAATCAGTTAAAAACTATCATGATTACTTGTACTTTTTTGATCGCAGCTTTTTTCTAATTATAACTAATTCTTATAGTGAAATTAAGCTGAAAGAGGGCTATTGATATTATTTAAGGATGTGATGATTTAAGTTGTTTAGTAATTTATTTGATTAATTGATTTGTCTTATGAAATTAATGTCTTAGAATTTATTTTTGCACTATCTTATTTGTATAAATCGTTATTTAATGTATGAACATTTTCTTCGCTTTTTATTTTATGTGGGCTCAAGCAGACAAATTCAAATTCTTATTACGAAAGAAGGTTTCTATTAGAAGTAATTTAACTCATCAAGTTAAAGGTGTAATGTTCCTCTTCTAGTATTCTTTCTTTGGTTTATAATTTATTAGAATCACCTTCTATTTGAATTTTATTGTTGGCATTATTAATAGTTTTATTGGATTCAGTTTTAGTAATTTATGGCTACTAAACTAGAGATATACTACTTGATTTAATAAATTAGTTGTTTATTTTTTCAGTAGAATAATTTTATTTGCTAGAACTTTAGTTATAGTTGTTTGTTTTCTACATAAAAATTTAAGAATTTCTTTTTAAATTTAGGTCTTTTGAGTTTTAGTTTTTGAATTAGCTTGAAAAGAGTTTTTTTTAATCTTGAGAATCTAAATTATGAGAAGAGATTTAGGTTTTATTCGCTGTATCTGAAATGGTATTTTCGGTTTCAATAGCTTATAAAGTATGTTCATTTTACATTCTGTCATGGAGATCTATGGTATTTAATAAAGTTTATTTTCTTTATTTTAAGTCATTAATTTCAATTTCAAAAATAAACTCTTAATCTTCCACAATATGTTAATGTCTTTAATTAGAGCTATTTATAATATGGACAATTAAATTTGCCTAACAGTTGGCGCTCTTGAGGCAGTTTGCTCTATTCCATTCCTATTTAAAATAATTTTTTAAAATATTTTCCCTAAATGCTTAAAACTAAAATGAAAGTTAAATATTTTTTAATATGTATTTTATTTTTTTATAAGCTTCAAACCTTTTCTAATGGATATTTTTTAGAAAATAGTTGCTCTCCACAACTTACTGAGTAAATAAAATTTTGATTATCCAAAAAAATGATAAATACTGTAATATTTTAGAATAAAGACTACTAGTCGATTAATAGATTTTTTATTTTTCTAATCATCAAAATCATTTAATTTTTATTAAGAATATCTTTAGAGGGTATATTTAAATTTATTAAATTTGCAGTACTTAAATTATTAATTTAGAATACCTTTTAAATTAAGATATTTACAAATATCTTCGAAAAATTGTAATCATTAAAATTTGTTTCTCGATTTCAGAAAATCAAAAAATTTTATTAAGATATAAAATATTAAGAAAATAATATTGAAATAATGGATGATATTATTAATAAAAATAATATTACCTAAATTTGTGTTTTATAGAACTGTTTGAAAAAACTCAAGGCTTCTAACTTATTCTAAAGGGAATAATTTTTAGAGGATTGCTTAGAGCTTTTTTAAGTTTGATTTTAATTAATTTTAGCTTGAGATTAATAAGTTTGAAATTATGATTCTAGAGATTAATTGAGCTCAATTAAATTCAAAGGGATTTCTATCTTAATATCATTTTTACTGAATAGCAATCTTCTACTGATTGATTTTAAATTTGTATTTTTATCATCACTATTTTTATTTTGAATATTTTAACTTTCATATTCAATTCGATTTTAAGTCGACAACTAATTAAGAAACTCTTTAATAGACTTTATCAAGCATGGCATAAACGTAAATATATTTAGTTTTTGTATCTCCTTCAATATTGCAGATTAATATTCATTTTCCTAGTTTATTAAGTGAAAAAAATTGCTTATCTTATAAATCTTGAAAAATAAACGTACATACATTAACTCCATTCCCTTATTACTCTTCATCTATACCCACAATTTTTAGATCAAAGAAACTAGAAAAGAAATTTTTATCTATTCCTTTGATTTACCCGGATTAATTAAATATAATATAGCCTTGTTAAGAAATTAGCTTTAAAAGAGTTGCACTCATTCTAAAATCATCTTAATATGAGTAATTTACAGAGACCTGCAATTAAACAGGAAAAATAAAGCCTTGTTTATTAATTGAAAACACTTTTTGATTGGAAGATAAAATTTGAGAATGACCCTTATGAATAAATCCATTAATTAATTATTAATGTATATTAGAAATGTAAGTCGGCATGAGGTCTTCTATTCTTTTAAAACTGGAGAATTCTATCTAATTAAATCCGAAGAAATTAGCCAAGGAGCTATTTGAACGATTAAGGATTTTATAATTTTAATTTACACTTGTAAAAATAGTTATTATGTTTCCTTGATTCAAATTGTATGAATTTAACTCATCGAACGGTCTAGAAGATCCTTTTTAAATCAAATGCGTCATTTATCTCTCTAACAGCAAAGGTTTTTTAACTTCGTTAAAAATGACAATCTAAAATATCTAAAGAATCTGATTGAATATAAAAGAAATATTTTAATATTGGTTTCTAACATACTCCATTTATGAAATTATTTTTGCGAATAAATTTTTGGCATTTTTGAGAATTTTATATAATAAATAACTTCATATGAGTTGAAAACAGCTAAAAAATTATGTTTTTTAAGTTAATAATTACCTTTTATAAAATAAAATTTGGTTCTATAATAGACATTTTAGAAAAGTATTTGGAGTAATGACTAAATTAATGTCTAAGCTTTTAGTATTTGACATAAAGTTCTTTGGATATAATTCTGAGACCATCCATAGAAGAAATTGTTGACTTTAATTACTTGAAATGTTGAAGTTTGCTTAAAGTGTAATCTGCAAGAAGAGGAACAAGAGAGTTTTATATTTCTTATGTTTTTATAATATCTTTCATGGTAAGAGTCACTTTTGAGTTGAAAGTAGATTTTTATTCTTACTTTTACATTGAATAAAGTAGCTCTTAATGAGCGGTTATCATTTATTTGAATGTTCTAGATAATACTTAGCAAACTCCAATAAAATATGAAGAATTATCTTTTGGGTAAGTTTTGTAGTATTTTTTTAGTTCGTAGTAAGCACGTAGGGGATTTCTTTAGAATTTAGCAACGAAAGTAATGTATTTCAGAAATAAATGCTCCCTTGTTGCTCTGTTTTTAATAACTACCTTATTTTATATGCAATCACTAAAGACAGTATCAATAATATTTTTAACTAATTCTATTCTTAGCTGGTTTCTATCATCATAGATTTCTTCTTGCTTGCAATTGCAGATTTCTCTTACGCAGTGCTCTTTGTGCTAAGAAACCATCTAAAGCAAATTAAAACTGCTTAAATCATCCTTTTGAGCTTATTAACTAGCAAGCCAAAATTATTCCAAGTAAAAATCTATATCATTAACTGTTCTATTAAATATTACAAAAAATAAATAAATAATTTATGAAAAAACTTTCTTATGGTAATGTTAATTCCTGATTTATATTACTAAGGTTAGAATCAATCAGATTACACATATTTTGTTATATAATTTTAATTATCACTAATTTTATTAATTAAGCAAATTATTCAATGCTAATTTTGATTAATTCAGCACTTTTAATTTTTTTTTCGAAATGCGTATGGTTTTTTTTGTCAAATCGTATTTAGAACAATTTTGATTTATTCAATATTTTTGTAAGTACCTGCAAGTATTAATTAAATTAAAATTTTTAAAAGATAGTCTAATTATCCTTCAAATCTATTTTTTTGTTTTCTATAATTAAGAATTTTTAAATAAAAACTCTTTTATTAAACCATCTCAATGTTCATATCTTATTTTTTAATTGCAAAATATTTAAAACAATTATTTTATAAATGGCATATTTTTATCAATTAACATCGCTTTTTATGAATTGTTTGATTTTATTCTGTAGACAGATTAAGTGATTTAATTATTATTACATAGAAAATAACTCAAATTTGCTAAAATTTTGCTCCTTTTTATTTTTGTGGGTATTTAATTAATTTGCTAAAAGTTAAGTAATATTTTATTAATGTAAGTTACCTAGATTAGCTGAAATTATTAGAGGATCCAGACATATTAATTATAGAATTGTATTAATATCTTGATATTGAATAGATTAAAAAAGCAACAAGAGCTATTGAGAAGCTCATTAGATAAAAGAGTTCTGTGCTCTTGAATGGAGTATAGTTGAAAAAAATTGTTAAAATGGTGTGGCTAACCCAAAAAAAAGATGTTCCCATAATGTAGAAAATCGAAATTATTTAATCTCTGTATGGGTAATTTAAGAAAATATCAAGAATCATAGAAATACCCATACACTAAGCTATTATATATTTAAAGTAGGAAGGCAACACCTCTCCTAAGTAGTAAATCATTTGCAATAAGAAAAAGGAAAAGATAATTGGGATTAGAAGATAAGCAAATCTCCTCTTTAAAAGGTTACTCTCGCAAAACTCATAGTTTCTAAAGAAAAAACTTATCAATATATTAGTAGTTACTGATAAAACTACTGCAAGACCTCCTAAAATATTCCATATTTATGGTTTATCACTGCAGTTTCCTTAATTTCTATATGCTTGAAGAAAGGCATTTTCATTACACGAGAGCATTCCCAACCCTATTTCAGTGAAAGGGGTCAAAAAAATCCAATAATAAAGAGTGAAAAAAATAATAAGCATCTAATTTATTGTCATAAAGCTTTTTTTGTTTTGCAAGTACCATGATCTTTAGTGGTTTTTGACATAGTTGAGAAAAATAATATAAATTGTGTAGGAATAAACAACTAATTAAATAATGCAAAAAAAGATAATTGTAAGATTGTCATTTCCTTTAAGAAGGAGTAAGAAAGTTCCTGTTGAAACTTCATTTACATGAGCAACAATAGTTATTTTTTAGTCATAAAAAGCTCTGTCTCCGTGAGTGCAAAAAATATATCCGCTAATCTAAAATATATTTATGGTCATCAGAGTACAATAGATTTTTTTGCTTATTAAGAAGTTTGGCTTATCCTCTATGATCTCTAAAACTGTTAGAAACAGTTAAAACAAGTAATTTTTGATGGTTTTGCTAATGCTCTTCATAAATAATAATGCTTGCTGTTTTATATAACTATATTTTTTACGCGCTTTTTTAATTATTTGCAGCAGTATAAATATTAATCAATCTTTTTTAATATTAAACACTATATTTAATAAGATTATTTATTTACTTTATTATTCTACAGGTGATTTATCTAATTTTATTAGTATACTGATGAAATACGTTTTGCTTATATATATATTTTTGATATTACTAATTTAAGCTAATTATTTTTAAGTTTTGAGTATTTAATGTAACCATATAGCTATATATATTTATAATTATAAAAATAAGAATCTCATATTTTAAAATAATATGTTAAGATGTTAAATAATAGGAAGCGTAGAGTAATTAGGTTTGTGAAAACTTTCAATATGCTTACATTTGCCAATATTGTGTATTAAAAAGTTTGTAAGTACTAAAGATAATTTATGATATTTAATTAAATAACAAATTTTAATTTATTTTTTTTTTAGTTGGAACTGCATATGAATGAATATCATTGTCAAAAAAACACGGATAATATATTATGAAATTTTGTAATCTAATTAGATTTATTGATTTTCTTATTTTTGAATTGACTTCAGTTTACAGCTTGTTAATTAAATTCATCAAATCATAAAATAACTTTTGCAATATTCTGTATATTTGAAAAATTTTGCTTGACTTTTAATTAAAATTAATGAAATCAAAAACTTGTAAGAAAACAAATATAATTATTTGTATTTCTAGCTTATAAAGTGTTGGTAAGAATAGAATCAATTGATTGATTGTAGCTCAATTTCTTAAAACCAATTTTCAAATATTTAAACTCAAAAATCAACATCTATTAAGATACATTTTTTTGCAAAATTTGCTATTAATTAAAATATATCCATTAAATTAGAAAAAAAAAGCCCATTAATTTAAAAAAACAAATAATCTGTGGTAAATTAATAAATATTTTTTAGACATATTTTGATTTTGCAAGCTGTGCACTGTTTTGCATTACAAGATTCCATCAAATTGGATATTATTTACTTACTCAAATTTTTTGTACTTTTGCTTCCTGATGGACTAAATCACTCTTAAAAGGAAATAGTAGTCAGTTTTAAAAAATATCTTTGAATAGTAATATAAATTCTTCAAATGACATTTAAAGAATTGAAAATATCAACAAAATATTATTAAAAAAAGAAACATATTTACATCTATTTATGGATTATTTGAATATTAAATAACTAAAATTTAACCAAATTAAGCGTTTCTTGATTGGCTAAATCATTTTATTATCTATTTTTACTAGCTGATCAAAATCAGAAGTATTTTAAATAGATTAACTTATTTACTTACATTTTCTTTTCAACTGCTATTTTTAAAAATAGATTTAAAATTTTTTATTGTGTGTGATAAATGTTCTTTATAAAAATCACGAAAAGTATAATTACTGTTTAATGGATTAAAATTTAATCCTTTTTTAATTACATCAAGCTATAGAAAATTTAATTAATTAATAAATTCATTTATCTTTTTAATGAAGTAACTATAACATGCATTTTCCAGTATTTTACTGCTTTTATAATTAGGTACATTATCTTTTTAAGAAAAGTTGTAAAACTGTATACAGTGAAACGTAATTAATGGTTAATTAATTTTATATATTTGTTTCAATCTTACTGCATATTAATGATTAAAGATTTAGTGTTTTATCTTTTAATTTACTAAAATTTTTGTTACCCTCCTAATATTTCTAATTATGAATATCTTCCTAAAGAAGTAAATAGTGTAATATATTTATCAGAGTTTCTAGAAAATAATTAAAAAAATGTGGAAATTAATGCTGATTTTATTTGTTAATATAAATATTTATATACATGAATTGGTAAAGATTACATAATGCAAATTTAATTCTTTTATAGAAAATATTATTTAAATGATATTTATAATCTAAATTTATGATAAATTGGATACTCCAATGATATTTTCTTTTTTTAGACATTAATATTTTATTGATGATTTAAAATTTAATTAATTAATTTACAAACAATAGTAATTATTTTAGTGTTAATTTCTCACCAATAAGAATATTTTAAGAACCATCTATATTTTCTGATGAGATATTTTCTTACCTCATTCCACGCTAGTACCATTATAGAAAATGGAACTCCAGAAACCCCAAACTACCAGAACTCTATAGGGCGGCCTCCAAAAATAGTATTGACTCCTGGGGTTAATACTAAAAATGCTGCCAAACAAGTTTCGAAAAATATGCCTTATATCATTTTGATGTTAAAGGGTGAAGTACAAAATGAAGATTTTCTAGCCTTACATGCAAAAATGTTGCTCCATTAGAAAATAACAATGCAACAGAAGAAGCTTGATTAAGCATACTTCAAAGCATCTGTTGAATAGCAAGCCGTGTTTTATACAAAATCAGAATATGTATAACTGCTGTTGATATTGCAGTCAGACCAACCACCAACTTTACTCTACCATTTACCATTTTTGCATTCTATAAATGCTTTCCTTAAATCATACTATCCATTTTATATCTGAGTCCAATCGATGATCCATAAAAAATCTTTATAGTTTTATTTTAAAATGTATAAATCTTCATCACATGTTTTACTTCCAAGCATTACATTAGAGTTGTACATCACCCCATATTGTTAATATTATGAAAATTATGCAATTTTTGGATCTATTGTAAAAAGGTGAGCTGGAGGTTTGTATGCGGAATAAGTAGCCATTCCGAATAATTCAAGAGTTTTGAAACCAAAATAATTTCTATTTGCATAAAATAAAAATAAGAATGATAAAGAAAATAATAAAATTTAAATATTTTACAAACTGATAAAATATGCAATAAAACCACATGACATTGACATAATGCCCATTAATCCATAAGAATGAGTCATCAATTTAAGAGATACCAAATGATCATTTTTTTAACGCGGTCTTCTCGTCATAATATCTACTTCTGCCTCTTCATAACCTAAAGATATAGCTGGATAGATATCAGTACCAACACAAATACAAAGCATGTAAATATTACTCAAAGGAAGAGGAATACTGAAAATGATGAATGCTAAAAAAGGAAGAATTTCAGGAATATTTGAACATAAAAGATAAACAAAAGTCTTTTTTAAATTATCAAAAATCTTCCTTCCTTCTTCTATGCCTGCAACAATAGATGCAAAATCATCATCAAGTAAAATCATATCAGCAGCGTCCTTTGTAACGTCACTTCCAGTAAGATTCATTGATATACCTATATTTCCTTACTTAATAGCTGGGGAATCATTAACACCATCACCTGTTACCGCTACTATTTATCCTTCTTTTTAGCATGCTTGTACTATTTAAAGCTTTTGAGCAGGGGTAGTTCTTGCAAATACACAGTATGGTTTTTTAATCCATTCTCTTAGGCTTGTAAATTTTTCTATGCCTTGCTATTCTTCAAAAGATATTGACTACACAATTTTATCTCCATGAATAACAATTGCAGTACATTATTCAACTGCTTCTTCCCAAGTAATACTTAATCTATTCATCATTTCTTCTGTGGTTTCGATAAAATTTGGAATAATATTTACCTTTTATTAAATTATTTTTGGCTTAAAAGACTCAATATTAATAATTTACTTGCTTAGCTATTGAAGCAGCAGTAGATGGTTAATCACCAGTAACCATGATAACTTTTATACCAGCAGATCTGCATTCTAGGATTGCATTAGGGACTCTGATTTTAGGAGGATCAATTAAAGATATCAAACCTGTAAAAACATAACCTCTTAGTGGAAAATTAAACGTTTTTGGGCTTTAAACTTAAAAATTATAATTTTTAAGAGGATATTGCTCTCTATGGAGAAGCAATTTAGCAAATCCAATCACTCTTTCACTACTTTTACCAAATTTTTTGTTAATTCTCTCAAAATTTATATCCCACTGATCATTGATAATCTCTTCTTTATTTCCATTTTAAATATATGAGCAGAAATTCCAAATTTTTTCAGGGGCACCTTTTACATATATGCAATAATCGCTTGTAGGAGAAACATTTTCAACAATAGTAAGAGCGAATTTCTCAGTAGAATTAAAAGGCATTCTGGTTAGATTTTCTTTTTTATGAAAAAATCAAAAAAAAAAAATTTATTAATAATCTGTAAAATAATTTTGTATTACTCTCTTTATTTTCAGCGATTCTGTATTTATCTCTAGTTTTTTAAATATCTTCAATAGATTGAAAAAATCTAATCAACCCAGTTTCAGTAGCATCTCCATTAACAAGACACTTAAAATAATCAATATTTTTTTTATCTTCTATCTAGCTAATATCAAATTTTGCTTCACTGCTAAGAATAGCGTTGAGGTGTAATTCTTTAAAGGCAATATCCTTTTCATAATAATTTAGCAAAGTAGCATCTTCAACATATTTTTTGTTGGTAGCCTTAATTTCTTATCCACTTATCCAAATATGTTCTACCGTCATAACATTTTAAGTTAATGTGCCTATGTGTAATTAATATTATTTGAATTAAAAAAATTTTTTTCTTAAAATGGCTTATTTTCGATTAACTTAAATAAAGTAAATTTCAATTTAACTGGTTTATTTAGATTTCATTCTTTAAATAATAACACATTTTAAATAAGTATAACCTGTTTTATCTGAACAAATACATGAAGTAGATCCTAGTGTTTCAACTGACTCTAAGTTTTTAACTAAGACATTCTTTCTATGAAGAGATTTCGCAGTTATTGCTAGAGAAATGGTAATACAACATATCAAACCTTCTGGAACATTGACAACTAAAATACCGATCCCATAAACAATAGAAGTTATAGCATCGTAACCTGCATGAAAGTAAGAAAGTAAGAAAAATAAAATGCCTAAAGACAAAGCAACAAAAACCATGAAAAGAATGAGTCTATCTAACTCAATACGAAGTGGAGTTTTAGTTTTTTTCTCAGCTGAAGCCATACTTGCTATTTCGCCTAGAGTTGTTTTGTCTCCAATTTAAATTACTATACCTATACCTTATCCTTCCTTGCACAAAGTACCAAAAAAAGCAACATTTGAGGTTTCAAGAAGAGATTCAGGGTGACTGCAAAATGTAGATCTAATTTAAGATTCACTTTCTCCAGTTAATGCAGAATTGTCTACTTTCATTTCATTGACTCTAATTAAACGAATATCAGCTGGAATTTTTTCTCCTGCTTTAATTTTAACAATATCACCGAGTACAAGTTTTTATGAATTAATTTATGTTTCACTTCCATCTCTTATAACCACACACTTTTGAGGTAAAAAGCTTTTAAATGAATCCAATATTGCTTCTGATTTTTTATTTTGTTGGAAAGTGATAAATGCTGTAATGAGAACTACAAAAATTAAGATAATTCCAAAATAAAGATTTTGAGAATTCTGAGGTTTAATTTTATAAGCAACAAAACAAACAATTGATGAAATCCAAAGCAAAATAGCAAATGGGGTAATAAGTTCTCTCAAAAATTTAAAAATTAGAGGTTCTTTAGGTTTTTCAGATAGTTTATTATCACCTATTTAGTTTAAATAAGAAAATAAATAAATTAATAAAAACAACTAAAATCATAGAATAAAATAAATGATATTATTTTAAATAACTAACTGATTACTTAATTATTACCTAATTATATATTGAGTTATTCAGCCTTTTATTATTTATGTCCATTCTAAATATCTGTGCCATAACGTTTTACAAGAATTTTAAGTTCAACTTTGTGCTCATCTCTTTACATCATTTAATTTTAAATCAAATCTTTCTTATTCACAAGAGGCTGTTATTTTTTAGTAGCTTAAATCTAATGAGCCTCTAGATCTTCATCATCATCATCATAGTTAAAATTTATTTCTTATTCACAACAAGGCTAATGTTATAAATGATTATTGTGCCCACCAATTGACTCCAATTTTATAGAATCTAGAATAGATGCGAGCTTTTTTCTATATTAAATTATAGAATTTGTAAGACAAATAGACTGTCTAAGCTCTTCGAAAGCAGTAGGTATTACTTAAGACTATTTTTTTTACATTTTTTTTATAATAGGTAATTTTATTTCTTAATTTGTATTATTTATTTGAGTTGCTATCAGTCTTATCAACAAGAATAAAATTTGTTAGCTATTTATTATAGATTTGCTAAATTTTCAAAAAGTAGCTTTGTCTATTTTTATTTATAATTAATAATTAAATAATTATTTACTATATCAAAAATATTGATAAACAACAATCTATTTTTAGCAACTACATAATGAGCGAATAAATTATGATAGAGTAGAATATTTTGCAAACAAATTTATTGGATAAAGCTCATTTATTAACAAATTTTTATATTTTTACCTTTTTTAAATTATTCATTTGAAGAATTTTCTTATTTTCTAAATCAATCAAGCCATATCCAAAGTAAATGTAAAACAAAAAATTATATATTTTTGCATATTTTTATTTAAAATTTAAATTTGCATATAAATAAATGAATAAACATAATTATTAATTTTAAAATATAACAGATAAAATCTACACTCATGGGTAAAATAATTTGAAATTTAATAAATTTAAAAATGAAATGAAAAATATTTTAGATTTAAAAATAAGCTTTTTATTTTCTTAATCAATATATTTAATTATGTTTTGAATTATTATCATAGGATTTTTATAATTTTATAAATAAAATTAGAAAATGATTATTTGTTTTTTATAGAAATATTGAATTTAATTTTATATTATTTTCTAGATGATAAAATGAATTCAGAATTAAATAATAAAGTCTTATATATACTTAAAAATGAAATTTAATTGTAAATAATCAGCTTCTTTAATAATAGTTTAGATAATTTAGAATTCTAGTTTTTAATAATTTATCTATATTTTACTTTTAAATTCTCACCAAAATAAATATATGAAATAATTTAATATTTCTAAAATAAATTTTTATAAATTAAAATCAAGTTTAAATTCATAGAAATTTTAAGAGTAAAAATTTTTTTTATAGAAACTAATATTTTTTGAGCTTTTATGAAAATATTCTTAGCTAAAAAAGAAGATTTAATTTTTCATCTAGATTTGAATGAAAAATGGACTTAAACATTTTTTTATTTCTTTTTTCAACTTAAAAATTTTATTAAATTTTATGAATTTAAAGCAAGAAAAATTTATTTTGAATAAAAAACTAAAATCTTTTATTTGATTTTAAAACAAATGTATATCTGATAAATTATGATTTAAAAAAGAAAAGAAAAAACATTTAGAATAGAGAAAACATAAAGTATTACCTTCAATAAATAATAATAATTAAGATTAGATATAAAGTGTCTCATTTATATTTTCATAATAGGGTGTTTATAATTGTATCTATTATTTTTTTTTATTTTTATAATAATTAATAAATAAATAATCTTAAATTTTTTTTTATCTTCAATAAAACGAAAAGAAGATTTATCGTTAGCCTTTAATTCATAACTTCATCATTAAGCCAATTAGGATAAAATTTAAAAATAGAATAAAATACTTATACACTATAATACTTATAGGAAATATTTGGAGATTGACTTTGTTAAGAAGATTTAAATGATTTAGCTAATATAGGAAATATCCCCTTATCAACGATTTGATTTTCTAGAAAAATTAGGTTATGAAAGATTACCAGAAATTTCAGCAATTTATATCTATTTATGTGATAAAGAGTTAAAATATGAATATTATCAAGAAGCTAAATAGATATTTGAAAAATTAGTATTCAAAATTTTCAGTAAGTGGTTACTACTATGTTAAGTTATTGGCATTAAATTATTAACTGATGTATATAGTAAATACTCAAAGAAATGAATTTAAAAGTTTATGGATTAAAACAAGGACATTATTTCACATCACCTGGTATATCATGGGACTCTATGCTTGCACTAACAAAGATATTGATTGACTTAAAATCAAATCCAAATATTTATAATATTTTTGAAAAATAATCTAGTGGAGGTATTTCTACAATAGGAAACGTAAGATATCCTAAAGCTAATAACGAGTATTGTGAAGAATATGATAAATAATAAGAACATGTTTAAATAATTTATTTAGACACTAATAATCTATATGGGTATGCTATGTCAAAAAATTAACCTAATAAAGACATATAGTTCTCAATCAAGGCTAATCAGAATAATTTTGTACTGATTTCATAATAAAATAATAAACATCAAATATTAGTTATGTTTATGAAGTAGATCTATAATACCCAAAAAGATTTTTTTTAAAACATAATACTTATCCTCTTACTACAGAACATTTAAGAATTAAATATGATCAACTATCAACATACAACAAAAATGTAATAAAATGACTATAAGAATAGGATGCAAAGTATCTGTTGCTAATAAAATTAAATTAACTCCTAATCTTAATGATAAGACTAAATATGTATGTAACATAGAAAATTTAAAATAAATATTATAAGAAGGATTAATCATTTCAAAGATGCATAGAACTATAAGCTTCAAACAAAATGCATTCAGGAAGCAAGACTTCGATCTTAATACATAATTAAGACAGAAGGCGAAGAATGATTTTGAGAAAGACTTCTAGAAACTAATGAAAAATAGTGTTTTGAGGAAGTTATGTGAAAACGTAAGAAACAGAGTTAATTATGAACTAGTCCAATCTAAAAAAAAGACTGTAAAAGTAGATACTTCAAAAACTTCCATAGAATTAGTAAATATCTTGCACTAGTTTAAAAACGTTAGAAAGTAGTTAAATTAAACAAACCTCATTACATCTGAATGTAAATATTAGACTTAAGCAAAATAGTTATGTATAACTTCTATTATTAACATTTCATAAATGAATTCAAGTAAGGTGATGCTATAATGGCAGATACTGATAGCTTATTAATGAAGATTACTTGTGATAAAATAACAATGTATATGATTGAATGGTTAAGAACTCTGATTTATATGATCTTAGCGATGTGACTAAAGGAGACTTTTATAATAAAGCCAAACATTTTGCTAAGAAAAAATATTGAACTTATAAGAATTCTTATCAAAAAAGAAATCTGTGCCAGGGAAAATAAATAGTGAAATAGTAGAGTTGTTAGCATAATAATTATAATAATTGTGGTTTTATTTCTAGTAATAATATGAATCATAAAAACTAAAACGAATTAAGAAATATGTTGTAAAGAAGTAAATTATTCACCATGATTATTTAAATTGTGTAAAAGAATAAAAGACTCTACGTATCAAATAAAAATCTTTGAAAAGCTACAATTATTAAATTTTTACAATATCATAAGAGAAAATAGCTCTACAATCAATGAATGGTAAAAGATTACTTTTAGAAGATGTTGTTAACAGTTATGACTATGGTCATTAAGGTAATTCATGTGGCGAGCGCACATTTTTGAAATCTAAAAATTTGAGTCGTGCGCACATGTGCGCATCCATTAAAAACCCTATTCAAATGCCAATGCGCATATTTTTAATAAATAATAAAATAGGTTTTATATTTTATATAATTAAAATAAATCTCTATCAAAACAATCATATCATCATCTGATTAACAATCTTCTTCAATATAAGGGTTAAAGAGTAAACATTAATAAGAAATAGAACTATTAAAGTAAAATTAAAAGCTTGAGTTACAATAGATAAACTCTTACACAAAAGAAGAAACAGAACACATATAGAAAACCAGCAAAATTAAATAAAAACAAAAAAAAAAGCTAGAGAAGAAATAACTGTTTAATCAGATAGCAATAATGAACAATGATAATTAGTTCATCACTATTTTTATAGCTAAGTTACTAATTCATTTTATTTTTCAATACTCTATAGCTAAGGATTATCTATCTAAATATTTTTATTTTTCAAGTGTATTTATTAATATTTAAATTCAGTATAGTATTTATACTTATCTATTATCTTTTCAAAAATATCATATATTTAGAATAAGATCAACATAAAGAATAACACAAAGCTCTAATTCAAGAAGCTATTTCTTTAAAAAAACTTTTCTTGTATCTAATCCTTCATAATACCAAATGTTATAACTTGAAGACTTTCAATATTTATACATTTTTAATAGATTAATTTTTAATAATTAAATAAACAAAAACACTTATTCTATGATTATTATTGAATTTAGGAATAGTCATTAATATTATTTATTTTTATTATTTAGTTTATTTTTAAAATCAGTATTTGAAAATAGATTTTAAGAGATGAATTATTGTTTCTTCTTATGCCTTTTAAAATGGTAAACATGTGAGTGCAAACTAAGCAGACTATATATCTAAAGTGATTTTTTATTTTATATAAAAACTGAATAATAGCCAAATGAATACTAAAATAATTTCTCCTATAATAATGTATAAGATGTAAAATTGCTAAATTAAGTCAATTTAACTTAATAAGAGCTAGTAAATTTCATTTTGAATGAGGTTGAAAGTATTAACTGGAAGTTAAAACCCATAAATAATAAGGTATTTGTATTATTCAAGGGATGAGTATTCCTAAGATAATTAGATAATTTAATTTTAGCTTAGAATGCCCTCTATAAGAAGGTTAAATTACTAAAAATAATATAAATAGCTAGAAATAATAGAAAAGAACCCATTTATTGGTTTCTATATTTTAATTGAATTTTGGCATATCTCTTCTTAATTAAAAATCTCACATAAATTTTAATTAAATAGATTCTATAAATAATTTATATTTTGGTTACTAAATGTTTTAGTATTTTAAAGAGCATTTGACATATAATTAATGTAAGAGTTTAAGAGATCTTAATCTTCTTTAAAGACTCTTATAGCTTGTTAATATTAATCAAAAGGAAAATTCTAATCAAATTATTAAATAATATTTTTCCTGTAAGTAAATTCACTGAGAGTGATAATTGAGTGAAAGGATAATTTTGATTTCACATTCATATTAAAAACATCCAGTTTTTGATTTAAGTAGGACTATTACTCATTAAAAAAAATGAAGGATATAGCTAAAAAACAAATAGCAGAAATGCCAAAAAATGAAAATTATATTAAATATTTGTAAACAGAGAGCTTTTAATCACTAAGCTTAGAGCTAATGTGTTGCTGCTATGATTTATTTTCATTTTTTTTTTATTTTAAAGATATTTTACTCAAGCAAACTGTAGAGATGTCTTTAGAATTAATTTGTAACATAGTTTGTTTTTCTATAATAAAATCATTGCAAAAATTATATCCAATCCAACTGCAATTATGGTCCATTAAATTTTAATAAAATAACTCAAGTTTTGTAATTTCTTAATCTGCTTCTTCAAAAGTAGTCCTTAAAAGTACACGATAAATGATTTCTTAAAATTTGTTGATTTAATTCATCAAAGGAATAGAAAGAATCTAGACTATAATAAATATTACAGCTGTTAATATTATTGTTATTAAGATACACTATAATAGTTAGTCAATAATTCGCTTTTACTGATTAAAATTATTTTCTATAAACTCTTTCGAAATAGATTGAATTCCAATTTAATTTGAGTACATAAAATATATAGCATTAATATAACTTTGCTTTTTATTATCTAACTAGCAAACCTCTCTTAAATTTTGTAGACTAAGCATATAAAATTCTAGTTAATTCACACTTTTTATTTATCTTTGACTATTTTTTTAAAAATAATTTAAATCATATGATAGATAAATGTTTTTCAATTATAAAATTTTGTTATTTTTAGTGAATTTAGTTCAAAAATAAATAACAAAAGTAAACCTAACTATTCCCAATACTATCTTTTTAATAACTATTTCAAATTTTAAATAGGGAGGTAGGTAAATAATTATATAACTTAATTTAATAATTGAATTTTATATTAAATGTTAAAAATTAGAAAAATAAGCAGAAAATTTAATTTATGCCACCTTAGCAAAAAGCCAAATTATGAATAAATTTATTAAGTATGAAATTTTTATGGTAAAACTAAATATAAGATTGAATCAATAAAAAAATGCTTACTTCTAGGAAAATATATAAATTTGCATTTTATTTTAGCTTTAGCTGAGCTAAATTATGCTATTGATATTTTATTATAGCTATGTTTAGAAATTAGATCTTATTTATTAGCAATACACTTGATCAAAGGTTGTAATAGCACTCTCTAAATCTTTTGGAAGTATATTTAAATTATACTCATATTTTATTAGTTATGTTAATGCTTGCTAATCATAGTATTATCCTAACAATGATCTTTTTTGGCTTGTGTTTAAAGAATCTTTAAGTGAATTTAGTTAGGATTCCATTTGAGCTTAATAGGCCACAAAGATGCAAATGAATGGAAGAATATTAAATACTTTTTATAAAATTTTATAAATTTAACTGTTTATTTACAAAAAATAAAAATTTTACATAAAAAGAAAGAAATCTTATTGTTACTCTTTATTGATTTTTTGTGGATTATTTAATCAATAATGAGATTTTATTTATTAGAGCTTTTTGATGTGGTAGATGAACCTTCGACAAGAATATTTTCCCTTTTATTTTATTTATCCAACTTAATCATTTCTTTTTCTTATTTGTCTGTAGTGTCTGTTGGACGAGAAGGTGTCTTTATTTTGCTATTTCTATTAATTGTTTATTGTGTTTTATATTAAAATTTGTTTTGCTTTTAAGCTTGGCTATTTCTTTTATTTTTTATACTTTAGCTCTCTTTCATTTTTTGAAATAATTCAATGAGTTGAAAGCTCTCATTATTACTAAGATATGTTTGATTGAAACTTTTTAATTATTCTTAGTTATCTTATGAAGGAAATTAAGCTGAAAGAGGCATATTAATATTATTCAAAGATGTGACTTGCTGATTTTTTTGAAAATTTAATTGATTGATAGTATTGTCTTAAAGATGAAGATTTTCATCACTTTTTAGATGCTTTTAGGCATAATAGACTAACTCTAATTCTTACTAAGAAAGTAAATTTCCATATGATGCAATTTAGCTTAATTGTTTAAAATTATAAAAGTCTTCTTCTACAATTTTTTCTTAGGACTTAAGATGTTTGATAGTCTCGTCAATTTGAGTCAAGTTGCTTTTATCATAGTCTTTATTATATTCTTCTTTTGGTATTAAAGGTTGCTGAACTATAACTTAATTAGTAGATTTAAGAAATTAATTATTAATATTATCCATACAATAATTTTATTGAATTAATTTATTCGGATTCTAAATTGAAATGGTTTTATCATATAAATTAATTTATGAATTTCTTTTTAAATCTTAATTTATTTATTAATTTTGTAAGAATTTTTTGAAACCTTTAGAATCAGTTTTCTCTGAAGAAAATTCAGTTTGGCTTACTGATTCTGAAATTATATTTTCCTATTCTTTAACTGTTTATAAGTTATGTTTGTTTGAAATTTTATTTTGAAGGTCTTTATTGTATTTATTGTTTAACATTGTTTTTTAGCTCTAATTTAAATCATTGATTTCAAGCTCAAAAATAAATTCTTAATCTTCTACAATGTGTTAATGCATTTGATTATAGCTATCTATAATGTGAACTATTAAATTAGCTTAGCAATTTATATTTCTTAAACAATTCATTTTTCTCCAAACCTTTTTCAAATATTAATATAAAATTACATAAATATAACTAAAAAAATATATTTAAAAGTTAGTAATATTTAATACTAAATTATAATAAATCAATTTATTTTAAAAAATAAGTACAAATCCATCTTAATAATTTCAATTCAATAAATGGAATATTAATCCATCTATTATTAAACTAAAATCAATATATTATTTTGAATATAAAACACAAATAATATACTGAAGTTTTTGGTAATTAAGGCTCTATTTAATTAACGCCCAAAAAAAAATTTTTCTTTTACAGACAATTCTTAATTAATGCTAAATAATCCAAATATTTGTGGGGAGTAATAAATTTCTATTTATCACTAATATTTTTTGTTAATCAAAAATATCTTTTTTTAAAAATGTAAACTAAATCGTATTGTTCATTCATTTACTAATAACCATTTGAAAAAAATTTTTTTTATTTGAAATGAAAAAGGAAGTCTATTACAGATTACTCAAAATGTGCAAATAATTATTAATTTTTTTCAAAAACTAAATTAAAAATAATTAAAAAGAAAAATGTATTTATTTATTTATTTACCTAATTCTATTTTTTATAGAATCTATAAAAAAAATTCAATTCATCTAGCTTTTTGGAATGCTATTAATTCTTTAAAGAAGATTTAGAAGTATTTTAGTTTTGATATGAATTAATTTGGATATCTTTTTAATAACATTAAAATTGTTAATCAAAGTAATGATTAAGTTCTATCAAGTTAAGAGGTATATCTAATTTAATGTCTTTTTTACTGAATAATAATCTTCTACTGATTGATTTTAAATTCTTACTTTTATCATCACTTTTATTATTTTAACTCTATTAGGAATTCTACTCAACGCCTATTTGGGTTGATAGCTCTTTATAAAATTCCTTTATTGTCTTAATTAGGTACGGCATAAACAAAAATGCATTTATTTTTTGTATTTCTTTCAAAATTATTTAGTGATTTTCATCTCCCTAGTTTTTTAGAAAATATTTCTTTAAAAATTATAAAATTAGATTTTAATTTACTAAATTTTCTTGTTGGCCTTCCAAGCTTTCATCTTCAGTTTTTAAATCAAATAAAGTAGAAAAGAAAACTTTATCTATACCTTTAATTTACCCTGATTAATTGAATAAAATGTAACCTTACTTAGAAATTATTTTTAATATAGTTGCACTCATTATAAAATCATCTTAGTATTAGTAATTTATAGAAATTTATAAATTAATAGGAAAAATAAATCCATTTTTGTCAATTGCAAACATTTTCTAATCAGTTGAAAGAAGCTTTGAATGTCCTTTTTGGACAAATCCTCGCACTAATTAAGAGTGCATATTTGAAATATAATTAGGCATAAGATTTTCAATTCTTTTTATATTGGAGAATTCAATCTAATTATATCCAAAAAAATTAGCCAATAAACTATTTGAATGATTTAATATTTTAAAATTTTAATTAGCACTTGTAAAAATAGTTATTATATTTCCATTTATCAGCTAAAAGGAATTAAGCTCATCAAATGGTCTAGCTGATCCTTTTTAAATAAGATTTGCCATCTATTTCTCTATCACTAAAGGCCTTTTAACTTCATTAAAAACGACAATCTTAAATATCTAATGCATCTAATTATAATTGAAAGAAATAACTTATTATTTTAGTAATACATACAAACTTCATTTAAATGATTTTATTTGTGTATAAATATTTTGAACAAGAAAAATAAAAATGGTATTGGTTTATTAATTAAATAAAAGAATAAGAGTAAAATTTACTTTTTGTAATATAAAATTAGGTTCTATCATTGAAATATTTGCTAAGCTTTTAGAGTATTTGTTAAATAAATAACTTATCTTCTTTTATTAAGCATAAAGTTATTTTGACGCTATTCTAAGATTGTCCATTGAAGAAATATTAGATTTCAACAATTTAAAATGTTGAAGCTTACTTTTAGTGTATCCAGCTAGAAGAGGAATGAAAGAATCTTGTATTTCTGAGGTTTTTAGGATGTCATTCATTGTAAGAGTGACTTTTTAGTTGAAAGTAGATTTTTTCTCCTACTTTTAGATTGAATAAAGAAGCTCTTAATTAGAGATTATCATTTATTCAAATATTTTTGATAAGACTTGAGAAACTCCAATAAAATATGAGGATTTATCTTTTGGGTAAGCTCCTTAGTACTTTTTTAGTTCATAGTAGGAGCGTAAAGGATTTGTTTATATTTTAGATATAAATGTAATCTATTTAAGAAATAAGTGCTCTCTTATTGTTTTATTTTTAATAGTTGCCTTGTTCTACATACTATCTCTGAAGACAATCTCAATAATATTCTTAACTAATTTTTCTCTCAAAAACTACTTATCGTCATACAAATCTTCTAGCTTGCAAATACAGTCCACTCTCCTACAATACTCTTTGTGTTACGAAATCATCCGCAGAAGTTACAATTGACTTTTGTCATTTTTTTAGGCCTATTAACAATGAAGCCAAAGCTATTCTAAGTAAAAGTCTATATTATCAAGTGTTCTATTTTATATTACAAATTTAAAATAATAATATTTATGATTATTTTTAGCAATCAGATAAGCCAAATATTACCACATATTCTTTAAATAAATAAATTTTGAAAACAAGATTATTTCCTTTAAAGATTATCATTAATATAATATGAATTTTTTATGTTTTCACTTGATTTCAATCATCTATTTATTTATTTTTAAGTTATTTACCAAATAAATAACTTAATAATCAGAATTTCATTTTTTATGGATTATTTGACTTTGATTGATAAAAAAAATTATTTACTTAGATTGGTTTAGTAAAGTAGAAGAACCACACTAATTTAGAATATTATCATATTGATATCTTGAAATAGAATATATTAAAAATGCAACAAGGACTATTAAGAAACTCATGAGATAAAAGAGCTCTGTACTTTAGAATGAATTTGTATTGAAAAAAATGGTTAAGATAGTGTGGCTTACCCAAAAAAAAGATGTTCCTAAAATATAAAAAATAGATATGAGTTTATCTCTATAAGGAAAATTTAAGAAGATATCTAGAATCATTGAGACGCCCATCACTTGTACTATGATATATTTAAAATAGATTGGAAGTATTTCTCCTAGATAGTAAATCATTTACAGAAAGAAAAAAGAAAAGGTAATAGGAATTTAGATATTAGCAAACTTCCTCTTCAAGAGATTACTCTCACAAAATTCATAATTCCTAAAGAAAAAACTTATCAAGATATTAGTAGTAACTGATAAAATAACTCCCAAGCTTCCTAAAATATTCCAAATCTATGGTTTATTTCCGCAGTTTCCCTAATCTCTGTACTATTTAAGGAATGCGTTTTAATTGCATGAGAGCATTCCTAATCCAACTTCTGTGAAAGGAGTTAAAAAAATCCAATAATAAAGTGTGAAAAAAACGATAAGCAACTAATTTATTGTCATAAATGATTTCTTATTTTGCATGTACCATGATCTTTGGTGGTTTTTTATATAATTGAAGATAATTACGTACAAGGTATAAGAATATACAATAAACTGTAAGACTAGAAAGAAGAAAATTGTTAAATTATCGCTTCCTTTAATAAGTAGTAAAAACGTTCCTGTAGAAATTTCGTTTAAATGCGCAACCATTGTTATTTTTTGATCATAAAATTGTCTTTCACCACCAGTGCAAAAGACATATCCACTTATTTGAAAAATATTAATTGTCATTAGTATGCAGTAAATTTTTTTGCTAAACAAGAAGTTTGGCTTGTCCTCTATGATCTCTAAAACTGTCATAAACAGTTCAAAAAAGTAATTTTTGATTATTTTGCTTAGCTTCTTCATAAACTCTATATTTACTATTTTTTTTGTAATATTACGTATTATTTGTATTATTAATTAAATATCCAATACTTTACTTTACCTTTTCAAATTTATTTTAAAAATATTGATTGCTAAATTAACTCTCTATTCTAAAATTAATGATGAATTATATCTTTTATAAATATTTATACTAGTTAGCTAAGATTTTTTACTTATTCTATTAATTTAAATTTTAAAACAATAAATACTTACTTTGGTTTCTTATGTTGTCATAAGTACAGGTAAAAAATGATTTATTAAAAAACTATGAAAAGAAAGATTTAGGATCCAAATTTATATTTTAGGGTAATTTATAATTTTTAAAACTATTATTCTAGAATAAAAATTTATTTCTTTCTAAAAAAATTTTTTATTTTAAGTAGCTTAATAAATGGGTCTCATCAATCAATTTTAAAAACTGTAAATTTAAAAAGCGAACAAGTAAATCAAGTCAGATGAACTTTTTTATTTACTTTAATGCAGCATTTAAATTAAATTTATTACATCGTAAAGCAACGCTGGAAATCTTCTTTATTGTTTATTTAGAAATAAATTCATAGATTTTTAATTTACATTGATCACATTGCAAAGCAAAAAACTGTAACAATTAACAAAAGTAAATAATAGTTCAAAAATTTATTTGTCTGTCTATTTTGTTTCTTTAGTTGAAAGAAATATTTATAATTTATATTAATAAGCAAATCTAAAGTCAATTAAATATATATTAAGATAATTTTAATTTAATAAAATAAGTTAGTTAGTTATCAATTATTTAAAAAAAATTTATTTTATTTTATCTTTTTCTGATTAATAAAATTATAGAAAATTTAAGAAGATAAAACAACTTTAATTTGAAAATAAATAAATAAATAAATAAATAAATAATTATCAATTATTTTTGATTTTAAGAAATAAATAGGAAATGTTATTTTATTTTAGATAAATAGAAGATGCTTTTTCTAAGATTAGAAGATTAATATTAAAATTAACTAATTGAAAACAAAAACTGTTCATTAATCATTTTAAATATTTATTTGTTGAAGACTTTATTTTATGTCTTGATCTATATGATATTTGTGTTCATAAAATTTTATTTTCAAGGAACTGAAGCAATGTATATAAACTAAAATCGAGGTGACCCTAATATATGAACCTTTAACAAATAATTTCATACTATAAATATAGCGCTTCTAGGTTTTAAATTGTTGTGGATGAAATAACATTTATTAGTGAAATTAAAATTTCCAAAATGATTTCAGTTATTCAAGAAAAATTATGATTAAAATTTTTAACTTTTAATAAAAAAGCTTTCAATATAAAAGAAGTAAAAACTTGTTTATTAAACCTAAATATTAATTTAAGATTTAAAAAACATATTCAAATATGTAAAAGCAAGCAAAAATTTCTCTAAGTAATAAAAATATTATGCAAGTAATTAATTTTAAATCAATAGAAAATAGAAATGGTGTATTAATTATTTTTAGAAAATAATGTTATCACTAAGAGTTAAAATAATAAATATTTTGCCTATAATATAATAATAAAAAAATAGATTATTTATTTTTAAATTTTTCATTAACTCTTATTGATGAATTAAAATCTTCAAAAACTTAAAATAAGCATCAAATTAATTTTCTTGAGTAATAAATAAATTCAAGTAATTTGCTAAAGCAAAAATTAAACTTGATGCAACCTTACCACTAATAAATAATATGAAGGCTATTTATAATTAAAAATTATTTTCAAATTTGCTGAAGAATGATTAAAATAAAGAAAAAATAATTTGCAAAATTATTTAAATTGATAAAAAAGTTTAAAAAACAATATATTTATTGATTTAATAATTTATTTCATAAAAAAAAACAAACAAACAAATAAAAAATAATATATTTTTATTTAATTAAATGTTAAATTTAGAGATATAATGTTAGAGTAAATTACGAATTTAGATTTAAAAGTTTATGCAACAATGTCCAATCAAATTTTAGTTTTTAAAATGTAAATAGTTTAGCCCATTTAAAAGTAAATTTTTTTAGTTAATAGAGGTGAAAAATTAAGTTAAAATTGTAAAGATTGATAAAATGAAACAATCTTATTCTGCTACTCAAGATTAATTTCCTAAAACTATAACTTAGAGAAATTTTATAGAGAAGAAAAAAAAATTAGTTACATCTTCAATTTTACTCCATAATATATAATTAATTTTTATGGAAAAAAAATCACAAACAAATATAAGTTTATACTAATTAAAGAAAAGCACTAAAAATAGTAACTAATTCTTTTTTATAAGTTAATTTTTTTTATAAAAATATTTAAAGTAATTAAAACAAGAAAAAATAGCTAATTTTACATAAGAGAGAGTTTTAAATTTGTGAAATTTGTAAAATTTTCTATAAAATAAATCTAATATACATTTGCAACCTACTTTCACTAAAATAAAATATTAAATTTTTTTAAAATAGAAGTATTAATTTTTTTTTTAATTTCTTTAATTTAATAAAAAACTTTGTATCAAGAATGTTCTTTGAAATAAACTAGCAAATATTTACAAAATATGATTGATTAATGAATTTTGTTTAATATTAAATATAAATAATTGAATAAAATAATTTTAACTTAATATTGTGATCCAAATTGTAGGGGAAGTGATTTATCCTATAGCTGAGCTAAGCATAAAGCATTTTCTTTATATAATATAACAACTCATTTACTTATTAAAAAAATAATTGATTTATTTCAGATCTTTATAACTATTTTGTTTATTTATATAAAATAAAATTTTAATTTTTTTAAAATAATAATGTTAATAAACAAATTAATAATTTACCCTATAAGAAGTACATATTTTAAAAATTAGAAAAAAATCCTAAAAAATAACCTAATTTCAAATTCATTTTCATCATTAATTTAAAATTTTATAAAAAATTTTATAAAAATTTTAATTAACATTTGAAAAAAGAGAAACTAAAAAGTAAAACAGATAAGTGAAAATAATGCAAAATTTGAAAATAATATAAATATTTTGATAAGAAGGTAAGTTAGAATATTATTTACATGAGTTTATGATTTTTTGAAATAATATACTACTATATTTTTTAACAAAAATTATAAGTATTTATAAATAGCTTTGAATATAAAGAATAAAAGGTTTATATTTTAAGGCTCCAAAAAGCCTAGTAATTTATTTAAATTTTTGAAAACTTTTTTAATTAATTCATGTTTTTAGATAAAAAAGTAAATTTTACAATGATATTTAAAGTCCTAATAAAATATGTGAATTTAATTAATTAAGCTTCTAAGAAATTATGGAGATTTTATTTGTCATAAAATTTTTAATGATGAATAATTGTGTGATGAATAGAAAAAATTAACTAAGTGATTGACATTAAATTTTAGATAGTCTTCTTATTATTATTTATTACTCTTATTGAAATTCCCTTTTAAGATAACAATTTTTTATTCTTTTTTCTAATTTAAAGAGCTAATACACATAATAGATTGTTATATATATATAAATAAAATTGGAATTATTTATCATTTTCCTTTTAGCTCATTTTTGATTTATGAAAGTTCTTGCTCTTGTATCTTGAAAGAAGGAATATTAATTAATTGAATTAATTATTTAAAATTTTACAATATGTATCTATCAAAATATCTAGCTATGTTTAAATCATACTTAATAAAAATAAAAATTACTAAATTTATAAAGTAAGTAAAGATTTGAATATTTTTGGATATAACCAAAAGAGAATAATCACTACTGTTATTTCATATAGTTTTACAATAAATAATATAAATTAAGTTATTATTATGCCAAATATCATTTTTTATACTATTTGTATTCTATCTTAATTTTAGCAATCAAAAAAGCATACACTTTACTAAATAAAATCAAGTAATTTAAAAATGGAATTAATTTCTTTGAAAAAAAAAACAATAAAAGATTTTTTTCAATGCACATTAAACACTAAATTTTATGTATATATTTATGTAAGTACATGATACTAGTCATAATAAATTAATTTTGAACAAGTTAAAATAGTAAGATATTTTATTAAAAATACCAAAAAATACATAAAAAAATGAGTAACGAATAAAAGTAATATTCTGTTTTAGTGTTTTTTGCATCACTACTTCTTATTATATTTCAAAAAAAAATGATGATTTTCTTAAATAAAAAATTAATAAATAAGTGTCATATTAGTTTAAAATAGATTTGATTTAGAAAAATTACATATTTAGTTATCAATATTTGAGGTATTTTTTATCAGTATTTTTTTATTTCATTTATGAAATATGCTGCTTGATACTCATAATGATTAATTTTCTATTTTAAATCATATCTTTTTTGCTCAATATATTCTTCTATTACATTTATGAAATACCAAAAATATTAATTACAAGCCACCTTTGAAATAGTTGACTTTGATGTCTCCTATTTTTTCTATTTCATATTTAAGTAAATTTAAAGTTTTCCAAAAATACAATCTCAAAAATAAATTTTTAGGTTACAAAAAATCTAATTAATTTTCAGGTTAATTATTTATGAATTAAATTCATTTAATTTACTTTAAATTAAATATTATAAATCGGTATCATTATAAAAAATATGAAAGATGAACATAAATTCACTTTTAAAATTAAATTACATTCATTTTAAAGATATATTTACAAGAAATTAATAAATTGTTTTATAATAAATTTTATTTTTAATGAATCTTAAAAACATTTAAATCTATGCTCATATTAAAATTATATAATTATGAATTAAATTAGTGATTAATAAATCCATAAATAAAAAAAGTTTAATACAATGAACAGGACATAAAAAGAAATAAATTTTGGAAAGCATAAATTGATTTTACAAAATAATATGAAAATTTGAGTTCCTTAGTATATAAGCATGCAAAAAATTAATGGAGAATTTAAAATTAAAATAATATGAAGCCAAATGAAGCTATATTACATAATCAAACAACATTATATAAGGAAGGATACTACTTATAAACATAATCTAATAATTTTTATTTATTTATTTATGAGATATTTGTTTAAATTAATAAATGATTTTAATTAATTTATGAAATTTTAATATAAAATATATTTCATTTTTGCTTTATCATCTTTTGACTTAAAAATTGATCAGCAAATAGTAATAGAATTAGGATTGAATAGTTTTATTTTTTAATATTTTTAAGTAAATTAGTTGAATTCAAGAAAATTAAATAAATTTTAAGATATAAAAAATATTACATATGTATTTGAAGTAAGTCAGTCAGTCAATATATATTAAATATACAAAACAAAATTTGAATAAAATGGGATATATTAAGTTATATTTATAGTTATATTAAATTGAATTAAATTAAATTTAAATTAAAATTTTTAAAAGTTTTAACAATCGTTATTATTATTATTATTATTATTATTATTGAAATAAGTACTTCCTTCACCAATAAGAGTACTTTAAGAACCATCTATGAGATCTAATTAAGTACTTTCTAATTTCATTCCAGGCTAGGACCATTATAGAAAATGGAACTCCAGAAACACCAAATTACCAGAAATCAATTGGACGACCACCAAAAACAGTGTTAACTCCTGGAGTAAGTACTAAAAATGCTGCTAAGGCAGTTTCAAAAATAATACCTTATATCATTTTCATATTAAATGGTGAAGTGCAGAAAGAAGATTTTCTTGCCTTGCAAGCAAAAATGTTACTCCATTAGAAGATAACTATGCAGCAAAAGAAACTGGATTAAGCAAATTTCAAAGCATCTGTTGAATAGCAAGCTGTGTTGTTGGTAAAATCAGAATATGTGTAGCTGCTGTTAATATCACAGTCAGACCATCCATCAACCTTACTTTACCATTTATGATCTTTGCATTCAATGAAAGCTTTTCTTAGATCGTATTTTCCATCTCCTATTAAAGCCCAATCAACAGTCCATGAGAAATCTTATCCACTTTGTTTTAATTTATCTAAATCTTCTTCGCATGTATCACTTCCAAGCATGACATTAGAATTGAACATAATTTCATTGTCTTTATATTAGGAGAATTAGTCAATTTTGGGGTCAACTGTAAAAAGATTAATAGGTGGTTTGTAAGCTGTGTAAGTAGCCATGCCAAACAATTCAAGAGTTTTGAAACCAAAGTAATTTCTATTAATAATAAAATATTTTTTAATATAAAATTTAATATTTTTTCAATAAATTTTTTAATTTAAGAAATTTTATTTACAAGCTTGTAAAGTAAGCAAGGAAACCACATGACATAGACATAATACCCATCAATCCATAAGAGTGGGCCATCAATTTAAGAGAGATCAAGTGATCATTCTTTTCTCTAGGTCTTCTAGTCATAATATCAATTTCAGCTTCTTCATAACCAAGAGAAAGAGCTGGATAGATATCAGTACCAACACAAATACAAAGCATGTAAATATTACTCAAGGGAAGAGGGATACTGAAAATGATGAAAGCAAGGAAGGGGAGGATTTCAGGAATATTTGAACATAAAAGATAAACAAATGTCTTTTTTAAGTTATCAAAAATCTTTCTTCCTTCTTCAACACCTGATACAATAGAAGCAAAGTCATCATCAAGTAAAATCATATCTGCAGCATCTTTAGTAACATCACTTCCTGTAAGATTCATAGAAATACCTATATCACCTTATTTAATAGCAGGAGAATCGTTGACACCATCACCAGTTACTGCACAGATGTAACCTTCTTATTAGCAGGCCTATACAATCTAGAGCTTTTGAGCGGGTGTAGTTCTTGCAAATACACAGTAAGGCTTCTTAACCCATTTTCTAAGGTTTGTGAATTTTTCAATTCCTTATTATTCTTCTAAAGTAATAGATTATACAATTTTTTCACCATGGATAACAATGGCTTCACATTTTTCAACAGCTTCTTCCCAAGGGATATTTAATCTATCCATCATTTCTTCAGTTGTTTCAACATAGTTGGGAATAATGTTTACCTTTATTAAGTAATTAAAAGTTAGAATGATTAAAAAATATACCAATTAAAAATTACTTATTTAGCAATAGATGCAGCAGTAGGAGGTTAATCACCAGTAACCATGATAACTTTAATACCGGCAGATCTACATTCAAGAATAGCGCCAGGGACTCTTGTTTTAGGAGGATCAATTAATGAAATTAAACCAGTAAAGACGTAGTTATTTATAGGAAAATTGAATGTTTTAGGGCTTTAGACCTAAAAATTAGAGTTATTGAGAGGATAATCTTGTCTAGGAAGGTGCAATTTGGCAAATCCTAATACTCTTTCACCTTTTTTACCAAAGGTTTTATTGATTTATTAAAATTTCTTTTCCCATTCTTAAGTTATTGGTACAGTTTGTTCACCTTCTAGAACATGAGAGCAGAATTTCCAAATTTTTTCAGGAGCACCCTTAACATATACGCAATAATCGCTTGTTTCTGTTTTATATTCTACAATTGTCAAAGCGAATTTTTCAGTAGAGTTGAAAGGCATTCTAGCTAAGGTTTCTATTAAATAATTTAAAAAGATATGATAAATAAGATATTCAAGCAAATTAATTAATGTCTATTACTTTCATCGTTTTCAGGTATTTTATATTTATCTCTAGTGACATTGATGTCTTCAATAGATTAGAAGAATCTTACTAAACCAGTTTCAGTAGCATCTCCATTTACATGACATTTAAGGTAATCGATGTTTTATTTATCTTCTAATTAACTGATATCAAATTTGGCATCACTACTGAGGATAGCGTTGAGATGCAATTCTTTAAAAGCAGCGTCATTTTCGTTGTAATCTAATTCATTAGCATTTTCAACTAATTTTTTATTTTTAGCTTTAAGTTATTAGCCGCTAATCCAAATATGCTCAACAGTCATTACATTTTATGTAAGAGTACCTATTTTTAGAATTATAAATTTTGAGAAGGAAATTTAAAAAAATATAAAATTAATAGTATTCTCATAGCGCAGGAAGTAAATTTGCATAGTAAGATTATAGTAATATAGATAATTATAAGTTAATCAATTTATTCAAGAAAATAAAATTTCAGCTAAATTCATCAATATATAAAAATAATATATTTGGTGACGCAATGCAAATTAGTCCCCACGCTTAAAAAAAAAGTGAAGATTAATTACACAAATTAATAGTAAAGTACTCGATTGAGTATATACTATTAATAGATTTTATATTAATTGGGGAGTTTTTAAAAATTTGTAAATTAATAATAATTTACCTGTTTTGTCTGAGCAAATGCAAGAAGTAGATCCAAGAGTTTCTACTGATTCCAAATTTTTAACCAAGACATTCTTTTTATGAAGAGATTAAGCTGTTATTGCAAGAGAAATAGTAATACAACAAATTAAACCTTCTGGAACATTAACAACCAAAATACCAATTCCGTAAACAACTGAAGTCATTGCATCGTAACCTGCATGGAAGAATGAAAGTAAGAAAAATAGAACGCCAAGAGAGAGAGCTACAAAAACCATGAAAAGAATTAGTCTATCTAATTCGATACGAAGTGGAGTTTTAGTTTTCTTTTCAGCTTATGCCATTCCTGCAATTTCACCAAGAGTGGTCTTATCACCAATTTAAATAACAATACCAGTGCCTTATCCTTCCTTGCAAAGTGTACCGAAAAAGGCGACATTTGCTGTTTCAAGTAAAGACTCGGGGTGACTGCAAATTGTAGAACGAATTTAGGGCTCACTTTCACCAGTTAAAGCAGAATTATCTACTTTCATTTCATTAACTTAAATTAAACGAATATCAGCTGGAATTTTTTCTCCTGCTTTAACTTTGACAATATCACCAAGTACAAGCTTTTCAGCATTAATTTGAGTTTCATATCCATTTCTGATAACAACACTCTTTTGAGGCAAGAAGTTTTTAAATGAATCCATAATAGCTTCAGATTTTTTATTTTACTGATAAGTAATAATTGCAGTTATCAATACAACAGCAATTAAAATAATACCAAAATAGAGATTATCAGGTTAGGAAGTCTTCATATCATAAGCAATAAAACAAATAATTGCTGAAGCCCAAAGTAAAAGAGCAAAAGGAGTAACAAGTTCCCTCAAAAATTTAAATATGAGTGGTTCCTTAGGCTTTTCTGATAACTTATTGTCACCTAAATAATTAAAAAAAAAGGAGTTTTAGGATATATATTATAAAAAGAGCATTTGATTAAATAAAAGAAAATTTTAATTAAATTTACCTAATTCTAAGTTAAGTTGTTCAGCTCTTGATTATTCGTGTCCCTTTTAAATACTTGTTCCATAACGTTTAACAAGAATTTCAAGATCTACTTTATGTTCGTCTCTCTTCATTATTTCATTTTATATGATTTCTTTTTTAGAGGGAGGAGCTTGCTTGCTGTGGGTTCTATCAGTCATTTATATTTAAATAGCATCAGCACCATTACCTTATTTTTCATTCATAAGTTCTTCATCAAAGCAAGGAATGTGCATTTTATGATTATTATGACCCTCTGTAGGTTCTAATCTAATAGATTGATTTATTTAAGTGAGCTTCCTTCTATATTCGATAACAGAGTTGACATTAGTGATAGATTATCTGAGTTCTTCAAATGCAGATACAATGATTTAGGATTTTTTTTATTCCTTAGTCATTTATTACATTTCAGTCTCTTGTTTTTTTGAATTTTAATGAATATTTAAATCAAGCATTTTAGCTAGTTAAAATATTTGTTTTTGTTTATATTAAAATATCTTTTCGCAAATAAAGGATTTGATTTTATTTATTTAGTTATTTTTATTTGCTAATGAATGTTTACAAATAATTTAATTTATAGATAAAATTTGAATTAAAGAAAACTACTTATAATAAGTGCATTGTAGTTACAAAGAGAGCAATTAAATTTGCTTTATTTAGAGTTTGTTTGCTCTATTCCTAGATAAAAAGAGACAAATTTAAAAAATTAAGCAATAAGATAATTAATTAATTCCTTTTACATTTCTAACTTATTCATATGAAATTTCTTGTCTATTTTAATTGATTATTTTTGTAAGAATAATTCAGTTTAACAATTTTGAAAGAAAAATGCGAAAATTGCTTGTAAATTTAAAGTGTAAAATGGATTCTTATTTACAAAAAGAACCTAAATTTACATTAAAATATTTTATTTGCAGCATATAATGTGTGGAGAATTAAAAATTTTAACTGAATTTACTAGATTTTTAGTGGAGTTTTATGGTAACATTTTAAGTAATATAAAATAAGTAATCTCATAATTAAATAGAATATCCAGAGAATGAAAAGTATTTAGAAATTCGTTTAATTTATAACCAGAATTCTTAAATAAAGCTGAATATTTTTACTATGACTAAATAAATTTTAATATAGACTTAAACCAATTAAATATTGACTTGTCTAATTCATTTTTTTATCTTACTTTTGAAATATTTCAATAAAATGATATTTTGATTGAAATCAAAATCAAATCTCAATATTGAATATGCTTCGAAACAAATTAATTATTCTGCAGAGCAAGCAAGTTCGCAAAGCAATTTAATAATTGATTTTTGGGATAATCTGAAATATGGGATTTTAAATAAAAAATAATGAACATTTAGTATGCATAGCACAATTAATTTTGATCATATTTTAAAATCTATCTTAACCTTAAAACTGTTTTCTTCAAAACACTGATAATTCAATATAAATAGGTAAATTGTATATAAATTTTAAATTAAGAATTCTAGTATTGATATAGATTTTTAATACAAATTATTTACCTCTGAAAGCTTACGTAAATAATATGAAAAAAGATATCTATTTATGTATCAAACAATCTATTACTAATTAAATTTTACTATTACTAATCAACAATTATTTGAAATAAATTACTTTTTAATACCATTAAAAGTCTTAATTTACATTTAGCTTTATGAATAAAAATTCATTTATATGTCTATAATTTTACTATTCCTTTAAATTAATTGTATCTTTGGCAATGATGCACTATTAAAATATTTATTTAATTGTAATTAATTATCTTTTGATTATAGTAATTACAACTTTAGAACTAATTAATTGTTTATCTTTTATTTTTTGAAATTAATCTGCTGATTAAATCTTGTTGCTTTACTTTAATAAGTATCAACTTACGGCTAATTATATAACATTCACTATTATCATTATTAAAGTGTGTGAATATCGCAATTTAATCATATTAAATAAATAGTAATATATTCACAAAGTTAAGCATATTAGAGTCATAAAAAATTAACATTCATTTGTAAAATATGTATTAATTCATTCATTCTTATTTACATTATTTACAGATAGTACTGTTAAGCCTCTCTAACTTACAAGTTTGATCACATAAATAACTATAAATAAACCATAATCAAATTTTATAAACTTTTACATTTAATATGCAATTATATAATAAATAAATAATAAAAAGCCCTTACAATTCGTTAAAGCTTGACAAGTATTTCATCTAAATACATTTACAATTTTCCAAGAAACCAAAATTTTAATAGTATTAAACAAATGTAAATAATTTAATGACTTTTTCAATTAATTTAAATTTGTTATTTTATCAAGATAGAAATTTTAAAAAAACATATAGTAAAATTCATGCGTTATTCATTAAAAGTTGTCTCAGAAAATTGCTTGAAGTTGAACAAATCCAGTAAAATAGAAATTTAATTAGATAGATTTATTTGTTTTTGAATGAAAAACATTATTCCAATTAAGTAAACAAAATTATATATTTGCATTGAAACAAACATTAAATTTTAATTAGATTTAATTTTTGTCAAAGTTAAGCTTGCAAAAATCTTCCTAATTTATATTAATTTATACAAAGCAAGGCAAAATGAAATGAATAACACAAAAGAGTGAATATTTTTGTAACATTTTAAAAAAGTATTTGTTCCTAAAGCTCATAAGTATCTTCTAAAAAATTAAAAAGAGGCAATGTATTTATTTATTATAATTTCTAGCATATTTTTAGATTTTTTTACTAATAATGAGATGAGCAAAAGTTTGTTAGCAAAGTAGACTCAAACAAAATATTTGCATTTTTGATATTTTTAAATCATATAGAATAATGAATTATGTTTAAAAAGTATTTTTTTTATCCAAAAATAATATAAAATGCTTATTATTGCGAAATTCATTGATAGCGTGCATTTAATATATTCATTTTTTTAGATTTCAAATTTGAGTATGTACACAATATTAAAATTAATAAGCATGAAGTTGTTTTATATTTAGCATAAAGTTAAATTTAATAATGAACAATGAAATTTTATAGGTGATTCATTAAAAAAAATTACAGCTCTGCTAAACATATAAATTTAATGAGAGATTTGTATAGTATGTTAGTAGATAACTTGAAAAAAGTTTTAAAAAGGAATATTTTAGGAGTCTAAAAAAGTTAAACTGGTAGTTGCATAGATATTGTATAATAATGTGGTTAAATGAAGATTTATACATGAAAAGAATACGTATAAGGGTTATTTAATAGTAAATATGTCTATTTCTTTTCTTATTTAATGTTGTAAAATGTTAATTTGGATTACATTTTTAATTTTAATACAATAAAACCTGCTAAACTAGACACCCTTATAAATTGAGCACTTTTTTATATTAGGCAAAAGTATTTATCCCAAATTTTCATTTTTCATTATTAAATCCAACTATAAATTGGGCTACAGTATATTTTGGGTAAAATTTTTGGTTACATAGGTGACCAGTTTAGTTAGACAGTTTAATTGACTCCATCATTACTTTTAATCAGAAAAGTTTACATACATAAAAATTAATAAGAAAGTAAATAAAGTAGTTGCAGCATAAATCATAAATATGTCATAACAAATTAATTAATTAAAACTACATAAATTATTATTTGCATCATAATAATTGTTAAAATTAATTTTATGACTATTTAAAATTATTCATTTTGGATTATTTTTAAATAAAGTAATAATAATGTAATTGGAAAAATATAAAAGAAGAATGAAATGAATAGGATATAATTAATAATATTAATTCATCCTAATAAAAGTACAAAATAATATAAACAAATAAAAAGTAAGAATTAAAAAACATTAAGAATTCTTTATTGTAAAACATATTTCAGTCTATTTAATTTAATTAATTAATTAAATATGGTTAATTTCATCTTCATTATCAATTTTTCTTATATAAATTAAACCTTTTTAGCTTTACTTTTTAATAATTATTTCATTAATCTTTATTTAACTCTCTACATGTAAATTTAAGAAAATAACTTTAGTAGATCTATTTTTTTTTATTTTAAATCAAATTTGTTCTTTCTACTACAACCTATAAATTTAATTTGTTTTTGAGTATTTAAGTAAAAGTAAGGTAAGTATATATAAAAAATGTTAGGCATTAAATAAGAGTTTAATGTTTTAATATGCATTTATTATGCGATTATCAAATTTAATTGAAATAGAAACTTATTAAGTGATTTGAAAAGAGTAATTTAAATGATAATTCGAAAATACTTAGGAATTATCACACAAATACATTGTACATCCCCATATTTTAGCATTAAATATAATAAAATTATCTCTTTCTATTTTAATTATTATTTTTAAATGCTAAAATAAAATTATAATAAAGCAAAATAATAATAATAATTATATTAAATGTCTTATTTATAATAATAAATTAAATAATATTGCTAATACTTTTTTAAATTGTTATTTTTTAAAGTTATTTAGATTTAAATTTAATTAATTTAAAAAAACTAGTTACTTAAAAAAGCTACTTTAATATTTCCATGTAAAATGCAGAAAAAAAAAACCTTTTCATATAATTATTAGAAAATAATAGATGATTTTATGTTAAGATATTTAAGCAAAAAAGAATCTTGATAATTAATAGCTATAATTATAATGTATGAAAGAAAATACTATTTAAATTATCTTAAAGTTATAAAAACGTCAATTAGAATTAAAATTTATCGTTCAGTAAAATTCATGACACCAAATTTAAGCTTTATAAAATATTGCCAAAATATTAATTTACAAAACATGTTTATCATTAAATACAATTTTGTTAATCATTTTAAAAATATTTAATTGAGTGAATGGAATTTTTATTTATTAGACATCATATATTTACTTTATTCTACATGAATTTGGCTTAAGTTGTTAATATAAGGTATTATTTATCTTGAGATTACTAAAATTTTGCTATCAAAAATATTTTATTTTTTCATTTAAGTTTACTGGATAAGACTTTATTAATGAAAGTATGATTTTAATATATAACTAAGTTGTAACAGTTAAATTTAATATTTTTGTAATATTTTATTCAATAATTTTTATATTTTATGAAAAAATTAAAATATTTTAATTAAGTTTAATTAAAATAAAAACTAATACTTTATCCTTAAATTAACTTCCTTAAAATATCAAATATCCTACTCAATTATACTCAATTAGCAAATAAACAATGTTGTTTCTAATTTTAACCATTTAAAGCCTTTATTTTAGGTATACTAATACTTAAAAATAATTAGTATAAGATATGGTAGTATTGTGTATCTTAAATAATTTTTTATTTATATTTAATAATTATTTTTATATGAAATTTTATATATTTATTTACTTCTCCTTAAAGATTTTTATTCAAATTACTATTATTATTTTAAGTAAATGTCTTTTATTCTTATTCATTAAAATCTTAAAAAAATTAAATAAATTATTTTAATATTTAAAATATATTTTTTTACAAAAGTATATAAATGAAAAATTTGCACTATTTTAGAAAATATATTATTTAATAACTAAAATTTAATATTAATAATCTAACTAATCAATAAAATATAACCAGCAAAAATATTTTGATAATACAAAATTGTTTCAAAATAATATAGAAATTAAAGCAATTTAAATGGAAATCTAATAAACCAATTAAAAATATGTAAAAATAAAATTTTTTTTAGCAAATAAACAATTCAAATTTTTATTCAATTTTATATTTGATTTGCATTTTATTAGATTTGCTATGGAGATTGAGGTATGGAGAAATCTATTTTTCTAAATTTAATAATACCTTCCAAAAATCCTCCTCTGTTTTTTTTAGCATATTCTACAGATTTTTTGTCAAAAAAGACTATTATAAGCCAAGCAGCTAAACAGAGAAGAATCCAAACCTAGGCTTCAAATCCTGTCATCATGAATAAAACACTTGTAGTTACTACAGTCATTAGAAAAGAAGTACCATAAAAAATGATTGCTATAAAGCGTGCACTGCACATTCCATTTGGATCTTGTTTTAAGCAAAAGCAAAATGAAAAAATCTTTAAAACTAATGCTGGTATGAAAGTAAATAACCAATACATAATCATACAACCTAAAAACGCCAAAAACAAGAGTTCTTTTCTCTCATCAGTATCATCATCATCACCTCTACTTCCTGCCCAGTAAATCATAGAAGACATAGTCCTTTGCAATATAATCAAGTTAATTGTAACATGCTTAATTCTGTGGAAATTGCTAAATAGTGGAAATGAAAACTTTCCTGCTTAAGTTAGCCAATAACCATTTAAATCAGAGGTTACAATAATTTATTAGGTATCTTATTTCTACTATCCTTGAGGTTATTAAAGACTTTATTACTATTAAATTTATTATTATGGTTAGAATTGAGGAACAAAATTTGTTTAGAATTAGCCTTAATTCTAAGATATGGGATATCCACTAACAATATTAGAATGGGCTCCATTATTATTGTTGTTATCAATATCAAAATTGGGTATTTTGCTAGCCTAATTTTAGTTGTATCCAAATATATTGTTTTTTTCATCATAAATATTTGGTTCAAATGCACTCTTTTTACTGACAGTATCAAATTCGCTAGGAGCTCCTATTTTTAATAGCTAAGGAGAGTTTTAACCATTATTATTTTAAATGTTGTTTTGTTGCTAGAGCATTTAAAGTGCTTGCTAATTTAGTTGAGGCTCTTAATTTTGTTAAGATTACAAATACTTATTTAAATTTTTTCTTGAGATGATTGTCCATCCATGATGAACTACTATTAAAAAAATAATATTTATAATACCAACTGCTTAAGAATATCCATCTCCTCTATCTTCGAAATCATCTCTTGAATTACAGTAATAATCATCTGTCAAGTAATAATCCTCATTGCATTTAATACATATTTAGTAATAGCAGCTTTAACATGATTTTTAATCACAACGATCTCTACCTGGATAATTGGGATTTGGCTTCAAGGAAGGCTAATATGGCATTGGTGGTGGTGGCTACTACTAATTATTTCCTGCATGTTATGTTTAGTTTTGATTGTTATTGTTGTTTTGACCATTACCCTAGCATGATGAAAAGTTCAAAAGAATTGCAAAGACAAAAAGTAAAATAATGCTAAGCTTCATAAAATTAAATACACTATTTTATTTGCTGGCTATTTACTATAATTTTCTTCTAAATTATTTAATTAAAAAACTTGTAAATGTTTATTTGATATCAAGTTTGACTTTGAATAGATTATAAATGAGTAATTTCTCTGGTTAAAAATTGTTACTTTATATATTATATAAAATTTAGTAACCAAATAGGATTAAAACGATAAAAACTCAAATAAACAAAAGTAAATGTCATTATTTATTTAGGAAACATCTAGAGAAATAAAAATTTAGAAGTCATCTTGCATCTTACAGCTAATTTAGACTAAAAAATTAATTTTCTTTATTTAAAAAAACTGTTAAATGCTGGTTATTTTCAGTTTTCTATTGAAGCTATTTTTAAATTTTAAAATTAGAAAACCTTCTATTTTCTTTTATTCTTCTTTTATTTATTTTAATATTTGTAAGCAAAAAACTAGATCAATCTTTTTCTCATAAATAACAAACTGGCTAAATAATTTAGTATTAATTAAATCATAAATTAATTTATTTTCTATATAATTTTATAGTCTGTTGTATTCTTTATGAGTAGCTGTTATATATATCTTTTATATAAATATGTATCTTTTCAAAATGAAAAAAGCTTCTGTATAAAACTTTAAAAATTATAGAAATCAAATAATGATTTTTTTATACTAAATCTCCTATTTAATTAATTTTTTTCAGGTTTTGTGAAATAAATAATTTTTTTAAATTTGAAAATTAATATTTTAAATATAAAATGTAATTAATTATGTATAAATAAAATTGGAATTCATAATAACTTTTATTTAAAAAAACAATATAAAATATAAATTATATAGCTCCTATTTAGATATGTCTTAAAAATTAATTAGCATATTTCATAAACTTTTATCTGCTAGCTCAGCAAAAATTTGATGATTACTACTTCCCATACTAGTCATTAGTATTTTATCATTTTCTTAAGTGTCTAAACAGTTAGTAGCTTATTTATTTATCTAAGTTTAGTCTTAATTATTGTCAAATACTAAAATTATATTAAATATTTATAAATAAAACATTATTATTTAATTAATTTACTTAAAGGACTTTATTTGGTCTATCTAGTGTAGTATGTCCATTTATCTCTCATATTTTTAAAAGAATTTTTCTTTTTAAAAATTGAATCATTTTGTTTTAATTAGTTAGATTTTTAAAGAACAAATCTATTTGATTATTGCTTATTTGAAATCTATGTTTTAGGGGTCTATAAGTTAAAATGTGTTTAAAATGATTCTTAGTGATAAAAATTATGATTCTTAAAATATATTAATAGATTTTTTATTTTATTTTTCACTCTTTTTAACTTGATCAATAATCTGATTCTGTTGTTTCTTTATATAAAAATATTTTCAAGTAGCCAAGGATATTTCATTTTAAGTTTATAGAAAACTTCTTAAATGCAATTTCTTTTGTTCCTTTCATTTGAAATTGTAATTTGTATAATACCCATAATTAATTATATAATAAATTATAAGTTTAGGAATAGCAATAATAGTGTAAACACTATACTTTAATTATATTAACTCTAGCTAAAAAAGTTAGATTGTATAGAAGATAGACTTAATGATAAGGTACAAACCAGAGAATGTTTTTATAGTAAATTATTAAAGTAATTATTAATATAGGGCTTAGACCTAAATATAATGTAAGATTATATCAGAAATAAAACATTAAGAGAGGAGACCTAAATAAATTTAAATTATTACATAAAATATTTATAAATAAAAAAATTTACCTTAAAAAATTCATTTTATTGTAACAATATTGATGTTATAATAAGAATAGACTTAAATACTAACTTTCCAAACTCCCAGAAGTAATACTTTTCCTAATAACCTGCAAATATAAACGAATATTTAATTTCTTAGAAAATAGACCACTTTTATTTTTTACCCTTTCTAACTTTTAAAAATAGAAATAGAGGTATAAAAAAAGCCCATAATACTAGGAATGGTATACTGAAGTATAATATGTATGGTAAGTGTTTTTAAGCATCAAAACATTTAACATTTAAATCCAAATCGAGATATTTATAACTTCCTATTTAAATGCAATTTAGCGTTCTACTTAAATGTATTATTACTGTTGGAAAAAAGTAAAAATATAAAAAAATTGCAGTAGTTTATATGTAATTAATTATTATATTATTCTTATTTATTTTTTTATAAATGAGACCTATTGCTAGATATATAAAGAAAATTAAAATTGGTAGCATAAAGGAGCTGATTGTCTAAAAAAACCATAAAGGTTACATCTCTGGGTGATTTGAAAAAAAGCAGTTTAAAGATTAGCTTGTGGTGCTCATAGAACCACCAGACACTTAAAAAGGTAAAGTATAAAAATTTGGTAAATTAATTTAAAATTAGCATATCAAAGATATAATTTAAAGATGATCTGTTAGAATCTTTGATATAATTTGAGGTTTATCAGACTAATAAACTATTAATTATAAAAATAAATATTGTAAATTTTTAATATAAAATGAATAAATGATACTCGTAGAGCCCAAAAAGATTATATCTGCTTTATTCAAATAGATAGCTGAAAGCTTAGCTTAAAGTTTGACTATGACCTTTTTTAGGATTGTAAATACATAGCATGCCACAAATAAAATAATAATTAAATTATAAAAAAAAATCTTTTAAAAATTTTCATCACACTTGTAGCAATATCCTGGACTTAAAATTTAAGAATATTTATTTCCCCAAACCTCTCCATAACTATCACAAGATTAGCAAAGAGGTCCTATATTGCCCTAAATACAGTTAAACTATTTATCATTAAATTATTTTATCAAAAAAGCATTCAAGTCAATAAAGTAAAAATAATAATTAGCATGATTTAAATTTTTTAGAATAACTTGTTTATAATTAAAATTTACTTTAGATAATTGAGATTCAGGTTAACAAGAAATGGGATTTAAACTGCAATAAATTATTTCATCTGATTAGTTATTCAACCTCCAATAACCATTCTTTAATTCTATTGTAGAATTTTAGCATTAAATAGCTGATTCAGGACATTATTAGCATGACTAATCTTAAAGATTTAGAGAATATTTTCCCTCAGGGCATAATTCACAAATAATTGAATCTCCTTATTACTTTTAAATTTCACCAACCGAGCAACTATCAAAATCAATGTTTATATTAATTTATAGAGCTTACTAGCTGATATAATTTTTACCTTTTGAGTCTAATAACTATGGAAACACATTTGAGTAAAGTTACATAACCATTTTAGCGAAAGGCTCATACATAACCTAAATATTTAATCTAAATCCACCATTTACAAATTATTTAGATGAAAGTTCTCCATTACATTAAATTTATTTTATTGACTAGTTACACTCTATTTAAATACTAATTTATTAAATTATTGTTTAAACGTTAGAACTATAATTTAAAAATTATTCCTATGATATGTATGGATAGGATAAAGGATTATCTTCTTCATCGAGAAGTTAAATTTTACTAAATTAAATTTAACTTCCACTTTTAAATTATTTGATGAACAACTATTAGTCATCGAAATACACATTGCTTTGATTTGGTATAGTAATATTTTTTTAATCTATCAAAATTTTCCTTAAAGTTGATCCAATATTTTTTCCATAAAATTTGGCATAATTATTGCTTATTTAGTTATTATTATTATTTTTATTTTAAAAATCAAAAATAATATCTGGTATTAACTATTCATAATAAATACCTCCTCCTATAGCAGCCTAATTTTATGAAATTAAAGTTTCTTTCATTATTAAATTTGAATTTATAAGATTTATGGCTCCTCCTGTTGAAAATGTTGCTTAATTTGAAATAAATTTACTTGAAGTTATTGTTAATTAGCAAGTATTAATTATATTGCTAACAAAGAGAGCTCCTCCGTTTTACGTTAAGCATTAGTTTTAAATAAAAATACAGTTATTAATTAAAATGTTATTGCTATCTATAGCATAGATAGATCCTCCTATTCCTTTCGAGTTAATGTTGTTTTTAAAAGTACTATTAGAAATGGAAGTTAAATTGCATTGTTTAAAAATAATTATAGATGAGTAATGATTACTTTTAACTTATATATTTTCAACTTCAATGTCACTTATTTCTAAATTATTTAAATCTATAAATTATATTAGTGAAATGCTTTTTTAGATGTTTGAATTCAAAAACTTGCAAGATTAAATTATAGCTAATCCTTAATCTTACTATTAACTTAAAGTTAAAATAGAAATTTCATTGTTTATAGAATATATTTAGTTAGCTATTACATCCTTAAAATCATTTACTAAAAATAGTATTAAATCTTCTTCATCATTTTCAGCTTATATATTTTATAGATTTATTTTCTTGATGGATACTATAGATGCAGTTATAGAAAATAAGCTATTTTTAACCTATAAATTGCCAATTTATAAATTTTCTATAAAAGTAGAAACTTTTACTGTTAAATATGATTAAATATCAATTGATTAATTAATATTAATATTTTTCAAATAAAATTCATTACTAATCTCTTACATTTCATCAGTTTAGAAAGACCTTATATTAAATAATTATAATTATGAGCTATAATCTACAAAAATATTTTATACAGAAGAATAAATTGAACCTTGAATATTTATTATTTAAGAATTATAAACATTGTTTATTAAAATATTTGATAGAGTTACATTGTTAAGAAGCATTATTTAAAACAGATTTATTTGTGATGCTTATTTTATTGTAATATTAGATACTACAATTGAATTGCTATTATTTATTAAAAACACATCGCTAAAAGATGCATTAAAGATCGATACGTTATTTATTACTATTTGTTAATTATTTTAGAAGTTAAAAGCATAGTTTATCCCAGAAATGTTTTCAATTAAAATATTTTCTATAAAAACTTAATTGCAATTCATTATAATTATTTGGTTTTAACTCTAATTTTTATCATCTACCCTAAGTTTAATATTCTATAAAAATACTTTGTTGATATTTTATATTAAAAATTATTTTTAAACTTCTAAATTAATGTCGTAGATTTATAAAATGCCAAAAAAGTTGAATTCACTTATGTAAACGGAATCAATGACGATCAAATACATCTTTCTAATAATTAAATTAACAATATTTTAAAATTTCATTTAATCTTGAGTGCAATAAATTATATTATCCTCAGAATTAGATTCAATTACTAAAGAAACTGGGTAATCTGGGTAATAAAGTACATCTTATTATAAGATACTTTAAATAAATTAATTATTTTAATATTATATTTAAATTAAATTAAGTATACTAAAGCTTTAGTATGCTTAATTAATAATATGATTTAATTTTATTATATTAAAGACATTATCAGAAGGTTTATTTTAATAATTTAATTATACTGAGCATAATTAGTTAAAAGCTAAAGGAATTATTAAGTATTCAATACTTTAATAGGTAGAAAGTAATATTTAAAGCTCCACTTAAAAATTAGAATCATAAATAACATTTAAATTTTGGAGAATTGATTAAGTTTATCTTACCTCTTTAATTAATAAGTAAGGATTGTATTATTAGTTAATTTGAATAATTTTAAGTCTGTCTTTTTATATTATAATAAAGTATTAATTGTAATTTAAATTAATTATATTCATAACTTCCTTAATACCATAGTTGATGATGGGAAATTGTTATTAAAAGCTCAGTCCATTATAAATTATAATATCGTTAGGGCATACTGAGTAGATAAAATCATCATCATATGTGATAATAGCTTATTTAAGGCAAGCATTTTTAATTTTGCTAATTAATTTTAATGCGAAGTTGTATATTTGTGTTTCTCCTTTGTTGGTTATTATATAAATTAGCTTCCTAAAAGGATCATTCACTACATTTGTTATTTTAGTAAACTTAAGAATTTAACTTTATAATATTGTTTAGTTTTAGGCATTAATAACTAAAATTTAATAATCTAGTCCCTAATTAGTTATAGCACAAAATAAATTGTTATTATTAATATCATTATTATTTTATTTTTCTTCAAATTCAAATGGTACTTTCCACCAACTGAACTTATAATCTGTGAATTATTTTTATTACATTTTGAAAACAAATTTAATCAAATTATTACTTTCAAAAGCAATTTAATTCAACTTATTTATCGATATATCAAATATATTTATGGCATTATCAGAAGAAATTAAGATATAATTATTACAGATTAAAGCTTATGAAGTATAAGATTAAGTAAGATTAATCAAATTAACTTCTTTAAGATCATTATTTTATAAATCAACGTAGCTTAACTGATTGTTTTGTTCATATAATAAATATAATTTATTTCTAATTTAATCAAAAAAATAATTATCTGGTAGACTCCATAACTTTATTCTTTGACTTAAATTTATCTTTTAGTTGATCAAATCAACATAAACAATGTTTAATTATTAGTGCTAAATAAATATTAATTTATTTTCATCTATTAGTATAGGTTGGGTAAAGTATGGATAAATATTATAAAGCTCTGATTCAAGCAATAAACTATCAACGAGTTATTCATCTTTATATAAATTCAAAGATAAATTAACAATACTGTAATAAACTTAATAATTATCATTCAAAATAATTGTTTGAATATTTTAATAATAGAGTAAGTTTGTTTCACTAGAATACAATACTTCAGTTAAATCAAATGCTATGATCTATTTTTAAGTTAAAACAATAAGAATTGATTGCAAATTATTCAAATATAAGTTTTATATTGCAGAATTAATTTGTTAATAGCCAACAGAAAAACTTTCAATAAACTACATAGTTGGATATTAAAAGAATGATATAACTATATCTGAATAAATTATCACTATCTTTTTATCTTTATCCATAAATAGTCCTTTAGCATTTTAAAAATCAGTATTAAATGTTTAAAAAGTGCCTAATTAATAATTTATAATATATATCATTGGAGTATAATCTATAACAATTATATTAGCATCCTTCTCATAATAATAAGATGAATCTTTTGCAAATTCGCTAATAGTTTGGTATGTAAAAAAGTTACTATTAATAGGAATACTAACTGCATAAATAACTTAAGTTGCTCCAGTTATAGCTACCAAAATGTTATTTTGAATATCATAATTTATTTTAGTGTTATTAAATCTATATTCAAATAAATATGTTGAATCTGAATAGCTACCTAATTAAAAAAAGCTTTTTACTTAATCATAAAGATAAACAATCAATTGCAGGTTTATGTTTATTAAAGGAATGCTTTGTAAGTTATTTTAGAACTAATCAAAACCAAAATCCTAATTAATTAAAAGAAATAGTTATTATTTTTATAAATGTAATATTTATTAAAAATTTCAAATTGAAAAAAATTATCAATTTTTAGCTGTATATATATTTGTAAAAAGATTAAATTCATGGCTATTTTATTGAAGAATTATGATATTAGAATCATTTATTCTTAAAATTTTTAATTTATAAAATTAATATTTTCAATAAGTGAGATCTTTATTTGTATATATTTTGAGATACATTCATTAAAAAGGGTCATATTTTACATATAAAGGCAAATCACTAAAAATATTATTTTAATTGTAATTAACCTATTTGAGGGGGGGAGGGTAGCCCAATGGAATAAAATTTATGGGTGTAGTATCCACATGACAATCCCTTAGAAATTTTAAAAAATGAATGCAGTCCCATTGGGCAGGCGACCCCCCCAACCTATTAATAAAGGTATTGGCAAAAAAAGCTTTAGACTTTATATAATATGTTCATAACCCATGGATGAAATAAAAGAAAATTTATATCTGTTATCTTAGTGTTTATTGACAGTATTAGCTAGATAGGATTTTATTTATCCCTAGTTTTTGATTTGGGTTAGTTATTTAATAGCATAAAATCATAAGCATTATAATAAAAAATAAAATATTAAAATCATTTGTGCAATTGTATTAATAATTATTTGAAAATATTAGTTTTAATCATTTTATTTTTGAATATTTTATTTTAAATATGTTAGAAAAAATAATTATTAATTTAACTCAATTTTTTTTAACATATTTATACATTTGAAAGTTTTAACACACAATAATTAAATGTGGGAATTTTCCTAAAAATATAAAATTAATTAATAATCATTACTGGATTAAATGAGCTTTTGTCCTCTCCTGATACAAAATCAAATATTTTAACTTACGGATAATAAACTATTACAAGTTTTTGGTCACATTAGAGATAAAATTTCAAATCTGAGTAAGATTACAAAAAACTAATATTGATTTATTTTGAAATTCTATTATTAATCTATTTTAATAAATTATTTTAAGAAAATATTTAAAATGAATAAAAATATTTACCGAGACTGAATAAAGAATTAAGTTTACTGTCTTAACTATTACTATATTTTAATCTTTGCAGACCTAATATTCAATAATTTCAGAATCTAATGAAGATATCATTTAAATTTTAGAGGTTTGCTTATAATTAAATACATATATTGTGCTATTATTTATCCATATAAAGCTATGCTCATCCCAATCAAGCATGGTTATCATAAGATCAAATTTAAAATCTAATTGAATTTAAACAAATTCTTAGATTAACTTAGTAGCATCATATATTATTAGATTATTAGAGTTACTATCATAAATAACTATTTTATTCTATTCAATTATCATATCTTATATGGATTATGTTTCTGTCAAGTTTAGTGTGCTAAAAGGATGATTAAATAAATTAATATGCCAATAGATACCATTCTATGACTCAAATATATCAAATTAGGTGTCATCATCTATTTTTTAATTTCCTAAATAAATATTATCTTCCTATTAGCTTTTAATAACTATCATATTATCTGTATCAATAATATTTTATGATTTTTTTATGAAGGAACTACTTTCAAAAATATAGAAATTAACTTATTGTTTACGATATTTATATAAATCTGAATTAGCATTAATGTAAAAGATCTTTTTCAATTGCATATCAAATTTATAAAATTAGTTTTGATTGAAATAGAAAACATACTGTTCACTATAAACTAAATCTAAAAAACTTGTATTTAAAAATGGATATTATATTCCAGTATTTATAACCATTTAAAATTACAAGTTGTATGAATATATGTAAATGCTTGAGTAATAAAATATAAATATCTCTCCTGTCTTTTAGTAAATAATAGATTTACACATTAATGGAGTAATTTAAAGGGTTTCTAATTTATATATAAACTATTTTTTACTTAATGAAAATGGTTAATATTACTAATTTGAAGTTATGGAGATATATATTAAGTCGTTTAAAGCTATCAATGGTTAATATTAGTTATTAGTTATCCAAAAATTTACTATGGTTTATTATCCAAAATTAAAAACCTGCTCAACTTTAATAAATTATAAATCAATTAAGTACATATTATTTTCAAGTTAATTATTTAATGCAACATATGCTAAGTAATCATCATTTATAATGATAAAATTGTCTAATGAAAATTAATAATCTTGGATGTTTTAAATGAGCTATTTACCTAAAGACAAATCAAATATTTGAGGAATGTTTTAGATTATTAATAAATTTCTCTTTTCTATGTAATAAAAGTTGCTAAAATTATCAGAATTATTATAATGATAAGTATAAAATAAAACTTATTAATAATTTGAAATGTCAATAATATATTCATTCACACTCTGATTGACTATTTTACTTAATATGAAATATTTATTATTTATCAAATTTATGTTATCATATTTTGTAAATGAATCATTCAAAAAGAATTGAACGAATCTTGTATTTAGTCTTGAGAATTTTTATAGGTTTTATAAATCATATTTTATTTTTTAAACTCCAAATACCTATTGTATGATATTTTAGTTTCTGTCAAGAATATAAAATGAATTGTTTTTATTTTAACTGTCAATACTGAAAATGTTTTAATTTTAATTTGGATTTGAATTCTTGTCATAGTAATTTTATAAATATTATTGAGGATCTAAATATTTAATTGTATATGTTTAATCTGATGAGTTAAATTATATCCTAATCTACTAAAAAAATTAAGCATTTATATTTATACTTTAAGATAAAAATATATCTAAAATACTATCCTCCTAAAAAATAATATTAGTGATAGTCGTCAGACTAGTTATTAAAGTAGAATTTATAGTTATAGTCAATAGACTTGTTAAATTTGTTTATTCTTGATCAAATTTATTTAAGTAATCTGTCAAATTAATTATTTTCAATTATTCTGATATCCAAATTATAAAAGTAGAATTATTTTTTTCATTTTCATATATTTAAAATGAATCTAATTTAGGAGCTGTTATAGTTATAGTTCGTATAATTTTATCAAATGAACCACTTAAAATCACCAAAGTTAAATTATTATTTGATGTATCATACTGAATAATTGAATTCAGTAAATAACTATATTAAATATTATTTTCAAATTTAATATCTTATGAATCTATTTACTATGAATTAACTAAAAATTAATCCTAAAATGCAAGTTTTTTTACTTATGTTTGAGTAAAATTTGAGAATTTCACAATTATAAAGTTACTTTTTTAAAAGATGATTTCAAATGTCTCGGGTAAAAGCAAGTCAAAATCATTATCCTAAAATAGCAAAGATCTATCTTCATTAAGATTAATAGACTTTTTTTAATTAATTAAAATAAGGTAAATTAATAAATTAGATAAAATTTATATGTCATAATTAATTTACTATGAAATTTGTAATACTAATTTGTATATAATATACAGTCTTTGAATTTAATGTAATTTAAAACATTCTGATAGGATTGAAAAGGATAGAGCATTAACTTAATACAGAATAGGTTTATACATCAAAACATTGAATAACAGCGTTATTATTCTAAGAGAAAAAGATAATTTAATTTACTTTATCAATGTAAAAAATATTATAGTCCTCACTCAATCCATACTGCTCAAAAACTAACTATTAAATAGTAAAATCAAATAATACTAATTTTCTCCCTGCCAAGCACCCAGCTAATGTTCCTATAATAAAACTGACTTCTTAAATTTCTTAGCTATTGTTCATATATTAATCTTCGTAATTATCAATATTCTGAAGAATTTGAGTAATGATAATTTTCCAATCTTAATCAGCTAAAGAAAATGTGCATTTGTTAGCTCTAATTAAATATTGGTTTTATTGGATTAGCTCAACTTGTTTCACTTTCTAATCTAGTTTAGAATTGAGGTTATTATAAGCTTGTTCACATTATACTGTTTTTTAGCATTATTTTAGATTATAATTTTGATAATATGACGAAGGGCAGCTTTAATAGCATTAACTTTAATCATTAAGAATCAAAACAAATTCTACTTATGATTAGCAAGCATTTTATTTCAAGATACATGAATTTGTATAAAAGTCGTATTCTAAGCTTTCAATACATTTATTGCATGAGTAAGAATAATCACATTCTAAGCAACCTTGTATGAAACACTTATCACATTATTGATAATTATTTACAAATTCTCCATTTTAGCAATTTTAAACGCAATTTGAGTTGCTTATATAGCTTTTTATGAAACCATCTGAGCACGTTAAGCATGAATTTTAATTTGTATTATAACAAATTGAGCAAGAGCTATCGCATTAAAGGCATTACTATCTAACAGAGTCATAGATTTCATTCCTTTGACATTAGGCAACTATCATATTAATTGTTATTGCAAGTACTAGATAGTAATAGAACATTTACATTATTTTTTTTTACCTTGTTAATGAGTTTTTGAGTATATTTAAATTAATAGAATTCTATTTTGTTTAAAGTAATAATGATTATAAAATTTTTACTTTAATTAACAAGACCTAAATCTGATAATTTAATTATACAAAATAACTGATTCATTTAAATAATCAAAAATAATAATATGAATGAAAAGCGATAGAACATTAACTGAAGTAAAATTTTAAAATGATAAATTTAATTTGAATTATCAATTTATCTTAAAATTCAATCTCATTTTAAAAATAAAATTATTTATTTACTATATGTGCACATAAATTGAACAAATGAACGTGTATCAGATTATATCATATTTTCTTTATTTATAAATATTTTTTTACCCATTTATACAAAGATAAAAAAATTGTGTTAATTTTTGTCTGTAATTTCATCTATCCTCAATTTGTCAACTTTTTAATAAGATTGATTTATATTGTCAAAAATATTAATTCAGTTGAAATAAAACTATAAAATAATAGAATCTGTTATTATTTGTGTATGTAGCCTTGTAAAAGGCAGTACTTTATGGTACTATAAAATTACAGCTTTTAATTAATACCAAAAAGACTTTTTGTGCTATTATTTTTGAGCCTTAATAAATGAGGATTGATATTTATTGTTTTTTCTTATTATTTCGAAATCTAATTAAATATTTATATATACCATATACCTTAATATATGTTTTATCAATTTTAAATATAATATGTCAAAAAATTATATAATAAAAGGATTTCCAATTTACCGTTGGAAAAATTTTTTGAATTAATCTTGTTTTTTAGAGTTATTAAAGTAATAATAATTATTTTTCTTAAATTGCTTATTTATTAATCTAAACTACTAATTATTTACTATTTTGGTTTAATTTTCAATAATTAATTATTTATCAATTCATTTTTTCTACTTTTTCTATTTCAGATTCAGAAACTAATCTATTGAATTTATTGTTTATATTTTTTTTGTTTGTTTGCGTTCATTGAGCTATAACTTGCTTTTAGTGAATCTAAAATTTTTTAATATTTTTAGTTTTTAATCCATCATAAGACTCTCTCTATTACCATATTGCTTATCATAAGTTTTTTGTTATTTTTGGTTGCTTTGTCAAATAAATATGAATTGAATTTACTCAATTTGATTTTTCTCATTTTAGAAATATGATTGCACATATTTTGTTTAAATAAGAAGCAAAATCAAAATTCAACGGTTTTCATATGTTTATGGTTTTTAACTGGCTAATTATGTCTTCGATTGAAGGTCTGGTAATTGAAAAAAATTATTCAGATTATGATGAAAAATTAATTGAGGTTTCTCTTAAAGTTGAAAAAAGTTTATTCATTCATGAGTAAGGATTCAACTTGCTTGGGTTTTACTTGAAATGCATAAACTCAATCAAAATAAAGATTTCCTACAGAATTAATTACCTTGAAGATTCTTGGATTGTGTCTATTTGAATTAACAAAATTTTCTAGAAAGTGGAAAGTAGTTTTCATTTTTTAATCTTGGTTGTATATAATACTTTTAAAGTTTCTTTATTTCATACTAACCCAGTATTTGAGATTTTTTATTTTTGAAAATATCTAATTTCTCTCCTTTTAACATAATGATCAATTTTTTAATAGTGGTATCCTTCGCCTATATTTCAGGGGAATAAAAATAAATTTAGAATGATTCTGTGTTAATAACTAATTTAAGCTATTTTTTATTTAAAATTTGTCTAAAATTAGAATAGTTCTAAAATCATTTTTATAAATCAAAGGTTATTTTATGCATGTGATGACTATAGTATGAATGGTTTATGTATGATTGTTTTTGATACAAAGTTTTTGGATACAACCAATAGATGTGAAATTTTTTTATTTGAGAGAAAAATTAAGCAGTTAAGAAGTAACTATATATAAAAGCTTTGATCATTTTTGGTGAAAACTCAGGACTGATTGTAGAATAATTAATTACTTTGTTTAAGTAAATTTAATTTTTAAATTTCCTTTTATTAAATAAGCTATTTATTTACTTATCAAAATATGTTATTTATAAATATGAAAATAATAATAAATCTATTTATATTTTAGGTTAATTTTTTCAATTACAAAATATAATAATTATTAAATATAATATATTAATTTATATTACACAAATATTTTTATATTTATTCATCCTTCTTTTTGATCACTTGTTTATCATAATCAGAAATTTATTTTATAGTCAACTAGTCTTTTTGATTTCAGACATTTGCTATTTTCTTTCAATTATTATGGTTTATTGATATTATTATTCCTTTTAATATAAATTAGTTAATTATTATATTGTAAATCAATAAATAAATAAAAACATTAATAATATAAAAAATAAAAATTAATCAAATAAAAAGCTATTAAATAAATTAAAAGGGTTAATAATATTGTTTAAATTCATTTTTATATCAAAAAATATCACAATCCAAAACAAATAAGATGTTTTTACTCAAGGCTAAGTGTCAAATTTGAGAGATGAATGCATTTTACTAAACTTGAAACTAAATCTGAACTACCATAGTCACAAATTTAATTTTCACTTTTTATTAAATATTGAAGAAAAAATATATAGTTAATTAGTTAGTTAAAAGGAAATTATTAAGAAAAAATATGATATAATAAAAAATTATTAAATTAATTAATAATAAAAGTAAAAGTTGAAAATTAAAAAATCAGTAAAATTGGCAAACAACTAAAAAAAAAAACCAAAATGAAATTAAAAAAAGAAAAGTAAATCAAATAAAAAGTTAATAAATAAATGAAAAGAGTTTTTTTGTTTTAAACTCATTTTTATATTAAAAAATATCATAATCCAAAACAAATAAACTGTTTTACCGAAGACCAAGTTTCAAATTTGAGAGATTAGGGCACTTTAATAAACCAAATCCTAAGCCTGATGCACCAGTTCCACCAATTTAATTTTGACTTTTTAAATAACAAAGAAAAAATAAAGAGTTAATTGATAATTAGAATGAATAAATTAAAAAAAATATGAAATTATTAGTAATGAATTAATTTATAATAAAAGTGAAAGTTGAAAATAAAAAATAAGTAAAATTAACAAACAAAAAAAAAACCCATGAAGAATAAAAATAAACAAATAAAAAGCAAATAAATAAATTAAAAGAATTAGTTATTTAGACTTTTTTTTAAAAAATTTTATTTGATTGAAAATTTCAATAATTGCATCAAAATCTTATCATAAAACAAATATGAGAATATTTATCAGAAAAGAATTTAAGTTGAAAATAATCAGTTTTATAGTATCTAAAAAAATTATAGACAATGCACACCTCTAATCAAGAAATTTTAAAACAATTCTTAAAATAATAAGTTGCTCAAATAAATTAATATTTAAAATAATTTAATTATTTAAATGTAATTTTGAAGGTTAATATTTTAAATATAAAATTTAATTAATTATATATAAATTAAATTGGAATTCATAATAAATTTTATTTAAAAAACAATATAAAATATAAATTATATAGCTAATGCTTAGATATTACTTAAAAATTAATTCGCATAATCATAAACTTTTATCTGCTAGATCACTAAACATTTGATTATTACTACTTCTTACACTATTCATTAGTATTTTATCGTTTTCTTAAGTGTCAAAATAGTTAGTATGCTATTTATTTATCTTATTTTAGTCTTAATTATTTTCAAATATTAAAATTATATTAAATATTTATAAATAAAAAATTATTATTTAAATAATTTACTTAAGGGACTTTATTTGGTCTCTCTAGTGTAGTATGCCCATTTATCTCTCATATTTTTAAAAGAATTTTTCTTTTTAAAAATAGAATCATTTTGACTTAATTAATTAGATTTTAAAAGAACAAATCTATTTGATTATTATCTTTCTGAATTCTATGCTTAAGGGGTCTATAAGTTAAAATGTGTTTAAAAAGATTCTTAGTGATAAAAATTATGATTCTTAAAATATGTTAATAGATTTTTTATTTTATTTTTCACGCTTTTTAACTTGATCAATGATTTAATTCTGTTACTGCTCTAAATAGAGATATTTTCAAATAGCCATGGATATTTCATTTTAATTTTATAGATAGCTTCTTAAATGAAATTTCTATTTGCCTTTTCGTTTGAAATTGTAATTTGTATAATACCCAGAATTAATTACATAACAAATGATAAGTTTAGGATTATCAAAATTAGTGTAAAGACTATATTTTAACCATATTAATCCTAACTAAAATAGTTAGATTATATAGAAGATAGATTTAAAGATATAGTAGAAATCAGAGATTGTTTTTATAGTAAATTATTAAAGTATTAATTAATATAGGGCTTAGACCTAAATATAATGTAAGATTATATCAAAAATAAAACATTAAGAGAGCAGACCTAAATAAAATTTAATTTATTACATAAAAAAATTTATAAATAAAAAAAATTTTACCTATAAAAATTCACTTTATTGTAACAATATTGATGTTATAATAAGAATAGACTTAAATACTAACTTACCAAACTCCCAGAAGTAAAACCTTTCCTAATAACCTGCAAATATAAAGGAATATTTAATTTCTTGGAAAATAGACCACTTTTATTTTTTACCCTTTCTAACTTTTAAAAATAGGAACATAGGTATAAGTATAGCCCATAGAACTAGCAACGGTATACTGAAGTATAAAATGTATGGTTAGTGTTTTTAAGCATCAAGACATTTAACATTCAAATCCAAATCGAGATATTTATATTTTCCTATTTAAATACAATTCAATGATCTACTTAAATGTATTATTACCATTGGAAAAAAGTAAAAATATAAAAAAATTGCAGTAGTTTTTATATGGTTAACTATTATGTTATTCTTTCTTTTTCTTTTATATATTATTAGACCTATTGTTAGATATGTAAAGAAAATAAAAATTGGTAGCATAAAGGAGCTGATTGACTAAAAAAACCACATAGGTTACATCTCTGGGTGATTTGAAAAAAAGCAGTTTAAAGATTTGCTTGTGATGCTCATAGAACTACCAGACACTTAAAAAGGAAAGCTATAAAAATTTGGCAAATTAAATTAAAATTAGCATATCAAAGATATAATTTAAAGATGATCTGTAAGTATCTTTGATATAATTTGAGGTTTATCAGATTAATAAACTATTTATTAAAAAAAATAAATATTGTATATTTTTAATACAAAATGAATGAATGATACTCGTAGAGCCCAAAAAGAGTATATCTGCTTTATTTAAAAAGAATGCTGATAGTTTAACTTAAAGTTTTACTAAGACCTTTTTTAGGATAGTAAATACATAGCTTGCCACAAATAAAAAAATTAATAAATTATAAATAATAATCATTTAAAAATTTTCATCACACTTATAACATTTTCCTGGACTTAAAACTTAAGAATATTTATTTCCCCAAACCTCTCCATAGCTATCACAAGATTAGCAAAGAGGTCCAATATTACCCTAAACGCAGTTAAACTATTTATCAATTAACATGATTTAAATTTTTGAGAATAAATAATTTAAATAAAAAAAATTTGGAAAATAATAAAAATTTACTTTAGATAATTGGGATTCTGGTTAACAAGAATCGGGATTAAAACTGCAATAAATGATTTCATCTGATAAGTCATTCAATCTCCAATAACCATTCTTTAATTTTATTATAGAATTTTAGCATTAAATTGCTGATTCAGGACATTATTGGCAAGATTAATCTTAAAGATTTAGAGAATATTTTCCTTCAGGGCATTATTCACAAATAATTGAATCTCCTTATTACTTTTAAATTTCACCAACTGAGCAAGTATCAAAATCAATGTTTATATTAATTTATAGAGCTTACTAGCTCAAATAAATTTTCCCTTTTGAGTCTAATAACTATGGAAACACATTTGATTGAAGTTACATAACCATTTTAGCCAATGGCTCTTACATAACTTAAATATTTAATTTAAATCCACCATTTACAAATTATTTAGATGAAAGTTCTCCATTACATTAAATTTATTTTATTGACTAGTTACACTATATTTAAATACTAGTTTATTAAATTATTGTTTAAACGTTAGAACTATAATTTATAAATTATTCCTAGGATACATATGCATTAGTTAAAGGATTATCTTCTTCATCGTGAAGTTATATTTTATTAAATTAAATATAATTTCCACTTTTAAATTATTTGATGAATAATTATTACTTATCGAAATACATACTGCTATGATTTGATATTGTAATATATTTTTAATCTAACAAAATTTTCCTTAATGTTGATCCAATGTTTTTTCCATAAAATTTAGCATAATTTTTGTTTATTTAGTTATTATTTTCATTTTTATTTTAAAAATCAAAAATAATATCTGGTATTATTTATTCATAATAAATACCTCCTCCTATAGCAGCCTCATTTTACTAAATCAAAGTTTCTTTCATTATTAAATTTGAATTTATAAGATTTATGGCTCCTCCGGTTGAAAATACTGCATAATTTGAAATAAATTTACTTGAAGTTATTGTTAATTAGCAAATATTCAATTTATTGCTAATAAAGAGAGCTCCTCCGTTTTACTTTAAGCATTAGTTCTAAATAAAAATACAGCTATTAATTTATATGTTAGAGTTATCTATTGCATAAATAGATCCTCCTATTCCATTCTAGTTAATGTTATTTTTAAAAGTACTATTAGAAATAGAAGTTAAATTGCATTGCTTTAAAATAATTATCGATGAATATTGATTGCTTTTAACTTCTATATTTTCAACTTCAATATCTTTTATATCCAAATTCCCTAAATCAATAAATTATATTAGTGAAATACTTTTTTTTATGTTTGAATTTAAAAACTTGCAAGAATACATTTTAGCTAATCCTTAATCTTACTATTAACTTATAGTTAAAATAGAAACTTCATTGTTGAAAGAATATATTTAATTAACTATTATATCCATAAAATCATTTACTAAAAATAATGTTAAATCTTCATCATCGATTTCAACTTATATGTTTTCTAGATTTAATTTCTTGATAGATACTATTGATGCAGTTATAGAAAATAAGCTATTTTTAACCAATATATTGCCAATTTATAAATTTTCTATAAATGAAAATCTTACTTATAAATATGATTAAATATCATTTGATTAACTAATTTTAATATTTTTTAAATAAAGTTCATTACTAAGCTATTACATTTCATCAATTTAAAATGACTTTATAGTAAATAATTATAATTAAGAGCTGTAATCTATAAAAATATTTTATACAGATGAATAAATTGAACCTTGGATATTTAGTATTTAAGAGTTAATAACATTATTTATTAAAATATTTGAAAGAGTTACATTGTTTACGAGCGTTATTTAAAACAGTGATATTTATGATGCTTATTTTATTTTAATATTAGATATTAAAATTGAAGTAGTATTGTTTATTAAAAACACATCGCTAAAAGATGAATTAAAGATCTAAACATTATTTATTATTATTTGTTAATTATTTTACAAGTTAAAAGCAAAACTTATCCCAGAAATGTTTTCAATTAAAATATTTTCTATAAAAACTTAATTGCAATTCATTATAATAATTTAGTTTTAACTCTAGTTATTTTCATCTGCCCTAAGTTTTATGTTCTATAAATACACGTTATCGATATATTATATTAAAAATTATTTTTAAACCTCTAAATTAATATTATACATTTATAAAATGTCTATCTAGTTGGATGTATTTATGTAAATCGGATCAATTATAATCAAAAATATATTTTTAATAATTAAATTAAATATATTTTAAAATTTCATTTTGTCTTGAGTACAATATATTATATTATCCTCAGAATTAGATTCAATTAATAAGGAAGGTGGATTAAATAGACTGTAAAACATATCTTATAATTACAAACTTTAAATAAATTAACTATTTTAGTATTTGATTTAAATTAAACTAAGGATATTAGGGCTTTTATATGATTACTAAATAGTATGATTTAATTTTAATATATTAAAGACATTTTCAGAGGGTTTATTTTAATAATTTAACTATACTGAGCATAATTAGTTATAAGATAAAGGAATTATTAAGTATTAAATATTTTAATAAGTAGAAAGTAATATTTAAAGCTCCACTTAAAAATTAGAATCCTAAATAACATTTAAATTTTGGAGAATTGATTAAGTTTATTCTATCTCTTAAATTAAGTTGTAAGGATTTTATTAATTAATTTGAATAATTTTAAGTTTGTCTTTTTATATGATAATAAAAATTTAATTGTAATTTATATTAATTATATTCATAACTTCATTAATACCCTAGCTGATGATGGGAAATTGTTATTAAAAGCTAAGTCCGTTATAAATTATAATATCATTAGGGCAAACTGAGTAGATAAAATCATCATCATATGTGATAATAGCTTATTTAAGGCAAGCATTTTTAATTTTGCTAATTAATTTTAATGCGAAGCTGTATATGAGTGTTTCACCTTTGTTTGTTATAATATAAATTAATTTCCTAAAAGGATCATTCACTACATTTGTAATTTTAGTAAGATTTAGATTTTGAGTCTATAATATTGATTAGTTTTAGGTATTAATAACTAAAATTTAGTAATCTAATCCCTATTTAATAATAGCACAAATTAAATTATTATTATTCATATCATTATTATTTTATTTTTATTCAAATTCAAATGGTATTTTCCACCAACTGTCCTAATAATCTGTGAATTATTTTTATTACATTTTGAAAACAAATTTAATCAAATTATTACTATCAAAAACAATTTAATTCAATTTATTTATAGATATGTCAAATATATTTATGACATTATCAGATGAAATTAAGATATAATTATTACAGATAAAAGCTTATGAAGTTTATGATTAAGTAAGATTAATCAAATTCACTTCTGTAAGGTCATTATTTTATAAATCAACATAATTTAATTGATTGTTTTATTCATATAATAAATATAATTTATTTCTAATTTAATCAAAGAAATAATTATCTGGTAGATTAACTAACTTTATTCTTTGATTTAAATTTATCTTTTAGTTGATCAAATCAACATAAACTATGTTTAAATATTAGTTCTGAATAAATATGAATTTATTTTCATCTATTAGTATAGGTTAGGTAAAATATGGGTAAATATTATAAAGCTCTAATTCAAACAATAAAGTATCAACAAGTTATTCATTGTTGTACAAGTTCAAAGATTAATTAACAATACTGTAATAAACTTAATAATTATCTTTCAAAATGATTGCTTGAATATTTTAATAATAGAGTAAGTTTGTTTCACTAGCATACAATACTTCTGTTAAATCAAATGCTATAATCTATTTCTAAGTTAAAACAATAAGAATTGATTGTAAATTATTCAAATATAAGTTTTATATTGCAGCATTAATTTGTTAATAACCAACAGAAAAACTTTCAATAAATTATATAGCTGGATATTAAAAGAATGATATAACTATATCTGAATAAATTATCACTATCTTTTTATCTTTATCTATAAGTACTCCTTTAGCATTTTAGAAATCAGTATTAAAAGTTTAAAATAATCTGAATTTATAATTAATGAGATATATCATAGGAGTATAGTCTATAACAACTATACTAGTATCCTCCTCATAATAATAAGATGAATCTTTTGCAAATTCACTAATAGTTTGGTATGTAAAAAAATTACTATCACCAGGGATATCAACTACATAAATAACTTAAGCTTCTCCAGTTGTAGCTACTAAAATTTTATTTTGAATATCATAATTTATTATAGTGTTATTAAATCTATATTCAAATAAATATGTTGAATCTGAATAGCTACCTAATTAAAAAAAGCTTTTTACTTAATCATAAAGATAAACAATCAATTGCAGGTTTCTGTTTATCAAAGGGATGCTTTGTAAGTTATTTTCGAACTAATCAAAACCAAAATCCTAATTAATTAAAAGAAATAGTTGGTACATTGTAAGTTAAAAAAGATAATATTTTCCCTATAAATACTATTTACTAAAATTATAATTTTAATTGTAATAGTTTACCTATTAATATAGGTATTGATAAAAAAACACTTAGACTTTTATATTATATTTTCGTATCCTAATGGATAGAAATAAAAGAAAATTTTTATCTGTTATATTTGTGTTTATTGATAGTATTATCTAGATAATATTCTATTTATCCTTAGTTTGGGATTTAGGTTAGTTATATAATGTTTGTAGCATAAAATCATAAAAATAAGAGTAATAAATAAAATATTAAAATTATTTGTGCAATTTTATTAATAATCATTTGAAAATATTATTTTTAATAATATTATTAATATAATTTTATTTTATTATAAATATGCTATAAAAAATAATTAACACTATTAAAAAAAATCTTATAAATTGAATTTATCTCAATTTTTTTTAACACATTTTTTCAATTGAAAATTTGAATTCAAAATAATTAAATGCATGAAGTTTTCTATAAATATAAAGTTAATTAATAAAGATTACAGGATTAAATGAGCTTTGGTCCTCTCCTGATACAAAATCAAATATTTTAACTTATGGATAATAAACTATTACAAGATTTTGGTCACATTAGAGATAAAATTTCAAATCTGAGTAAGATTACAAAAAACTAATATTGATTTATTTTGAAGTCCTATTATTAATCTATTTTAATAAATAAGTTTAATATTTATTTAAAATGAATAAAAATATTTACTGAGACTGAATAAATAATTAAGTTTACTGTCTTAACTATTATTATATTTTAATCTTTGCAGACCTAATATTCAATAATTTCAGAATCTAATTTAGATATCATTTAATGTTTAGATGTTTGCTTATTATTAAAAAGATATATTGTGCTATTACTTATCCATATAAAGCTACACTAATCCCAATCAAGCATAGTTATAGTAAGATCAAATCTAAAATCTAATTGAATTTAAACAAATTCTTAGATTAATTTAGTAGCATCATATATTATTAGATAATTAGATCTACTATCATAAATAACTATTTTATTCTATTCAATTATCATATCTTATATGGACTATGTTTCTGTCAAGTTTAGTGTGCTAAAAGGATGATTAAATAAATTAATATGCCAATAGATACCATTCTATGACTCAAATATATCAATTTAGGTGTCATCATCAATTTTTTAATTTCCTAAATAAATATTATCTTCCTATTAGTTTTTAATAACTATCATATTATCTGTATCTATAATATTTTATGATTTTTTTATAAAGGAACTACTTTCAAAAATGTAGAAATTAACTTATTGCTTACGATATTTAAATGAATCTGAATCAGCATTAATATAAAAGATCTTTTTCAATTGCATATCAAATTTATAAAATTAGTTTTGATTGTAATAGAAAACATACTGTTCACTATAAACTAAATCCAAAAAATTTGTATTTAAAAATGGATATTATATTCCTGTATTTATAACCATCTAAAATTACAAGCTGTATGAATATATGTAAATGCTTGAGTAATAAAAAGTAAATATCTCTCCTGTCTTTTGGTAAATAATAGATTTACATTTTAATGGAATAATTTAAAGGGTTTCCAATTAATATATAAACTATTTTTTACTTAATGAAAATGGTTAGTATTATTTATTCGAATTTATGGAGATATATATTAAGTCGTTTAAAGCTATTAATGGTTAATATTAGTTATTAGTTATCCAAAAATTTATTATGGTTTATTATTCAAAATTAAAAACCTGCTCAATTTTAATAAGTTATAAATCAATTAAGTAGAGAATATTTTCAAGTTATTTATTTAAAGCAACATATGCTAAGAAATCATCATTTATTATGATAAAATTTTCTAATGAAAATGAATAATCTTAGATGTTTTAAATGAGCTATTTACCCTATGATAAATCAAATATTTGAGGAATTTTTTAGATTATTAATAAATTTCTCTTTTATATGTAATAAAAGTTGCTAAAATTATCAAAATTATTGTAATTATAAGTATAAAATAAAACTTATTAATAATTTGAAATGTCAATAATATATTCATTCACACTCGGATTGACTATTTTACTTAATATCAAATATTTATTATTTATCAAATTTATGTTATCATATAACGGTAATGAGTCATTCAAAAAGAATTGAACAAATTTTGTATTTAGTTTTGAGAATTTTTGTAAATTTTGTAAATCATATTTTATTTTTTAAACTCCAAATACCTAATGTATGATATTTTAGTTTCTGTCCAGAATATAAAATGAATTGTTATTGTTTTAACTGTCAATACTGAAAATTTTTTAATTTTAATTTGGTTTTGAATTCTTGTCATAGTAATTTTATACATATTGTTGAGGATCTAAATATGTAATTGTAAATCTTTAATCTGATAAGTTATATTGTATCCTAATCTACTAATAAAAGTAAGCATTTATATTTGTAATTTAAGATAAAAATATATCTAAAATATTATCCTCCTAAAAAATCACATTAGTGATAGTTGATAGGTTAGTTATTAAAGTAGAATTTATAGTTATAGTTAATAAGTTTGTTAAATTTTTTTATCCTTGGTAAAATTTATTAAAATAATCTGTCAAATTTATAATATTCAATTATTCTGAGATCCAAAATATAAAAGTAGAATTATTTTTTTCATTTTCATATATTTAAAAGGAATCTAATTTAAGAGGTGCTGTAGTTATTGTTTGTATAATTTTATCAAATGAACTACTTATAATCATCAAAATTAAATTATTATTTGATGTATCATACTGAATAATTGAGTTTAGTAAATAGCTATATTAAAAATTATTTTCAAATTTAATATCTTATGAATCTATTTACTAAGAAAAAACTAAAAATTGATCCTAAAATGTTAGTTTTTTGACTATTATTTGGGTAAAATTTAAGAATTTCACTATTATAAAGTTACTTTTTTAAAAGATAATTTCAAACGTCTAGGGTAAAAGCAAATCAAAATCATTATCCTAAAATAGCAAAGATCTATTTTGATTGATAAGATTAATAGACTGTTTTTAATTAATTAAAATAAGGTAAATTAAAAAATTAGATTATATTTAAATGAATTAATTAATTTACTATGACAGTTGTATTACTAATTTGCATATAATATATTGTCTTTGAATTTAATGTAATTTAAAACATTGTAATAGGATTGGAAGGGAGAGAATATTAATCCATAGCATAATAGCCTTATACATTTATCTATTATAAATCAAACCATTCAATACCAGTGCTATTATTCTAAGAGAAAAAGATAATTTAATTTATTTTGTCAATATAAACAAGATTATAGTCATAACCGAATCCATCTTTCTCAAAAATTGTCTATTAAGCAGTAAAGTCAATAAATATTAATTTTCTCCCTGCTAAGCATCCGCCAAGTGTTCCTAAAATAAAACTTACTTCTTAAGTTTCTTATCCATTGTTCATATACTAATCTTCATAATTATCTATATCCTAAAGAACTTATGTATCAATAATTTTCCAATCTTAATCAGCTAAAGAAAATGTGCATTTATTAGCTCTAATTAAATATTGGTTTTATTGGATTAACTCTACCTATTTCACTTTCTAATTCAGTTTAGAATTGAGGTTATTGTAAGCTTGTTAGCATTATACTGTTTTTTAGCATATTTTTAGTCTATAGTTTTGATAATATGATGAAGGGCAGTTTTAATAGCATTAATCTTAATCATTAAGGCTCAAAATAAATTCTACTTATGATTAGCAAACACTTTTTTTCAAGATACATGAATTTGTAAAAAAGTCGTATTCTAAGTTTTTACTACATTTCATGCAATAATCTTAATCACATTCTATACAACCTTCTATAAAACACTTATCACATTATTGATTATTATTTACAAATTCTCCAATTTAGCAATTTTAAACACAACTCGAGTTGTTTATATAGCTTTTTATGAAACCATCTGAGCACTCTAAGCATGAATTTTAATTTGTATTATAACAAATTGAGCAAGTACTATCACATTAAAGGCATTACTATCTAACAGAGTCATAGATTTCATTCCTTTCACATTAGGCAAATATTTTATTAATTAATATTGTAAATACTAGATAATAATATAACATTTATGCTATTTTTGTTACCTTATTAGTGAGTTTTAATTATATTTAAATTAATAGAACACTATTTTGTTTAAATTATTAATTATTATTAAGGTTTTACTTTAATTAATAAGACCTAAATTTAACAGTTTAATATACAAAAAAATTGATCCATTTAAATAATCGAAACTAATAATATTCATCAAAAATGATAGAACATTAGCTAAAGTAAATTTTTAATTTTTGATAAATTTAATTTCAATTACTATTTTATCTTAAAATTCATTCTCTATCTCAAAATAAAATTATTTACTATATGTGTTTAAAATTGAACAGATAAATGTTGATCATATTAAATCATATTTCTTTACTAATTAAAATTTATTTTACCATTTATACAAAGATAAAAAAATTGTCTAAATTTTTGTCTGCAAATTCGTCTCTTTCGTCTATTTGTTTATCTTTTTAAAAAGATTCATCTTATCAAAAATGTTAAAATTATTATAAATTAAATTTTATAATAGATAATTAAAATTAAGCAGAACATTAAATTATAATTATCTATGTTAAAACATTAAAACGAAGAATTATTAATCTTTGCATCAGAAAATCATCTAAAATTTAAATTTTGAGTATATTAGTATTGATTTAAAAAATATTTTTCTTTTTGAGCACTAGATTATTTTGATACTTTTTAAAAGGTAAAAATAGATATTTCGTTTTAATTTTTTAATTTTTCTTCATGATATCTGTAAAATTTTCTATTAATTTATTAAGTATTAATTTTTTAAAACTTTAATGGAAAGTAATCATATAAATCTTCTATTAATGATTTATTAATTGAAATTATATTTTTTTATTTAGAAAATGAACTTGCTATTAATTAATACCATAAAGATTTTTGTGCTATTATTTTAGAGCCTTAACACATGAAGATTGATATTTATTGTTTTTTTAATATTATTTTGAAATCTAATTAAATATTTGTATAGATACCATATATTTTAATATATATTTTATAAATTTGAAATAAAAAATGTTTTTAGAAAATATGATGCAAATATTTATGTTATATATAAATCAAATATATCAAATTTTTTATGAGAAAATGATATTTACAGTGAATAAAAGATAGATTATAAGTTCCTATTAAAATAATAAAGTTCTAAATATTCATTATCAAATTATTAAACTATTTAAGAAATTAAATATTTAAGATTTAAATTGTTTGTAACGAATATAATTAATTATTAACAAACAAAAATATTGTAAAAGTCTAATTCAAATTCAATAAATAAATTGAAAAAAAAATTTAGATATTAGTGATATTACATAAAAGATACAATAATAGATGATTGATGGGTATATATTGATCAAGTTATAATTTAATTTAAATTTTTTATCAAATCTGAGATTTAGAAAGTACAACTAATCTTGGTAATTTTTTTATTTTTTTCATCAGAATAAATACACCTCTATCATCTAATTCAATTGTATTGATTTTATTCATATTAGTGGATATTTGTTGATAAACTAAACTTGCTTGATTTAAAGTTAACTCGCTAGAAAATAGAATACGGATTTTAAACAAGCTTTAATTATCTTTGAAATTGAAAAAATCAGAGTTTGTTTGTAATTATTTTTCTACATAGTCACACATTTTTAACGAAAATGTAAGCTATTATAAGTCTTTTTGATTATTTTTTAAAGTGCAAATGATCTTAAAATAATCGTAGCAGTAACAAACTTTTGAGCTATAATCACCAAGTATTTGCTCTAATTTAACATGAATAGTACTGCTTATAAAAAACCATAATAATTGGTCTTCTTCTTATTCCAGATGTTCATCAAAGTATTATTAACATAAACATAAATCTTTATAAGCATGTTAAATATTTTAATTTGTGTCCTATTAAAGCTTAGCTTGTTAAAATTTTAAGGTTAATTATTTTACTTTTGCTTTTTCTTCCTCGTTCAGCTCTTTATCTATTGTTAACCATTCATCTAATTGTTTGGCAAAGTTTATAGGAAATTCCTCATCTTCTTAAAGAATTAAAAATTCTTAGCAAAATATCTATCTATAAAAGTCTATAATTTTAAAGTTTTAGTTTTCTTAAAAAATTGAAATAAGACCATTCAAATCTTAACATTACATTTCATTTTCATAATCTAAAATAAATGCATAATGCTATAAATCTTAACGATAAAAAAAAATCTAATAATAAGATTCATCCTTTTCGTTGATCGATACTATTTTTTTAATTTAATTTATTACTTTTTAAATATTTAAATAGTTATTATTAACTTCATTTATGTTTTCAATTTCAAAATTTTAGTAATATGTATTGACTATTTAATCTATTTTTTAAGTTGAATAATCTATAAAATAATTAGAAAAACATCTAAATAACTCTTGAACTAACCAAGCATTTTCCTTGGCAAGCTAAGTTATTTCTTTTTATCGATTTTACTCAAAAACTCTTTAGTCAACAATTAAATCGAAGTCTTCTGATACATATAGATTATCAGGTATTATACTTAGTTTTATGAAAATCTTGTATGAAGAAATAATTTTTTCTATAAAGCTTAGATAATTATTCAAATTTGATGTTCGTTTTTTAGAAAGAAATTTTTCTATTTTGATATGATTTTTCAACTTTTACTGCTTTGTTTGTAAAATAAAATAGTTTGAAATAGTAGGCTCAGCTTGAGTATAGTGTTTTATAGAAACTTTGTTTAGCATATCAAGATTAGTTTGATATTCTTAATATAAACTTTTTTCTTCTTCGACTTTTTTACATTTTTTAATGTAAAAATATGTAGATTTTTAGTCTAGTGTTATTCCTTCTAAAGTTAAATAATTTTCATTTTAGTTGTTTGTTAAAAGTATAAATGAACTAAAATCAAACGGAATATTAATCAAGTAATCAATAAAATCTTTGTAATCTTTATATAAATCCCCGTAATTACTTTGTACAACTAATAGAAAATCTTCTTTAGCTATTAATACATTTTAATAAGGAGAAAGTAATACATTTTTTGGCAAATAAATACTCAATTTATTTTATTTTTCAATATTTATTTTTATATTTCTAAATATATAGGGACTAATTGTATTTAACTTTATTTCTAAACCACCAACTTTTTACTAAAAGACATAATAACAATCATCAATTCCTATATTTATTTCATTTTAATTAATCTTAGATAATAATAGAGAAACACTTTTTTAAAAACCAAGTTTATATATTTCCATTTCCAAAACATCCTAATTGATATTTTAAGAGTCAAAATCAAAAAATTCATATTCGACAACATAATACATCATGTATTAATCTAAATAATATGAATCTAGCACTTTCAAAAAAAAATCTGTTCTAATAATATTCGCACTTTATTATGCTATTTAAACAACCATTTCAAAAGTTTATTTCAATTAATCTGATGAAAAAACTTCAATTATCTTTTTACATTACTTCTACTTGTCAAATACCTCTAATTATAAGCAAAATAGATAAATTTTTTAGGTTTCAAGCGAAAGAATCTTCCTTTCTTTGACAATTCTGATTGTTTAAATATAACTGGGCTTTTTTTATTCAAGCGCATCTAAAATAAGAATCATGTCAGATCTTGTAAAAGCTTTACAGTACTCTTATACTTGCTTTATTAGATGGCTCTTCATTTCTTTATTCTTTCTTATCTTTTAGTTATTTACTTTAGTTAATTATTCTTAAAAGATATTTATTTAAATTCTTTTCTTTATTTAATCAATCACCTTTTATCTTTTAATAAACAAATTATCTCTATTTGATCTCAAAACAGATACTCATTCTTTTAATACTTTTTAATAAAAAGGAAATTAAATATAAAGAAAACTTTTTCATATCTTTCTGGTGAAATCTATTGCTGTTTTTGTCTTGAGATTTAAAAAAAAAAATTCTTTAACAAGACATTTAGAAAGAGAATTGATTTAAAAAATTAATGAAAAAATAATTAATAAAATTCATTAATCCTATTTACAGCAAAAAAAATCTTCTAAAAAATAGTTTTATTTGTAAATTTTTAAACTAAACTTTGGCGGTCTTTTTCAAAAGAAAACAAACTAAAAATTAAAATTTATTATTAGTTAATTAGTTAATTATTAGTAAATATTAATATATATTTTTTGTTTGTTTGTTTTAATATTTTTATTTTAAAATAATATATTTACTCAATTAACTATCATGCCTTCTTGATAATAAAACCTTTAAGCAAAGGGAGATATAAAATTAGATATTTTTTAATATCAATACAAAATTTTAAGGGTTCAATAAGATTTTCAAAATTAAATCTAATTTTCACACAAAAATTTTTAACACTAAAAATTTTTCTAAATTCAGTTTAATTAAATATTAATTAGCATAGCATATCCTAAATTAAAAAGATATTTTACTCTAAGTGTATGAAATAAATATTAATACATTTTTTTAATGTATAAAAACCTCATTATTTTTACTTGAATATTAAATAATAATAAGATGAATTTGAAATTTGGATTAAATAAGAAATGCTTTGTTTGTTTGTTTGCATAACTTTTTATATCTATTTATTAGAACTTAATATATTAGGAATCTATTGTAATACAATTACAGGGAAAGTAGAAATAAAAATGTATTTAGCTTAGAGATAAGAATTATTAGACTTGAAGTAATAATTTGAAATTATAAACAAGCAAGTAATATAAGATTGTTTAAATGCATATGGATATGTTTATGAAAAGGAGATTTCAAGAGGTAATTTTTCTTTGATAGTTTAAGCCAGATCTATTAAGAATGAGAGTTGTAAAGTAGCAATTAAAATACTAAATTATGAATAAAATTCTAAAATCGATTTAGAAAAGCTGAATAAATAAGCTGATTTTTTAAGTAGTCTGAAAGATGAGAAATATATTCTCTAATTTATTGGAACAATTTAAGATTTATCTTATGAGATAACAGCAATAATTACAGAATATTGTGAAAGTATTTCTTTTAGTTTAAACGATTAACTATTAATATTATTTTTTAAAATCAAGCAAATCTATCTTAGATTTTAATGATAAATAAGCTAAATATTATGTAAGTTATTGCTTTGACATATTAACTTTTAAAAGGCTTGCTTTTGTTACAAGAAAAGAAAAAATTTTTGAGATATATTGAGCCTAAAAAAATATTTTATAGTGTATCCAAAAACTAATTTTTGTTAAGTAAAAATTAATTAATAAATTTGCTTAGAATATTAATAAATACTTTTTTTATTAAATTAATTAATTAGCCTATTTGAGTTTTTCGAAACTAATCCACTGCGAAAATGATGATGTAATTAATTTCGAAAAAATCTGATTGATTTTAATTTTATTAAAGCAATAATAAGGAAATTTGAATTATTAATCGCCAGAAGTTATTGATGAGAAAAAACCTTATACAATTGCTGTAAATATCTAATTAAAATTATTTTAAAAATAAATTTCAGTTTATATTTTTAGGCAGATGTATTTTCAATTGGAGTCATAATCCTTGAAGCTTTAATTTAAAGAAAAATCTAAACCACAGAATATTTTAAGCTAAAATCTCAAAATTTGGTTAGTGCTTTTCCTGACCTTTTTAGTTAACAAAATCATGAATTTGTAACTAAAATTTTAAGTAAAATGGTTGATCCAGATCCTTCTAAAAGAAGTCAACCTATTGATCTATTGTAGCTTCTAAACAAATTTAAAGTAGATTTTAAACAACTCAAATTGATTAAAATAGAGAAACATTTTGAGGATGATGATATTTAGCTTGAAAATATTAACTTATTTAGTTAAGAAAAAATGACTTAAAATATATCTTAAGAATAGAAATAATTAGAATCAATTAAAAAAACATCTTGTAAAATTTTAAAAATAGAACACGTTTAAATTGATGAAGATGAAAGTATTATTGAAAATAAATTTAATTAAGAAAAGACAGAAATAGAATTTAAAGAAACTTAAAGTTCAAAAAAAAATTTCAAAAACGTAAAAGACCAGAAAATAAATAAAAATTTTGCTTAGATTTCTCAAAATATTGATGAAAAGAAAGAAAGTTAGTCAGAATGCTAAATTTAACAAGATATTCCATGTAATTTTGTAGATAAAAAGGAAAAATCATCTTAATCAAAAGCTCTTCCTATAATAAAAAATGACAAAGATAGTTTTAAGAGAATAAAAGGTTCTTTAATGGAAATTTAAGAAGGAGATTAAATGAATAAAAATGATGATATTAAATAATAAAGTTAAATTGCTCATTAATAAGCAAAAATATCTTCAACATAAAATGCAGAATA